CATAATCGAATAGTATTCATATTTTGTTGGACATTTTCCATCCTGGGAATTTAATTAGATTTTCTCACTCGTAATGGTCGGCTTGTTATTTTTATGACTGATTGAAATTCATTTTGCGGAATTCAAAACTAATTGCTGTGTGACGGGATTAAGTGCCTGGATTAAAAAGTTATGTCTCTTAACCTCATCTCAAATTAAGCTAAATGGGAATGTTGACAATTTTTCCAAAAATGAAGCAAAAAAACATTAAATTTCATATCAAATTATATTCGCGTAAAAGTGTTTCAATTATTTTTGGAAAATGTCAATAATTAAGCAAGGCTATGGCATAATAATTAGGTTATTCATATTTTGGCCTGGAAAATACCAGAATTATCAGTTCTTTTATATAAACGTTAAATGTCTAAAAAAGGTTTCTATTAAGAATGTCTCAACTATTTACTTTTGCACACCTATAATCAAGTCTTAGAATTCCTTGAGTTCCCCAAACCCAATTAACACTGTTGGCTTGACATTCCCGCCTTCTATTTCAACTGTTCGTCGTCAGCTTAAAAGGCGGCATTCTTAAAGCCTCACCAAATATGCGGGTTGTCAGACAGTCCTTGCAGCCCCTCGGGGGAAAAATCGTGGAGAACACACACCCAGCAGACCGCCAACGATGCCGGCTATGGAGAAGTAATTCAATTTGGGTTTAAAATTGCAAACTGCAGAAGGAGCCGCCTGAAGGAGGCTGAGGGCTGTGGATGCAGGGCGTGGCATGTCAAGGCGACAAAGGACCTTGATAAAAAGGTGTAGGCTGTAGAAGCAGTCCGCCTCCGGACTCAGGGGCTTCCTTCTTAATTAAAATGCATCGCATGTGAGGGGCCGGGATATAAAATCGATTGAGTGCAGCTTAAATCGCTTGATACTTGTCGGCAGGGATCAGGCGGCGAAAAAAGGGATAAGGATAAGCAGTGGCAGCGACAGAGGCAGTTGAGTACCAGAGAGGATTAAATAACTGTCATTGTAAGTGGCGCATGGAAATGGTCCCAATTCACTCGATACTCCATCGGACAGCCATCATTTATTCAGAAACTTTTACTTTAAATTGAATTTGCCTTCCGATTAAATTACCGCAACTGGCATTAAGCCCGGATACGACTGCATTACGAAATGATTTCGAGGCTGTGGCATCAGCCAACTCTTTTGCATTTGGGGCACATAATTTTAATTGCATGCTGCGGGCAGGTGGGGTGGCAAAGGGGGCAGGGAAATCTATCTAAACTTTGCCTGCATTTGTTATTGTTGCAGTGCTTGGAAAACTTTTTCCGTGCCTCAAAGTTTTTCACCACCCCTTCCCTCCCTCCATTATTTTTCCCAGCCACGACGACAAAAAGACGCTCGGAAAAGAGGGGTGAAAAACTTTATGCGGGTGGCGGCAAGAAGCTGAAAATCAAATGAAAGTTGCTGGCCAACGACTTAGAGGCAGCTTAAAGCACTTTAAGTTGCCAAATGTCAAAGATTGCGTATACGCAGTGCTGTCCGAGTTACGTTAGAGGTTAAAAGTCAAGTTCATTGCAGCCTCATCGAACTAGGATTGTTGCCAAACCGAGCTAGGAGGTCAGCCGAGAAAGCATACGAGTAACCCAAAACAAAATTATATAAAATTAAAAATTGGGGAAAAATAAATTAAAAACATTTTCCATAAAAACTAATAAGAGGAAATAATTAAATGTTTATAAATTCTATAATAGAAACTGTAATGAATATTTAGTCGCAATTTATTTTAATTAAAACTAATTAACTTTGTTAGAATACAAAATTTATAACTTGAATCATTTAATTTACCTAAAATTGCCATGTCAGTTTCGAATTTAAATGATTTAAAGCCTGCCGCAAAACATTTTCCGAGTTGGTTTTTTGTTCTAGACCCTAACTCATATGTGCTTCCATCTTTTCATTTATCGAAATGTTTTCGCTAATTTGCCTAGGCGAAAATCCCCAAAAAAGAAAATTGTGATTAAAATTGTGTTTTTATGATCCATTTGGGGCGTGACTGGGGCCGTTGGAGGTATTAAATGGAGGCCTTCCAGGGCCTAACGTATAAATTAGCACGCCAGGCGATGTCGGCAATAAAACGTTTTCGCGGGCATACGTTGCGTATACGCGATGTGGCGGAGGAATGCGAGCTCAGCGCAAAAGTAGGCTACAAAATGACACGCGCCAGGAAAAGATTTAGATTAGGATGGCTGAAAAGGAGGAGGAAGAAGATGAAGAAGGAAAAAGGAAGAAATATAAGGGAAGACGACTGTGTGTATGTAAGCTGAAACTGCAGGAATTTGTGGAAAGTCGTAAAGCAAAATAAACACTGGCAGGCGTAAAAGTTATAAAAATGCCAAAATATAGCCAAAGTTAAGCCAACCGAGAAGCATAAGGTAGCTGGCGAAAAACTTTGGCGGCCAACTGTTGATAGTTGGCAGTGCTTAGAAGGCGCGGCAATGTAAAACCCACAAAAAAATGAGATATGAGAAATGATGCCAGCCAAGCAGGAAAATTCGCTTTAGCCGTCTATCCAGCCATTCAGCCATCCATCCATCCATCCATCAATCAATCAATCGATCCGTTAGCCAGGGAGTGAACGGGACTAAACCAGTCAACATCAATGGCCATGTTCCTAATGGGAAGCGACCGCTGTGAGCTCTCTTTGGCAATCGACATGCAATTTATGCGAAATGTTGACATTCATCGCTTGACTTTTTCGGCTCCAGATTCAAGTTTTACACTAGGCAAACGGAGGGGAAATCCAAACAGATTTACAAACAGATTTTAAAGCGGGGCTTAAAGGATTGCCAATTGAATATATATGACATACATTATGTATACATGGGATTAGCCAGATGGCTGCCTAAAGGATTGGAGGAAAAACTTATTTTCCAAGGGCCAGACAGCCGACATGAAATATTTAAGAGGTCGGGAAATCTTACAAGTGTGAGGAAAGCAAAATAAACATACAGGCATTTGTGGCTATTGAATTGGGAAACCTAAGCCAGAAGTCAAGCATTTTCCCCATTACGAATTAAAAGCTCAACTTGAACATTCGATTGCGGCCAAATATTTGCTTCATGCTCATTTGTGTTGTTTTTTTTTTAAATAAATCGCGTTTATTTAAGTGCTTTTTTTCATAGCTGTTTGCACAAAAAAAATGTATTTGTTTGTATCTGTTATTGACATGAAGTTGTATTTTCTCTGCGTGTGGTTTTTTTCTCATTTTAATTGAATTGCAAAAGCAATTACGGGAAATCTGTTTATTTAAGCAGCAAATAGACAACAAAAGAAGTCGAGACTTTTAAGTGAAACTCGGGAAATTTCTTCGCTTACTAGTTGTGTAGTGAGTTTTTTTCGCGTATAGCGATTATGCTAATGAAAGGGCATGTTTAGCTTGACTTAACTTGCTCGGATAGAATCCGCATTTCCGAGAACCTCCAAGCAGACAATACCACTTTTTCATGCTGGTCACGTAGGCTTCTAACATGAATCTGGCTAATACAATTAGAAGCAGTCAGCCTGAGGCTGGGAAAACCTACAGAGGGGCTGGCAAAAAACCGAGTTTCAAATGTCAAATGTTTCAATTAAAACTCGCGAAAACCGAAACCCTAAAAAACTGATGGCCTTTGAAATAGGATTTCCATGATTGGAGGACAAAAGGGAATCAGAGGCAGCAATAGTCACAATCACCAAATTGCTTCTAGCAAATCAAAGATGAACGAAAGGGGAGAAAGTCGAAAAGAGGGAAGAAAGCGATAGAAGCAACAAAGTGGCACAAACAGGAAGTTCTATAACGAGAAGGCATAACAAAAGCAAAAGCTTCCGGGCATTATCTTAATTATGCAAAGCCGTATCGAAAGAGTTATGGGTGGAAGTCTTAACCGATGACTAGCAAGCCCAAGTTCTTCAAAAACTTAAGCTTCTTAAAAGAAGTGACAAATTTTAAAGTTTTTTTGAAGGGAGCTGTAAAGTTGGTACTTCATATGACCGAATCCTTTTAGCATTGTTTGAAATATTGATCATTGATTTCAGTCAATATTGAATATAGGCAAATTGAGAACATAATGGGTTAAGGCTTTATGGCCGCGCCACGCACATTTATCATTCCATTTTTTTCGAGGGTTTACGCCACGACAAATTCCAAAGTCAAAGTCAATGGCTGTGCCCCAAATAAACCCGAAATGGAATGTGGGTGTGGAGGTGTGTGGGTTGAAAGAGGGTGGCTTAGGGGCAAGGCCATTTCGTGTGTGCCATAAAGCACTCAGAACCCGAATTTCAAGCCTTTGGTTCAAACGAAGAACCTGCGACACGTGCGAAATCGTTGATGGAGTTCAAGTTGAATTGATTGCGTGCCAGTTGTGGCAATGACGATTTCCAGCCAAGTGGGCGTTTGGGCGGTCCAAATGGGGCGTGGCTCTCGATAACAAATGCCTCGCTTCGCTTTTGTTCCGAGTATTGTAATTAAAATGACGAAAGCAGCGCCAAAGTTTTAATAAACTGCCAAAATAAATACGAAAAGGAGAGAACGCGCGAAAGGGAATCGAATAAACAAAGACCGAAAAAGTTGTAAGCGGATTGCCTTGGATTGGAGATTGGAGGGGAAAAACCGGAGGGGGCAGCATAAGTACTTTGTATTAATAACAGCAACTGGGACTTGGACTTGGACTGGGACTGAGACTGGGACTGGGGCAAGAGTTGTGGCATCCGCAAATAACTGGAATTGAAACTCAAGTGCTAAGGGGGAAAAAGTAGCTCTGAAACTGAGATACACCAAGAAAAATATTAAAAAAGAGTGGGAATTTCTTTCTTTAATATTTTTCTTTTAATAAAATCAAATTTAAAAGTAAATTATTTAAAATTTTGTATTATATGCCTACGAAACGAAAGTTCTCCTCAATTATTTTTCTTAGAAATCTTCAAAAAAAGAAAAGACCATTTGAAAACTGTCAGCAATATTTTACTTATTTTTCGCCTACGTCCTGTCAACATGGCCTTTTTTCTTCGATAATTGTTTGATTTATTATCTTGATGTCTGACATAATAAATATGATATTTTTCCCCCAGTGCTGGCATAATTTTTCATCGCGGCGTGAAGAGCAAACTGTTTACATTTGTTTTCCCCTTACTGGCTGAAATCCGGGGATCTGGGCCACAAGACAAGATGCTTGCCGCAGGAATGAGGATGAAAACGGTGCCAGGGGCAACATGTTCATTATTCCGCCGTCTGATAGCTGTATTTTCGCAGGTGCCGCTCATTAAATCACCCGGTAATCAGAATACCCAGAAATGCGGTACCCAAAAAGGCTTTTCGGGTTAACCTTTCGACTTGCTGCTGCTATTGTTTTTGTTGTGCCGGTGTCAATCACAGTTGGCTTAATTAACATTGTGGAACAGATTTCAACTCATAAATTCAAATCAGTCTACAAAGTTTGGTCGTAAAAACTTGCTATCATCGCGGCACTCCAACTAAACATAACATTTATAGTATCTAAATGGAGAGTGGGGTGTTGGGGACTTTAATAATAATAACAACAATAATCATTTTGCATGATTTACGAGTGCAGCTGGCAGCCCTGTTCGTTCAATGGCCATAAATTCTCATCAATAAATCAAATATATAGCTCTTCCAATATGAGGGCGCCGCGATGTATGCAGCGTTTTTTGTTGTTCTTGTTATGTTGTCCATCGTGTGAGTGGTTTGTTTGTGTGCGTGTATGTTTATGTTTATATGGGTGAGTGAGTGAGTGAGTGAGAAGTGTGGCAAGTGACATGTGTCACTCCATAATAATCGCATTTGCATGGAGCCAAACCGCCATGAATATCCAAACAGAAACTTAACTAGAAGCTCTTAGGTGCCGGGTTGAAGATCTTAGACCTAATCACGTTTCGGGTTGGGTTTCGATTTTGTTTTTTCTATTCTTTGTTCTATTTTTTGTCTTAAATATTTTTATAGGATTTACAGCTAGATACTAGTGCGGTTAAGTATACGCATAGTTGATTGCTTAGTCTCTGGGACGCGCTGATAATACTTACAGGTTTCCATATCCACTGGATCAGGGTAGAGGGCTGGGATTGCTTACGTTTGAAGCTTTGAGACATCGAGTTGGTTTTTAGGAACCCATTTCGTCGGCCTAGAGCAGCTCCGTCTCCATCTGCGCGGCCTCCACGGTCTCCACAATGGTTGCCGTTGCCGCTGTGACCGAATCTCATGGAACATACCTCGTGGTCAGCGCTCCATCGTCATCATCGTCCACGCGCAGACCTCCACAGCCGCAGGGTAGCCATGTGGCTCCTCCGGAGAGATGCAAGCATCCTTTTGGTCAAATCGCAGACACCTGTTCCAGTTCGGCACTCGAACGGCCCGAATTCATCACTACCACATTCTTGGCAGCATAGTCCGTGATGAAGCGATCGCTGTTCCGCGGATGAATATTGCCCACATCCTGGGCACAGCACCAGGGATTACGCATGGTCAGGATGCGTTTGAAGGCGTCACGGAATTCCTTATTGAAGATTGAGTAAATTATCGGATTGAAGGCCGAGTTTGAGTAGCCCAGCCAGGTGAGGATCTTGAAGGTCTGTCCACCGATGCAGGTCTTGCAGAAGGCGGCCGTGATGTTGACGCAGAAAAAGGGTACCCAGCAGATGAGGAACACGCCCATAATCACGCCCACCGTGACGGCCGCCTTATGGTCGGAGACGTGATATGGCGAACTGTGGGTGTGCAGGTTGCGCACCTTGAACTTCTTGGGCTGGTTCTTAGGGCGCCGGATGCTCTTGTACCGCTGCTTCTCGGCCACTTCACCCGGACGAGTTACCGCCTTGATGGACTTGACGTGCTTCTGAGCATAGCAGTATAATCTGGGGGAGGAGTAAAAAATAAGGTTTTAAAAATAAATTCTCTATTTAAATGAATACTTAAGATTTATAAGCCAAAAACTTAAATTGTGGTAGGACAATTAATACCCTGAGCTTAGCAAATTAAATTCAAAGTCCGTTTTGTACAATTGGAATTGAAAATGAAGTCACACCGATACAGTTTCATAATGTCAGCTTTGACATTACACTTTAATGCTTATTGTCATTTCTTGTGAAAGCATGACATTATCAATTATTTATCGCCTAATGAACGACTAGTCTTGATTGTTGCTCGTCGCAAATTCCTGCTTATTTTGCCACTGGTTACGGGTTTGTGTAGTAGTTACTGGTTACTGCCATGTAATTGATATGATAATTATTCACTTGGGCCGTTTGGCATGTCAATTAAATGGAGGCCGACAACAATGGCTCTGTACACATCAATAACCAAAGGAAACACACTGCGTATACGCAATGTCTGACTATCATATCCAATCTTCCACTTGAGTCGTTTTCTAAGCTGTTCTGTAACCCATCCCACCCACTGGCCACCCACCCATCATCCATAGCCAACAAATAAACAAGCATATGTGTCTGTCCCTGTGAGTGTTTACTCGTTGGCCACATAAAAAGGATAACAGGACCGAGGACCAGACCAGGCCAGGCACAAATTATGACGATAAAAGTATATTTATTCTGTAATTTAACCGAAATTTGATAGAAAATTCCAATGCCAACCAACTGGGGATCCATTTGATGAGAGGAATATGTTAGGGGATTAAGGATGCGGGTGGCCAAAGATGGGACTCCTGGCCAATGGCTACAAATCTCGTTAAGCTAAAATGGCAACGTGCCGCTGGCCGAAACGTTGATGAGCAGCTATCGCTATCCTGTTGCTCTGTATCCTATATACCGAATGGTGGTCATGGTGTGAGTTTGTCCTTGCCTAGTCCTTTCGCACACGCCCCAGTCTTTTGCCAGCTCCTGGGGATTACTTAGACGGACACTAATGCGTGCGCTTATTTGTTCAACCCAAAACCCCTTGCCCACAATCAGTTTGGCCATTTCTCTGTCGTGCCTGGCGGCCATCAGGGGCCCAAGTCGTCCTTGCGGCATTTTTCTGATATATTCAGCAATGCGATAGTAGCAAACTTCGTCAGTTTTTACAACATTTTATTATTTACTTTTTACTACTTCTGCCACGACTTCCTCTTTGTTTTGCTGGCTGGCTTTTATTTGCCCTTGCAGAGGGTACTCTAAATGCTGTAAGGTTCTTGTAAAATATGTGCTATTTACCTTGTTAAGAGATAACTTTTTAAATTGTGTTATATATAAAATTTAAGATTAGCTTATATTTTTAAAATCTTTTTAGGCATAAATAAACAAAATTAACAAAATGCATAAAACTCCTTTTCTAACTTATGCTTCCGAAAGGGTATATAATCTTGTCTAGAAATAAAAGAATATGCACTCATGCCTCTAGTGTTCTTTAAACTCATAAAAATATCTGAGTTCCCGTTTTGCTTTCATTTAGCGCGAGATTTTGGCAAAAACTTTGGTTGGCTTGTGAAAGTTTCGTTGCCTTGCGGTTTTGTGCGAGGCCCATGGGCTATTTTTGTATCTACATAATTGCAGCTGAAGGCATTTGGAAAAAATCTTACTTTATGCATTTCATGTTTTATGCACGGACAACTTTTGTGCCGCAATCTGGGCAGTAGAATTGGGGGCTGCTTTTGTGACTTACCGACAGTAGATGCCAATCATGACCACACAGGGGAAGTAGAAACTGATACAGCTGGATACGACGGCGTAGGTGGGCGTGAGGTCCAGGGCGCATGTTGGGTACTTTTTGCCATTGTCCTCGAAAATCAGCGGCTGGTCGGGCCGATGAATGCCCAGCGAGATGGGCACAAACGAGACGAAAGCGGCCAACAGCCAAATGGCGGCGATGGTGATGACAGCCACGCGTCGTGTCACCCAGCGGCCGTATCTGCAAAAGAGGAGCGGTGTTCGGGGTCAAAAGGGTTGCATCAATTTGTGGCAAAGGAAGCGGAAATACACGCGCCATGCCCGTTGTTCCATCTACTTCTCCTACTCCACCTCCTCCTTGTTCATTTGTTCCCTTCTGGCTGCTCCTGGCGTTTCCCTTTTTGTCCTTTTGCCCTTGTGGCAAAGCGGCAAAGGGTTAACACACACACACACAGCAGCAGCAGCAGCCACACTCTGGGAAAAGTTCTGCTTAAAGTTTGGGGTTTTAAAGCTCCTGTTTAATTAATCGGAAAGTTCTACTAAGCCCCATTACATAAATTAAAACTCCACAAGGTTGTTGGCAAAAAGTCAAGCCACTGACTGGCAGTTGGCCCTCAAACTCTATTGCGATTCTTAAAAGATACTTTGACGTATCAAATTCTCTTTCCTTAGATTGTTTACCAAACAAATATTTTGACTGTTAAATTAACGATGAAGCAATTTTTTCAAGTGTTGAGTAGCTGGAGCAACACGTGCAAAGTGCGGAATCAGAGGCGTGGACACCACGAGCATGGACCATGTCCTGATGTCCTGATTGTGGCTTTGCATGTTCCTGGCAATCCCTCAGCGCCCAGCAGCCATTAGACAACATCATTTTCGGGTGTGCGCGACAAGTGTTTGGGGCCGTCCCACTACCAAAAACTGGGATTCCCCCGGCTGAGGCTCTGATCAGGGATTCCGGATCAGGTGCGCCCGGGTCAGTCCGCATGTCATTAATTACTCGACTTGGCAGGGCGACAAATCGCCCAAACCCCAAAGACAAACCGCACACGCATTGCGGCCACTGGCATATGCAAATCATTCTCGTCGTCGTCCTTTTTCAAGCACTTCGATTTTGCTTTTACAGCAGGAAATGAGCAGTCTGCAGCAGAACGCAAAAACCAAAAACCCAAAACCCATACCCTAAAATCCACAAACCCTCTAGCGAATTTCCACAAGGCGGTGTGAGTGTGAGTTGGGTTTTTGGGTTGCCCTGGTCTGGTGGCATATGCCGCATCGTTTTGGCTTGTGCAGGAAATCAAACAGAATAATTCGATTTCAATTCAAAGACGCACTCATACACAGTCGCACACTCACGCTCAAGGACGATGATGGAGCGGAAACGGAAGTTTATGTAATTGTATTCACATACAAATTCAATTTCGTTTTCGGCACGAAAATTGATTTCCATGTGACGAAAGCCCGCAGCTCCAGTCCTCACACTGCCTCATCCACTCACCTGTGAACAGTGGTGAGAAGGGTAGGTAGGTACTATTTTTATTAACTTAAGGTACAAAATGCCAACTAGAAATAATATATAGTATATTGTTAAAATATATTAAAGAAAAAAAATGAATTTCTTCAAATCAAATATAGAATTTCATATCAAAAAATCTGACAAAACTTGACAAGTTGATATACAAATTGTAATATGTTTTTAGATTCCTTCGAGCCAAGAACTTATTGCACCAATGTTGTTCAGGTCTGCCTGTCAGCATTCCCCCTCACCCCCTAGTTCCTTGTTACCTGCACTAATTCAGTGTCTTAGAGTGGCTGAGGCAACGCTTTGATATATGCACATAAACCTGCAGCCATTAGGTGACACACGATTTGGTCCTGTGTGTGTGTGTGTGTGGCAAGTGGAGGAGCCAATCAGCCATCGATGGGCTAATTGAAATCGTGTGTGAGAGTGTTCCAGGGAGGATATTCTGTGTGTGTGTGTGTGTGAAGCCCTGTATGTGTGTGGGCGCCAGGAGCAGGCTGCTCCAACCGAAGGACATTTGCATTTAACGCTCGTATCGAAGCTGGCGGCTTGACTGGCTGCGTGGCATGCGGTGGCTTTTGTGTTTGTCCCACATGCACTCAAGAAATTACCGCAAGGCACGCACAACGATCCTGCCGCCCAGGACTCGCTTCCCCTGGTTTTTGTGCCGTCATTTGCATAGTTCGAGTTGCTCCTCCGTTTTTTCCTCATCCTTTTTTTTTTTTTTTTTGCAACTCCTGCCATGTCAGCTTGGCCGCTTTTGTTTTGGCATGGGAGCTTTGATGACTCTTTATGAGCGTTTTCCTAACTGTCATTGCTAGCACGTGCTCAGTGCACAGTGGGTCAAAAGGTTAAGGAAGCGGATAGATTATGAATATAGACAAACTAAGGAAGCAAAGTTTATGGGCTAAAATGCAAAAACTTGGGGTGTACATCATTTCAAAAAGCTTCTTTAAATTCCATTTCTTAAATCAGCTTAAGAGAAGTTAAAATGTTTCTTTCTTCTCAATAATATATACCCCTGCAATTTCATTGATTTATCAACCACCCCATCAATTTTCAATCTTTTGCAATAAAAGCTACCTAGGTCTCCCCAATGAATCCTCTTTTCTTATGTTTTTTTTTTTTGAGTACAACCCCATAGTTTGGTATAACATTTCCTCGACCACGACCAAGACAAGTGAAAAAATACAATTACAAAAAGTTCCCAGGTGCGTCATTGTTGCTGGAACAGGTTTTTGCGGTGTTCGTTTAAGTGTTGTGCCTTCGGTTGTTGGCCAAAACCCTTATGCCACCACCGCCACCTACACCCATCAGAACTCCTGCCACCTTCTGCCTCGCAAGCCCCCCTTTTCGCCTGCGGCAAACTTTCATTGTTCTTTCAGTTTTTATTGCAGTTTAAAATGAATTTCACATATGCGACTGACAGTTACGATGATGACAGGCGCCAAAGTCAACGGCAGTGCCAAACAAGAAGCAAAAAAAAAACCGGCAGAGACATCAACTTGTCACATAAAATACGAAAATTTTCTCATTTTCGTTATTTTTTTGAGCTTGGAATGGATAAAGAAAGGGGGAGAGGAGGAGGTGGTGCCGCTTCATCTTCACTTTGTCTGCTACTAATTAAATTTGCACGCGCTTTTTATCCAAATTGTTTTTGCCAATTTCCCCGGCTCGGAAAATCCAGGCGAGCGCAATTAAATTAAACGCCTGCAATTATTCTAAAACGCTAAGAAAACACGCTGAATCAGCGATTCCTTCTGTCTTCAGGTCCTAGATGAATGGGCGTTTTCTCTGTGTAGGTGGGTGGTGGCTCTCGACTCCTAATGAGGCGCCGGCGCTTGAACTTTGAGCTTCGTGTTGGGGAGTGAAGCTACAAAAAAAAAAAAAAGAAAATGCGCTGCTGCCTCCACTTTGACATGCAAATAAATCAGATTTACATAAAGCGGGAGTCTGAAGTTGGACCAAGGCATAGCAATATACTATATATATATATGCTAGACACATCCAAAGGATCCCAGTTACCATTTCTAAGACACAAAAGCTGCCAACTGTGCGCTGCGCTGAGTTTTCCATGCAATTTTCCCACAGCAGCCGGCGCTGCCAGTTCAGTTCAGCTCCTTGAGATTGAGATTCAGATTCAGCTGAGAGTGGTGTGAGCAACGTCTTGACATCTGAAGTGTAAAATGTCTCGGGTAACTGAACAGTCTAGGTGGGCGTCGGAATCTGCCGGCCCCGCTTCCCCGAGGTGCAAATGCAAACGAGTCCAGGTGGCTAAACTTAATTTTCAGGCGATGGCCACGAGGCACAAGGTCTGAGGGTCTATGCAAATGTCATTAACCCAAGGGCTCAAATTAATATCGGACAACATTAGGCGACCTTAATCAGCGTTTGAACAGCACAATTTACATAACAATTAGATTTATCATTGGGTTTGCCTATCTGGTAAAGGCCTTTGAAAGGTCTTTGAGTTTTAGCAGATAAATCAATTTTCAACTTTGGAAAAAAAAGAGAGAAAGTCGTTTGACTATTATTATTTTCTCAAAAGTGACTAACTTTTAGTTCAAGAAATCATTATTTCCAATTTCATCATTATGAAACATAAGCTAGAATCCGAGGGTAGATTTAGAACCACCTCAATACATCAAGATCAATCGAGCAATTTGTGTCGTTCACCCATCATCAAGCATCCGATGTCGAGCATGAAATGTTCTTCTCCTGTGGAAAATCTATCTCTTCGCTGTGCTTAATTTCACTTTCAATCCCATCTATCTATCTATCTGTACCTTTTCCTCCCTCTCCCGAATGACAAACGGAATTCAAAATCAGGGAAAAAATATTCCATGAAAACTGTCATTTGCTAGAGGAGACCCCCCACCCATCCATTCCCCTTTCGTTCCGAGAGCTCATTTAAATCCTTTTGCCGTGGCATACAAAATTTGCAATCTGAATTTTCAGCTCGCCTCGACATCAACTTGCCACATCAATGAAGCGTTATATGCTCGCCAACTCGTTACGTGAACCTTGCCACACAAAAGATGCACACAGATAGATGGAAAACTGGATGGAAAATTCAGGAGGATGCGATAGGTTGGGGGTAAACTGATGGCACACCCATACAAATGTCGTGTCGTTTTCCATAAGCGAATAAGCTTACCCCAGGTGGCAAACAGAAACAGAAACAGCAAAAGCAACAGCCACGGGGCGGTGTAGAAAAAATATTTTTCTACTTTTGGCTTTTGGCTGAAAATATCATCAAAGGATTTATTATGGCTCTTTCATGACATGGCGCTGTGGGTTAGGGCTGGCAACTGTCTCGATTTGCTTTAGTTGCCCCCTGTTGTCCATTTTTTACCTCCCTCATCAACCCCTTTCCCGGCTCCTACAAAAAACCCCTTTCCCCAAAGGTATTCTTCATGCAATCATTTCGTCGGGTCGCCAGCTCTAAGCCAACTCCCCGCTCTGCGTCTGTCAGCGACTTGACCAACGTCATTTTTAACAAAACTCTTATACACTAAGGAAAATTGTTAAAAGCAAATACATTTACTATGAGATAAGATATTTTTTGACTAATAAAATGTTAAGCTAAATAAGTAAGACTTTTGGGTTTAAATATCGCTTGAAAATTGTTAGAAAACCTATGATCCGTTGACTAATTCAATATTTTAACGACCCCAACTTTCTTCTCTGTGCACACACGTCAAGAAATAAAATAGAACAGCGTAGAGACAAAGGTTTATCCACTCAAAAAACCGAGATATGAAGGAATTCAGTTGTGGCTGCTGACACATAATAAATTTGTGCGTTTGTTCTTGGCCGCAAATGTAATATTCGTATGCCAAAAAAAAAAGGTTTGTTGGATTGCACTTGTGGGGTCGGAGAAGGCATTGTTGAAAATTTAATTAACACACAATTGTTGTGGTCCAGCCGGGAAAAGGGGGCGTTCGTGGGGTGGTACTTGATAGACTAGTTTCAAGTTTACTAAGAACTGAGTTTCGACTGACTGCTTTTGTGCAAAATGCTCGCCACTGGAAATCAATTTCAACTGCTGACTGTTGACTGCTGACTACAAAGCAGTCTAACATGGCTGACTGGCAGCGTTTTGGGCCACGACGACAGCAGGACAAGCTCATTGTCATTGTCGCAGTTGAAGGAGCACACAGATACACACTGATATCCATCCACACCAGAGGACACACTGTACTCTACAGTGTACAAGGACACACACAGCACCTGAGGCAGCAGAATTTGATTGTCTCTGGGGCATCCTGCCGGGAGAGCGCAGCTGGAGCAACGTGCCGGATATATATACAAGGTAGATTGAACTGCGATAATGGAACATTTGGGCAGCCTTCAGCCCGCTGACAGATGAAGTCATTTCTGGAGAGTGTGAAAAATGCGATATGTAGGCCAGCTGGTCAAAGGTTAAAACACTTTTTCAACAGTCAAACTGATTCTTAGGATATTTAAAAGGAATTTAAATTCAATTAAGTAGATACTACATTGAAACGAAAGCTTAAAGTCCGAAAAACGTAGATTAATAACCCAAAATTAGGATGTTTCTCTTCTTTTAGGGACAACTTATACTAATTTATAAAATAACATCGAGATTAGGATAAGGAGAAACCCCTCCAGTCTGGACCGAGCAACAGAAACTGCCACTTCACTACTTTCACCAGCTGGTAATGACACTTCTTTTGTTTCTTTTTGTTGTCCTGATCCACAGACCCACTGAGAATGACTTGGCTAAACTTTGTTGGCCCCGCACAAAAACCACACTGATCCAGAAGTGCTTAGCCAAGTTGAAGATGAAGTCGCCGGAGAAGTGCAAAAACCCTCGTAATGCGCCATAAATCTGTTACTAATGAAACAATTATGAGCGTCGATTAATGAGGAGCCCCATGGCCCTCATAAAGAACTCGATTGCTGGAAATGAGTAGCACATCAGTAGCACAAAAACGTGACAGGCATGACAACGCGGCGTATGAGTAACGTGCATATAAAGCACCTGCAATGGCCTGACATTAATGAATCGATTTTGGACAGGAGATCCCCGCCTCCTTCCACCCATCGAAACTCCGACAGCCCGGACAATTAGTTATGGATTGGATATTTTATGCATGTGACACAATCCTGACAATCACTCACCTGAGCGGATCCTTGATGTGGAATGTAGCGGTCCATCGAGATGGCGCACAGGTTCAGAATTGACGCCGTCGAGCACATGACATCAAAGGCCACCCAAGTATCACAAAATTGCGCTCCAAAGATCCAATATCCTGCGGGGGAAAGGAAAAGTGAAAAATATAGCTGCGAATACGAGTGTTTGATTGCTTGTTTAAAATGCTTAATAAGTACTTTCTGTCTGGACGTGGCGGAAATTGCTATGTTGCGGCCGGACGGGTAGAAAAAAAAAACTTGTTTCATTTGCACGGCGCCCCGGCCAACAATTGCAGCCCGGGAAAAGGCCGGAAAAGCAAGAGAAAATGCAGAAAGGCAACCAGTGTCACAGCCGCCAGATTCTTGTTTTATTTATTCATGACGTAAATTGAGTTTAAATGATTTCATAAATTCATTTCCGCTTCCTGTGCTTCTCTTTTCCGTACACCCACACACACACACACACAGACCCATTAATAAAAGCATACGAGGGTGTCCTTTGCGCTATTTAAATTTCATTTTGCCCAGCGAAAAGTGAAAACCAAATAATTTATTTCATTTTTTGGGCGCTTGGCAATTTCATAAGTGCGTTGCAATTACGCCGCAGTCGATTGATGTCCTGCGCGTAACCAGAAACGGATGTCCTTTGACTTCTGGCCAAGAATATTGGGCGGAAAAAACAAGAAAAAATACACATGAATTCAATAAAAGATTTGCAAGACACAAAAAGGTTATTTATTCGTGCTGCGGCTTTCCACCGATAATTTGGGGCGATAAGAATATGCATATCATGCTCGTTATAGCTTTCATGCCAGTTAATCAAGCGTGCCGCAGGATATGGCTCTTAAATGCCACAGGAAATGCCGACGCAACTGGTCAAAGCAAAAGCCAATCCGATTTTACCCGGCTCAGCCTTCAGACATCAGGATATCAAAAGACGAGGATATCAGGATATCAAAGAGAGTCCACCAGTTCAGCAGTAATGATTTTCTCTTGGCAACCCTTAATAAAGTGATTGCCAATGAAGGTAACTTTAAGAAGATGTAGTATACTTAAATAGAACTTACTTTAAATTAGATTTTAACTGGGACTTAGGCAACTATTTAGTTATAATATGGAAATTTCTTTCCCACAAAAATCAAAAAACCTTCACAACCTTTTCATATCAAATACTTTTAAGTGGGTTTTGTTGAACGAAATTTGAAATTTCAAAATACCATATGTGCACTCTACATTCCTGAGCCTTGGACTGATTTATACCTGAATTCCCCTTGTCGCTAAATCGTAGCTTGAGCTAAGGCTTTAGCATTTCCAAAATGTTCATTGCCCCGAAAAAAGCTATTTTTGGAGGTGAAATACAAGGAGCACTCGGAAGAGTGGGAGTTTGTCTTCCAGTCAGCAAATAATTCATGCTGCTTTCAATACACAACGTTCAACATACATATGAATTGCTCTTGGCCAAAAAGTATCCTTATTCTGTATATGCTTTTGCAATTCCTCGGGCTGGCAGCATCTGTCTGTTCTCTTTTGGGTCTGTTGTTGTTTGAATTTGTCCAATTGCGTACGATGTTTATTTGCTGATTTGCCTGTCTTCGAGCGTGCTAAATGTTGCCTTGGCGAAAATAATTTGCCTCTCTGTATGTTTGTGTGTGTGTTTGGGGGGGTGCCTGTGTATGCATAAGTGTGTGGGTGTCGCAGGACCCTGAGGCATCTGTTTGTCTTGAGCAGCTGAGCATTTTTATTTATTTTTTCACACTTCTGCTTACGCGGCAGCGACGTCGCCACTCGTCTCCTCACAGTGCCAAAGTCGTTTATTATTTTCACACACTCGCGGAGGCAGTTGGTGGCTGCAGAGGCGTCGTTCGGCTTTTTTTTAAGGGGGTCTTAGATGTTAGTGAATTTTTTCAAGATTTGACTTTTTGAGGAAAATAAGCCTTTAGCCTTTGAAAATCTAAATTTTTATAGAAACTACAATGATATCATGTTTCTGGATTTTTACCAAAGAAATTTCATATTTTTTCCATAATAAAATCTTTTCCAAGAAAGAAAAACATCTCCCTTTACCCACTGCACATTCCCTCTGGCATACGTCACCCAAACTCATCTCTCTCTTTTTTCCTAACTTCACATCACCACATCGCTTTGGATTCCGTTCACATTCTCAGACTCATATATATGACAAGCTCGCAGTTTTCTTCTTTTGTTTGCTGTTTATGATTTTCCACTTTTTTGCAGCGTGTGTGCGAGTCCTTACACATTGATGTCAGCTGCATGTTTCCTGAACCGGAACACGTTGTTAGCCCAGCTCCTCGATCCCCCCAATTACCCCATGTTCGAGGACAAAGTTTCTCGCCCGCCTCTCGCCTAATTTGCCTCTTATTTACTTAGCCAATGTTGGCCCGTCAAGTCCTCAACTCGAGTTTCCCATCTCCGCAGCCGCTGGAATTAATAAAATGCACCCATAAAGGAGGGGGCAAGGGAAACTGGGCCATCACCATTCCACTTTCAAGACTTGCAAAATTGCAGTACAACTTTGTCAGCCTCAACGGCAGAAAAAGTATTGAAATGGGAAAGTCTACACTCCAAGGATAGCTCAAGGAATGACTTGGTTGCCGTTCCTGGTCTCGGAATGGCTAATGGAAAATAATCAGAATGTGTGGTTGCACTCGGGATCTGCATGTTAGACGGCACCAGATGTACAGCTGGTATAAAATGAAATTCCTGTTTGGCTGACTATTACCATTTGTCCACCGATGGGGTGCCGAGGGTTAGCGGAGAAGTTTGAAGAAATTCTATGAATGGATTTAAGCTAATAAAATAAGTACTGCAGGTTATTTAAGCATAGAAACAAATTAAGAAATTGCTAAAAAATGCAATAAATTTAACTTGACTTTCAGTACAACTCCCTTTCCAAAATTTCTTTAATATTTCAGCGAAATTATGACAACGTAAGCCATGTGTTTATTTATTCAAAAATGCAAAGCCAGCCCTCGTTTTTAGTATATGGTACAGAGGAAATCTTGTGCAATCACAATGGACCCTCTTTGGTCGGAAAACTCAGAGAACTCGGGTAACTCGTGCGTCGACTTGTGCAGCTGACACTTTAAAAGGCATTGACAAAGCCACATAAAATCCGGCTTTAAGCGCTGCCAGGCATGTCAAATGGGCTCGAGTGGTACGCGGATGGTTGAGTGGAGCAACACCCTCATGGGATCCCCTATTTCACACTCATTTCTTTTTTTTTCTGTCGTGCTGAAACAGCCTGCAGCATTTTGCATAAATTTCATCGCTTGCTAAGGTGAATTTCAATTGCAATTTTCCATTACCCAGACAGGGCTGAGCTACTGAAATTGAGAGCATTAGGAGGAAGGAGGTGTATGATACTCACCCAGCAAATCGTTGACACCGGCGAAGGTCATCACCAGCGAGGCCACAAACAGATCCGCAATCGCTAATGAGGCCAGGAACAAATTGCCAATCCGGCGCAAACTGCGCTCCGTGTAGATGGCCAAACATACCAGGATGTTGCCGGCCACCGAAAGGAATATCAGCACCGATAGGAAGATGCCTGCGGCGAGTCCAAATCAAATATCACACCCATAATCGTAGTTCAGGTGAAGGCGGCCATCAAAATACCAACAATGATCGGTTAAAGCATACTTATATGGGCTTATATGGGCAGGATGGGGTTGTGCATGTGTGTGCGTGAGTGGGATTTGTGTGTTTGTCACATGCAACATGCAATTTTACAGATAATTGTTGTGTCCGTGAGAGCTGTGAAAGTGGTTTGATGGTGGGTTTGGTATGTCGGTGGGTGTTGCTATACAGAATGAGAATGGCTAGTGGGTGGCTCTTGCTGTACATTCAACGACATTTACTTTACCAACAACTACAATTGACACAAGTGACAGCGGCTCCGGTTCCTCACCAACTATTGTATCCATTTCAGAGGCATTTGTCCAGCTGCTCTCATTGTAGAACGATGTCAACTGCAAGGGAAATAGTTTCGAATGGGCTTGTTTTACTAGTTGGTTTAAGTTGGATATAAAATATAGTTTATAATAAATATTTAACTATTTTAATATTAATATTATATAATATTAAATTTCCAAAATATATACTTCTAGATATATGCTTGAATTGAGGCTTTGCCTTTGATCTTTCTCCCACGAAACTAATTAAATTTGTAAAATGTTTTTCGAATTTAATTAGCTGGCATCTGCTTTGTGTTTTTTATGAACTTTGCTCCATTCATTTTCTTGATGCTGTCATCGTGGCTGTTTGTGGCACGCATGTCTTGGCCATGCCAAAAAAGAAAAAACTATCAATCATTTGTGGCATCTGTGGCAGGACCGAAGGACGAAATCCCCTTGAAGAAGCCCACGAACCGGGCTGGCATTATTCATAATTAAAATTGACAAAATTTCAAGAAAATTTGCCATGGCTTGTAATGAAATTAATTTGTTTTACTAAGCGCCTTGCCAAACCCACCCATCCACCACACATTTTCTCCCTATAAGTATACGAGTATGTGTGTATGTGACTATCTATCCATCTGTTTGTGGCAACTTTGAGTTGGAATTTGTCTTGCGGTTTCTTTTGCTTTTGGGCAACCAGACATGTTGGCATTCCGGCGGTTGCCTTTGCTTTAGTGGCTCCAACTATTTACTCGATTGAAACGAACCAAACCGCCCACTCACACGCACCCCGAAGAACAATTGAGTTATGTAAATGAATTTATTAATTAATATGGAAGGGTACACATGGCCAGTGCAATTACTCTGGCCGATGAAACCGTATTCGGAGAATACGAAGTGCCTGCAGCTTGGTCGCGTATTCACTTGAATATCCCTTTGTGCCACGGGAATGTAAATGCCAAGCCGGCAGCAACAAATAGCCATGATGAAAGCCATAATAAAAATGCTCAAAAGCAGACCCGAAACCGCTGACAAATGCAATTAATTAATTCAAACATAAAACTGCCGACGCCATATAAATATTTCCGCAGACTTTTCCAGCTTCTACCCAAACTTTCTGTTTAATTAAATTTATTTTTCCTGCCCGTGTGGTGTGTATTGCGCATAAGCAGCTTAACATTTTTTAAAGTTATTAATTGTTTGAAATGGAAACTTTGGTTAAATCGGCTTGAATGAGGTCGAAGTATGCCACAAATGTAGCATACTTATGGGCCGGACAACGGGGCGTATACGCAATTTCAAATTTACTCATTTCACAAAAGCTAATTTATTTATGTTTAGATTAAGGCAGCCAAGGGCACTCGGAACATTAGTCAAATTGCGTAAATATTTAACTCTATGAAGGCAAACTAGCGCTCTGGGCGGCAATATAAATGGACTAAAGGACCGATTATTTATTCATAAAATCCATTGATTCGCCAAGCCGAGCAGAACGTTTAAGTACACAAAGGGTTAGGGTTAGCAAAATGGGATTTCAAACTGAAATGAACCATAAATGAACAGTAAACAAAATTAATTGATGCTTCACATTACGAGCGAAATGCTCTGGACAGTAAAAGACACTTAAGATTATAAAAATAACACGAAATGCCTTCTCATGTCAAGTGAATTTTCATTAAAATCACCATCTGCTGTGTTGCTGTTGCTGCTGCACAGATTCAGTAATGCGGCTGAACATTATACTGATGTTAATGTTTATGTTCATGTCGCTGCTTCTTCAGCGGCACCAACATCATTAAAAAGCAGTTAACAGTCCGGAAGTGAAAGCGTGACTCGGTGATATCCTCCATTGGAGGACCAGAGCCTGGGTAAATGAAATGCCCATTTCCACTCAAAAGGAGAGGAAGGTCACAGCCTTCAGTCATTAAAAATTGGTGAGTATCTTTATAGGAATTTTATTAGCTATCGAAATCGATAGTAACCAGATGCTAGTTTTGACTACAGATATTCCTAAATGAATTCTATAAACATAAAAATATAATCTTTATTATATCTTTATTATATGGAAATTTAAGTTCAAAACAGCAGCTTTAATGAAAAAGCGACAATTTAACAATTAAAGAAAAGTGTTTAATTCCCATTTTCCCCATTCTAAAAGCTATAAGCTACACTTTAGATGCTTTCATGGAAGAGCGCGCAAAGAGAAAGCATAAACAAAGCATCTGCCAAGTGTGTGCTAAAAGAAATTTAAACATGTTGGGGAAAAGGGAAAAACCAGGCTAACAGAAGGAACAACTGTGACAGCAGTTACTGCATTTAATTGGCAATAAAAGTGGACAACAAATGTTCGTGGTCCGTGCGCCCTCGAACGGCCTCCAAACGGAAAGCAGAAGCTTCCAGAAAAGAAAAAGGACACGGACTCCGGTGGAGGATTGTGAGAAATACCAGGCTAGCTAGAGTCGCACTTGGGTGCTTTGGCTTTTGTTTGCAAAGTTAAATGGCACAATGCGTTGATTAAACGTCAACACACACCTACACAGGTAGCACACACACACACACCTGGAGGCCATACAATAATAAGGCACAAAACCTGTTGGCAGGACAACAAGAAATGGTGGCATTGTGTTGCCCACCTGTCCGACTCTGTCTGTCCATTGTCTGGCCGTCTGGGTAGGCGGAAGTAGTGTGATTTACAAGTGGAAAAGGACGAGCAGACAGGCTGAATAATAAGCGAATGGGCCACCAAAAGACTCGCCGAGTTACACACTTTACAGTGTCATTTGAGCACTTCCGCCAACGGCAACAGAAGCACGGCAGCACGGCAACACGATAACAAACAACAGAACAGTGCCACATGATTCCAGGACACAGCATAGTTGTTAATTAAGCGCTCTGTACAATTACTAGACCGAAAACTCTTCAACAATGCTGAAGGACCTGGGGAAAACATAACTGCCATGCCACAGCTTCCTTTTCAGTTCAAAGAGCATTTCTGTATATATAATGCGATTTCCTTGTCGAACGTTTAAGAAATCTGCAATCTATACACTAGAAAAATGAATTTAGAAGAAAATTTAGTATTTGCCATTTGAATAAACTTCAATTTTATGTTCCTCAGACATTAATTTTTTTTCAGTACATAGTCTTTAATAGCTTTTTCAAATCAATATACAAACAATGAAAATGTTTTTCAGGGAAAACACTTGTTAGGACTTAAAAAGGCTTCCCTAATTTCTTGTTTTTTCTTCAGTGCAATAAACCATTTTCCTTACACAATACCTTTTCCCAATTTACTCGTTTTTGGTTCAGTGCAATAATAAATTTTCAATTTCCCTGCACTTTGAACTTTGCCCACACGATTCGCAAGCCCCGAAGATTTCGTGGCGCATTGAACTCGTTTCGGGTGGATGGGCAAAACCAACTGAACTCGCTCTGCTCCATGCTGTTTAGCATACATTTAAATTCTTACAATAAACAAGAAATGCTGTGGGCGTCTCTGGCTCGAGTCGCAGGCTGACGAAAAGGCTGGGGATCTCACGTACTAGCGATAATACTAGAGCCTAGACAGCTGATTTATGAGCCGGAGCAAATATTTATTGTTTGCTTTTGAAAACTTTCTGAAAGAACTTAAAGTTTTACTTAAGCCAAGCTGTTGCCTCGTTATGCAATGTGAAAATGGGTTAAGTTGGTGGCAGGAGCATGTCTGCCAACTAAGGTGATGTTGGCCAGGGAACACTCAAGAAGCACAGATGCTAGCTGCAGTGACAATTGCAAAAGTCGGCTATCTCCTCATCTGTTGGCCATTGTCTGGCCTGTCAATGCCCGTTGACAATTGCAGGAGAACTTTTGGATTCCAAGGAGTAGGAGAAGCAGGACGTGTTCCTGCAGACAGCTGTCAACAGTACTGCTCCTACTCCTGATATATATGTGTCTCTGTTTGTATTCATTGTTGAAATTTCGGCTTAATTAAACGAAGCCGAAAGTCAAGAATGAGGGAAAATTCTGGTAGACACATGTGTCTGGCTGTCAAAACTGTCGTAATTGAGGGCCCAGCATCTATGCATGAGGCATTAAATGCAAATGAGCGCCTGATGGCGCGGAAAAGTGTGTGACATTAAGTAGGGATTTTCCTGCTCCAGATGAGCGCCTCCCAAGATGAGCAGCGTCCTCAATTATGAATGAACTAATTAGATTCGCCTCCCTCCTCTGCCTGGTGATGATGGATAACAAGATTATTCTCCCTCGAGCGGGGTTTTCACACTTGTACGCCGGCAAGTGGCAAGTATTTTTCGGACGTGGCAGAGACACACTACCCTTAACCACAAGCCAGACACTGGACATGCTCCTGTCGAAATCGTCGACGGATTAATAATTAAAATGACCCAAGGATGGACATAAAGGTTGGGACACCACCAGTTTTGCCTCTGGCTGTGGCAAGTTGTTATTAAAAATTCATTTTATTTAGGTCATGTGCCACACAGATGCTTGGGAAATACTTTTAGTTGATTGCTTTTTTAGGATCGTTAACCCATTAATTAACACAAGATATTAACCTGACCAGAGACTTTAGAATTTGATGAGTTTATAAGGTATTTTAGGTTTCAAGTTTCCTTGATCCTTAGCTTGTCTACTTGATGTTTTCATAGATAATCTTAAGTGTTATTTGAGAAACTTAAGGCCCTATTTAATGGACAAACCCTTACGTCTATAAACCAAGTATACTCAATAGCAATGATAATTACCAGAGCCCGATTGTTTGGCTCCGATTGGCCATTGTGTGTGCCTTAGAACTGGGAAGGTAAATCAAATGTTGCAACATTGTTTGCCTTATTGCTGCTCTATTGCCTGCCAATTTTCGGAGGACCCGGCGATTGTGTGTTTTGGCAGCTATTCAGCAGATTGCCATGTTGATTTGCCTCGGGCAGATTGTCAACGTCAGGATAATTAGCTGCAACAGGAGATGACTCCGCTGTCGGTGGTTGTTGATGTTGTCCTTGCTGGTGTTGATGGAAGGATGGTGTATGGAGTTCCTCTTAAGCTGATTGTAAATGTAGTCCCCCATCTGCCGTCACTCTCAACCCCATCCAACTTAATCTTCATGGTACTCATCTCCTTTCTCCACCATCTCCTGCATTTTAGTTGGAACATCGATTTTCAACTTTTTCCACAGGCATATCTTTTCCTTTTGGGATTTTCCACTGGAGCGAAGTGAAAAAACTTGGCAAGTGAACGATGTCAGTCAGTGGCGCTCAGTTGTGTGCTTAACACAAACATCCCGTTAACTCGCACAAGTGTCGTTGGCACACAGACACCATTGCAGATTCACATACGTCACATGAGTGTAAATACAGATACATCAATGCAACTGCACTTGTTTCAATTGAAAGGAGAAAAAATGGCGACTAGAATGGCAGAGAGAGAGCCATATCTCATGGATTTTTCTTAGCCGTGTCAAGTTCCCGCACACTTGCACAGTGGTTTCAATAGCAAAAAGACTCATCATATCCTTAGGTATCGAACCATATTCAGTTACAGCTGCAGAAGGTATTTTCTAAAGCTTTTACACAAGAAAAATTTGTTATATTTTAAGTTAAAGAACATTGCTAGTTATCCTCATTATTATTTGCAGTGTCTGAAGAGCTCCTCCTAGCTAGTAAACTCAGAATTCTCAACAATAAAAATGTAGTCGATTATCTTGATTGTATTTTGGCAATAGCTGGCAAACTTGCACACCCGGGGCAGATGATTGACATGACCCTAGGAATATTATATGGTCGTGGCCCCATTAAATTGACTTGTCACGAGTAATCGTTCTGCACTTTTGTGTCATTGCCGAGACCCACTGATACCAGTGGCTTAACTCAAGGAGCAGATTCCCATAAAAAATAGCTAAAAAAGGGCAGCAAACCCAAACACACATACACATATGAACATAGTATAGCAGCATATAAAAACCGGGTTTATGGTCAATCAGCAGCGAGCCTTTTTGGGTTTACTGAATACACGGGAACCCTTTGACTGCTCATCGTGTATCCTTAGCCCCATTCACCTGGCCCTAAATGAAAAGAGGTAAACGAAATGCAGACAACATAAAAATCACGAATAACCTGCTATTTTCATTTGCTCTTCCTCTTTTGCCCCTTCAGGCAAGCTAACCAAAAAAAAGGAGAAAAACAAGTGTACAGTGTAAGGTACTATGAAAAAGAGTGGAAGGTGCAATTAAATGGCAACACCTAGACAAACACATTGTGGCTCTTGTGGCCAAGATTAATGTGGAATGGTCGTGATGGCGGGATCTGGGATCGGGATGCACCTGCCTTCAGCGAGTTGCTGGCATGTGTGTCTCCCACATGCGGTTTTTATATATGTATATAGTATATGTACCCCATGTATCCGTGACCCGATTTTGGGGGCACAGCCAGCACCCAGCATCAAGCTCATTTATATTGCGGCTAGCCCCCTGATTATGGCAGGCAGCTGTCACACACATTTAATTAGCCGAAATTGGTGACATTTATCCGCGTCCACTTCTCTGACTCCCTGCTTTATGTGGCCATGATCTAATTGAAAATTACCGAGAGAAGGCGCACCATTTAGGAGCTTTGTTTAAGTCTAAAAAGGAATTCTTTGTAAATTCTTTAGGAAGTTAAATTAGAAGAACAACGTTTAAATTAAATCTTAGACAGGAAAACAGTCAGCTCAAAGCTAAAAATGTAAATTAAATACTTGGTAACAAAGTTTCCCAAATTTGTTTCTCTAAACTTAATAACCTTTATTTTTGCTTCGAATTTAATCATTAGTCCTATTTAATTTGCGGCAATTTAAAGCCAGTGGTCGTTTTAGTTAAATATTATTTATTTAGTAAACACTTTGTTTGCTTTTGATCAAATACTGCTAAACAAAAACCCTCCTCGAAATGTGGCAAGTAGGCTTCGGGGCAGTGAGGAATAGCATACAATTTCACTCCAATAAATTGTTTAGTCGCCAAAGCAAACAATTACAGTTTGGTCTGATGGGCTGGATTTCAATTGGCCGGTCTATCGATAGCTATCGGGCCACGCCCCTCGCCGCGCCCGCTGCCCAATGATTTCGACAAATTGCTGGCGGAAATTTGCGCAAATTCCAAAGGCTCTGGTTCAATACGAATATAGGTATATAAATCCATAGATATATAAATGTGCGATGGGATAACAATGGAGGCGATTTGGTGAATGGAAAGCGCAATCCACATGGCAGCAGCAATAACAAATAAGTCTATTAATATTTTATTATTATTGCTATGCAAAGTCTGTGAACAATGGCAAGCCAAAGTTTTTCCTAGCGACTAGAAAATGCAAAATTCCATCCAAGAACGTAAAAACACAATGGATTAAAAGGGGAAGGCTGGATGGAGAGGCGGAGGAAATGTTCACGAAAAGAACGAACATAAACCCATTTTTTATGCATGCAGGCAAGATTTGTCGAGTGCAGATTAATAATTCAATTAGATTGCACAACGCGGCGTATGCGTGATGCATTATGCAAATATCAAAAAAGGAAAGAAATGAAACGAGTGGGCAAAACGACGCTCCAAAAGACAATTTTCTGCTGACAGATGACAGGGACAAATGTCAGTGTCAACCTGCGGTTATAGCTAACATCAATTGAGACCGGGTCTCAAGTTGTCTGGTCGCTGCAAGCCAAGTACATTCGATAAAAATTCATCAACTATGTACATGGAAGCGTTTCATTTGGAAATTGGATAAAATTGACCCAATTTCGTTGGCGTTCAGTATAAATCAGTGTAAATACGCCCTCAACTGTTTATAAATTAGTTGGAAATCTATTTACGTGGAAAATGTGCGGGACATAAACATGATGACAACGTGATCCTGCGATAAATGTCCTCGCATCATCCTGCTCCTCTCCCCGGGCCAACTTTACGTGATACTCATTATTTACATTCGATTGAAAGTTAAACGTGCGAACAGATGAGCACAACTTTGCCGTTCCCCACAACAAGTATTTAGATCTATATCAACCTCGCCTCTGTGTGTGTGCGTTGCCTCATATCCTATACTGCTGCCACACCAAGCACGTAAATTGCTCGTTCTCCCACAAAAAAAACGCCCGAAAAAAGCAAAAATATAAAAAAAACACACACGAGTGAAAAAAGGGATAAACTTTGGTTTTCGTATATACATCCTTGACGGAGTTCCTTTGAAAACAGGATTATGCATCGATGGAGGTATATGCTCCTCGTACGTTGGCAAAAGTTTCTCCATGTGCTGGCTGCTAATGAGGCTCACATTCATTTTCATTTACCAGCTGGTTGGCTAGAAGTGAAATAAATTAAAAGGAATGCCAACGCAGGGAACTTTTCCTAACTGCCAACCTTTTGTTATAATTTAAAACTTTGTATTAAACATTATGAAAGCTTGTGTAGGATGTGTGATAATCGTGTGATAATCACCCAACTCACAGGGGGGTGAACTTTTCACCGAACCCCTCTATTGTCTTGACAATTCATTAAGCAATGTGCCACAGGATTGCGTATACGCCCCATAAACCAGCGAACCAACCAGTAAACTGTACGACAATGTTCGGGAAATATGCCAGCACGTAATAAAACTGAAATGTTCATAAAGGCCAAGCCCCTCCAACGCCCGATCAGGAGACAAAGACATTGTAAATTATAGTGCCGATGGATACCTGAAACTACACCTAAAACAAAATCTAAATAAAGGCTTAGGTTTTCCTTATTTTGGAATTCATTTTTTTTCAATTTTTGAAATCTTTAAATATTCTAACACGAATAAAGATTTAAAATTGAATGCGAAAAGTCCTTTTATTTCTATGAATTTAGCTCTTTTAAATTCCTTTTTAAAGACTGCTGAATACTGAAATATTAATTTAAAATATTCTGCATTGCACTTATATTTTTTCCTCTGTTAAGCGCATTTTACGACTAGCACATTGGACATAAAGCCAAAGCCAAAGCTGAAGCTAAAGCCGGAGCCAAAGCCAAAGCCCAATGAATGCCTCGTTGGCAGCCACATAAATACAATCGACCAACTCCGGCTCTCGTTTCCACTCACCGTTGTGCCATCGTAGCCATTTGTCAGCAGTTGAATGTCGATTTCAATGTCCAGGTCCACCTTGGCGGTCGTCAACTGCAGCGGCAGGTGATCGGCGTCCAGCAGCGTGGAATTTGTGGAGAATCCACTGCTACTATTGCTGCCACTGGTCCCGCTGATGGTGGTGGAGGCGCTACTCCGACTAGTAGTGCTGATGGTATTGGGACTGGTGCTGCTGATGGAACCGATGGTAGTGGTGGCCACTGTGGCGGCGGCCACTGAAACCACTCCTGCTGCTAGTGCAGCAATTGCCCGCATTGCATTTGTCATCGGAAAAAGGATAATTAGAACCTGGTCGAAAGGGCGTGGTGTGGTGCGACGATTTTGTTGGGCTGGATGGGTGTTTTGTGTTTGCTCTTCTTCAGCGAAATATTCTCAGTTACGGGTATGGCAATAAATTGCCCAACAACGGCAATGCAGCATTCTGCTAATACACTTCGATACGGAATGCGGCAAATTCAAGGATGCTCAGGAGGATTGAGAAAATCGCTGGATTTTAGATTCTGGCTGGATGAAACGTGTGGCAAACATCGCGGAAAACGCGACCCAAAGTCATGTCCAGCCATCAATCAGGCGAAATTACAGCATTAAAGTCACTTCTTAAATGATTGAATTTATATATGCTTGTTGTACACACATACAGACACACACTTTATACACACACGCACACACACTGTCTCACGCACGCCCGTCAAGAATTCTCGATCGGCACACGGTATTAAGTTCGATTTTTGCTAGGTATAGGGATTATATCTGGTTTATCTTCCCAGCTGCCACCGCTTGCCGAACCGTGCGAACTGAAGGCTGAACGTCGACTGTCCCGATACGCACGACTAACGGTATCAGTACCACGGCGGAGTACCACGTCGAACGACCAATGCCGTAGAGTATGCAACAACTTTCGAATTCCGCCGGAGCCGATATGTCCATTCAACAGGATGCGCAGTTCTACAGGCGGAATATGTGCGCCGCGCAGTTTTCAGAGAGAGAGAGAGAGAGACGATTGCCAAGAAGAGGGAAAGCACCTGTTGTGCCACCGACGCGTTTTCCCAGCGATTTACTAGCGATTCTGGTGCGACTATGCCCGCCACCTCCATTTGTTCTCATTAGCAGACAGAGAACGGCAATGCGATGTCATACGGACAGAGTGACTGCCTCAACTGCATGAAAATGGAATGCAATTGCTGGCTTTGACAAATCGCCGCTGGCAGATCTGCAAGCCGATGCAATCTTTCAATTGACATACTCTTCCAAAAGTGGGGTAACCCTAGTTTTGAAAAGTCATTTGTATAAAAAATTTCTTAAAATCTGTAAATTAAAAAGTCGTACCACAAAATTAGCTAAGGATAATGTAAATCTAAATATTTACACTGTAGCATAAAAGAGTTCTTCCAGCTTAGTCATTTATTTTGACACTAAAATGTACTGCTCCTTTGAATAATCTCTCAGAACCACATGTTCCTGAGCAACCAGTCATGGTGCTTGGCCACATCCGTATAGATAACAGGCAGTTTAAGATTGCATCTGTTGGTCATTCGCTGTCCAGCTGAAACGACACCGCGTAGCATCCAGATATCCTGCTCTTGAAGCATCAGTCCACCTCCCGAATCTCCGCTGCAGGGTCCTGAAGCCAAAGCATTGCTGGCACAGATCGTATGTGAGGTGATAAAACGGGCATTCTCCATGGAGAGATTTCCCGACACTCCGACTGGGTAATGATGTCCGTGTCCGTCATCTTAGCTAGCCGTGTGTTCCGGTTGCCCTTCTCGTCCTCACCCCAACCAGCCACATAAGACTTGTGGCCCGAGGGCAGTTCCAGCAGGAAGTTCTCATTCCACAAACATATGGGCTTGGTGTAATCATCAAACCTAAAGGGAGAGAAACATTAAATTTAGAAGATTATTATATATTTTTTAATTGATATACTTACATGACATGTTTTGTTAACTGCAGAAGAGCCAAATCTGCATCGGTATATACATTGGGATTGTACTGTTCGTGCAGCAAAAGTAGAGACACGCTCGATGTGATACCAGGTGAGAACAAGTCCATGGTATTACGACCTAGCGATACCGTAGTTCCTTTCACCTGGCAAATTCCGGCTGCCAAAACGAAAGCAATGAGCAGCCGAGATTACAGTTCTCGCCGAGATCAGGGTTCCTCCGCACAAAAAGTTGTAGTCCCTGCCCACTTGCTCAAAGAGACCCGCCATCCAGGGCAGCTGACCGCGCTCCACCGTAATTCCATTGTGAATGAACGGCGTCTGGATGGTCTTTTCCCGACCGCAAATGCCGCTTAGCTGTCCGATTGTCTGGGGAATGGATTTCTCAATCTGCACTGGCGGTATCAATGGTGGTATTGTTGGTCTAGCTGTTGTTTGATATTCTTCGATTTGTGGCAACTGAGGCACAGGTTGTGGTTGCGGCCTTGAAGGGGGCTGTTGTGGGATTCTTCTTTGCTGAGGCTCTTCGTCCACAAATATTGTTGTGTTTTGTTGAGGAGTCTGAGACCATTGAGGTTGCGCCTGCTGAAACGTTGGAAGAGCCGCCAAAGGAACAGTTGATCGCAGAACTGATGACAATTTTATAGGGGTGCTAGGCTGTCTTACTGAAGAAAATCAAATCAAATTGATTTAGATATTAAAGATAAAGTGGATGGGTATCACTTACTCGGATTAGATTGGCACACTATATTTCCATTTAACGTAACCTTTGTAAGTTTGGGAACTACACCCTGCGTGGGAAAGTCAATTCGGTAATCGATGGGTACATTGTTTTTCAACCGAAAGTCGAGCGATTCCTCGTTCACTGCCAGTTTAATAGATCCTGGGGATCTCTAAAATAAAATATATACGAGACAAGAGTTAATATCAAATTCGCGACACCATAAAGCAATTACAAACTCAGATGGATAGATATATAAACATAAATCAACTGGCAAAACCGAATCTCTTTTTTAAAAACAATAACATTAGCAGCTGGGCTTAGTCAGCAGATCTCTCGACGAACGACAAACCAGTTCGACGACTTTAAGGAAAGCGTAAGAGAACAGAGCTGGAGAGCTTTCGTATGAACGTGGTTTTCCCGAGCGTGCATTTTCTTATCAGCCATGCAATTCCCATGAAATTCCACTTGACCAGTGAGCTCACCAAGATAGATGGTGAATAATCAGGCATCCAATCTGAGAGTGAGGTCAATGCTTGATAACACTGACATAACGCACAATTCAGGAGGGTCAAAGCTGATGGCAAACTTACCGGAGCCTGTCGACCAGGGTGGGAAAGTTCAACACCCACTACGTTATCGGCGTACGAACTGTCCAAAACTAGCATTAAATGACCTATGTACTCATTATTGTACTCGAGATACCGAAAAATATTTGGACAGGCGACGTATGGCAGGTTTTGACCGCGAATATAGCTGATCTGCAGCATGGAGATCAGGAAACCAATCAACCGCACTTGGCACATGGCGCACGCAAAACCTTTCCGGAACAATAAAAAAAAACAATCGCAATTGCAATTTATGAGTCGAGAATCAGAGGTTAAACCGCACTCATTGAGATTCGCGCAATGAATGATTGGTTTTAGCTCAGTTAATTTACATTACTTTGCGATCTAGCTGTATAGTGCGATCTCAGACGAAGCTCGTCCACTCTCTCAACCTGATCCGAGATCAGAGTTAGTTGCTTGATTACAACAATGCTCTACGACGAAGGTGTTGGGTGATTCCGCCTCCGTTTGAACGCTTGATTGGGATTGATTTTACGGTAATTTAACAGATTTAAATGAAAAACCCATGCTTAGAAGGGAAGCCAACATTTTTGCATATTTTTGCCAAAAAAAACTTAAAAACTACATTTATCAAATTTAAAAGTTAATCAAGGTATGATAGTCCATATTTGGACAAATTACAGTCATTCTGGGAGAAAATCGGGACTAACAAAAATTGGCATTTTGGGTAAAGTTGCAAAAATTTAACATATTTCACTTTGAATGCAGATCTCGCAAGAAATGAAAAACAAGCTTTTACATCATTTGCATAGTTATGAGAAAATCTGGGATAAAGAAACTTTGCATTTTCGATGAGAGGTAATTATCTTATTGCAAAAAATATCATTTTTAACTTTGCTTTAACCAAAATTTCCTTTTTTATAGAAATGTGTATTAATGAAACATTTTTTTTAGTTCACTTTAATTTTTTTTAAGTTTACATATTATTTATTAGAAAAAACATCTTTGAAAGTGGATACCAAAAAATTTAAAACTATGGATTATTAAGTATAGTCTTATCAGTTTGTCGTATATCAGTAAGCTTCATGAGGATCTTAACAGACAATTTGATTATGTCTCCAGCTATGACAACCTTTTGTAGGTTTCTGTTAGTTCCACATATTCCGACGCACCCAGTCGATGTGTTTCGCCACATCGGTGAATACGGATGGCTTGGAAAGTTCGCAGGTTCTCTCCTTTTTCGTTGATTGCACCACCGGAGATCACTCCTCGCAGCACCCAAACGCCCTGCTCCCGCAGCATTAATGGTCCACCTCCATCGCTGGCACAAGGTCCTGCTGCAGTCTTCTTGGCGCACAAGGTGCTCGGCTGCACCAGCACATGGGGCAGCTCCTCGATGCAGTTCGATTCGATAACGATGTTCAAGTCGGTGATCTTAGACACATCTGAAGTGCCGGTTCCTGTCTCATCGGGTCCCCATCCAGCGACATAGCTCTTCAGCCCTTGCGGCAGATCTAGGCGATTCATAGTACCCCACAAGCAAATTGGTGATATGTAGTCATTATACCTGAAATATAAGATCAAAAAAGCTCTATTTCAGTTTTCAAAAGTTTGCGACTTACCTGACGGGTTCATCTAATCTGACAAGCGCCAAATCCGCCTCCGTGAACTGCTTGATCTGGTAGTTTTCATGGATGACCAATTGGGACACTCCGCGGTATTCTCCATCGGATTGAATGGCCAAGCTATTCCGACCCAAGGAAACGCCCAATCGAGCGGCGGGCACATCCCGTCCCGGAGATCTGAAACAGTGGGCTGCCGATATCACCGTTGTTGTCGAGATCAGAGAGCCTCCGCAGATAAAAGCTGGTCCGTTGTTCTCCCGCCGTTCAAAGATTGCCACTAACCATGGAAGTTGACCGCGCTCCAGATTCCTTCCTTGGAATATCAGTGGTGTGATACTGGACCCCACTCTTCCACAGCCTATAATTTCGGATGGATCGGTCCAAGAGGGATCCGGGACTTCTGGTTTCATGATTGTCTGTTGAGAGTCAGAACCCCCTTCTGGTTTCGGAAATTGTGGCCATGGCTCATTAAGTCTTTTAGCTGTCTCGTCATTGTCAGGATTGGGTCTCAACTCCCTATAATCGTTGGGTACAGTCTGAGTGACCTGTCGCCAAGTTTGTTCGGTGTTTGATGGAATGGGTTGGGTATTGTCTCTGTTAACCAATACGAAGAAGGGTTTCCAAGTGTTGTTATAAGTTAGAGCTGTATTCGGCACGGGATCTAGAAGGGATCGGTCCTTGATACGGAACAACATATTAAAGTTCATAACATCTTACATTCTGTGCCACCGCAAAGTTCTTTGCCATTTAAATTCATGCTTGTTATTTTAGGAGGTCTTCTGGGAATCGGAAAATCCACTCGGTATCGAATCGGCAAGCCCTGGCGAAGATTTTCAAGGTTCGTCCTAACATCGTCCAGCATAGAAAAGTTGCGTTCAAAATTCTAATATTGTGGAAATATATATAAATTGTTTTACAATTTCCCCTTGAGACAAAAATTCATCTAAGTTGTAAAATAACTAAGAAAAACGCCAATGGCAGAAATCTAAATTCTTGGTCAGCGAGATTGGAAAGTCTGATCTGTCCGTGATATGACTTAACTGCTAAGGTATAAAAACTGTATCTTAACGGAAAAAATGAGTAATGAGATGAAATTAAATTGAATTACCCAGTAAAAAATTGTAGATCTTACCCTGAAATGGTCAAGTTCCGGGTGGGAAAATCTAAGGATCAGTGTCTGAAGGTTAGCCATGGGATGACGCACTGTTACCAGACCGATAAACTGTCCTTGGTAGCCCTGATACTGAAAAACGGATAGCAGCCATTCTCAGGCAACTGGAAAACCTGAGATCCTATTAGAGACACCACTAGGGAAATTGTCACCAGCCGTAGGAGACTCATTGCCATCTGGATTATTCACAAAATAAAAATCGAAGTTCCCGGACACAAATATTATTTTGCAATATAACATAAAAAACATTTCCAAATGTTGATTCCAATAATGCAGAACATTTCATACTAACCACGTCGGGAATTGCATTTAAACCTTCATTCGATATATAAATTGCATTTTAATCAATCTGCAACTGCGATGATCATCCTAATCTTTTCTCTATTTGTTTTTATAAACACAATAAAAGTGAATGAACTTCTTCATTTACATTTTTCAACGTCATTTTGCATTCATCATAAGTTTCTGAAAAACAATTAAACACGAATAAGTCATTCATCTATTGTAATGCTAATAATAAGCAGTTATATTTTTAGTAAATGTATTACAAATTTCACTTTCAGAATACTCCTTGAAAATTTCCACCAATTATCTTTCCACTTCAACCCAATCCTCGGCACATTCCTCCGGAGTTTTCTTCAAAAATGTATGGCTTGGAATATCCTCTTATTGAATATTTTAGCCCTGAAGCATTTCTTTAAGCTTTAGTAGGCATCTCGTGGTCTTACAGTTATAAATCACCCAGCACGTCTCTCCACATATATACAACACTGTTCAAATGTATCTGTATTATGCATCGCAAAAGAATAATTTAATTCCATGCAAAAAAAACTAACTCTCGGCTACTCACTTATCTTTATTCTAAAACTAATCTTAAAAGTCTCAGCTGGTAATATTTGAATATCGTAAAATATGATATAATTATTTTTTAATTATTTCATCAATATTCAAATGATGTCAAACCTCTCCAAAACAATAAATTATTGTAAAAAAATAACGATTGAAATATAATAGTCGAAAGTCAGAGGTTAAACCGCACTCATTGAGATTCGCGCGATGAATGATTGGTTTTGGCTCAGTTAATTTGCAATACTTTGCGATCTAGTATAGTCCAATCTCAGACAAAGCTCTTACACTCTCTCAACCTGGTGAGAGATCAATGTTAGTCACTACTCTACGACAAGAGTGTTGGGTGATTCCGCCTCCGTTTAACCGCTTGATTTTCATGTAATTATCCGGATTTTAGCAGAAATAAACTCAATTTAAGTGCACAGTTTAATACTTTATGATACGACAAGCTTTTTAAGTTTATTTTACATCAGTTTAAGAAAATAACACACCTTATTAATGGATCAAACAAACTGTTAAGACCACCTGAAATTCAGGATAGTCTATTCCACTTGCCGTAGATTAGTATGACTTATGAGGATATCTTTAGAAACGATATGTCTTCAGCTCTGACCAACTCCATTTTCCAATTAGTTCCACATATTCCGACGCACCCAGTCGATGTGTTTCGCCACATCGGTGAAAACAGATGGCTTGGATAGTTCGCAGGTTCTTTCCTTTTCGTTGATTGCACCACCGGAGATCACTCCTCGCAGCACCCACACATCCTGTTCCCGCAACATCAATGGTCCACCCCCATCACTGGAACAAGGTCCTGCTCCAGTCTTTTTCGCGCACAAGGTGCTCGGCTGCACCAGCACATGGGGCAGCTCCTCGATGCAGTTCGATTCGATAACGATGTTCAAGTCGGTGACCTTGGAGACATCAGAATGGCCGGTTCCCGATTCATCGGGTCCCCATCCAGCGACATAGCTCTTGTGTCCTTGCGGCAGATCCAAGCGGTTCCTTGGGCTCCACAAGCAAATTGGTACTATGTAGTCGTTATATCTTACAGGATCATCCAATCTAACCAGTGCCAAATCCGCCTCCGTGAACTGCTTGATCTGGTAATTTTCATGGATGACCAATTGGGACACTCCGCGGTATTCTCCATCGGATTGAATGGCCAAGCTATTCCGTCCCAAGGAAACGCCCAATCGAGCAGCGGGCACATCCCGTCCCGGAAATCTGAAACAGTGGGCTGCCGATATCACCGTTGTTGTCGAGATCAGAGAGCCTCCGCAGATAAAAGCTGGTCCGTTGCTCTCCCGCCGCTCGAAGATTGCCACTAACCATGGGAGTTGACCGCGCTCCAGATTCTTTCCTTGGAAGATGAGTGGGGTGATACTGGCCCTCTCTCTTCCGCAAGGAATAGTTCCGGATGGATTATTCTGTTGCGGAACCAGGACATCTGGGATCCTAGTCGTCTGCTGAGGTTCAGAAACTCGACCAGAATTTGTTGTCCCCTGCGGGGGGACAGTACGACCTCCAGAATTCGGAAACCCAGGCAGGGAGTCATTACTCCATCCCATTGACGCACTATTATCCTCGACCGTCGGTTGATTGGGCCTGGGCCTGGGCCTGGTCTCAACATAGTCGTTGGGATTTTCTTCTTGTCGCCAAGAGGGTTGAGCAGCCGATGGTAAGGGTTGAGTATTTACCCCAAAGACCTCTGAATTCTCCCCCTGTTGCCATGGTTGTTGAGGTCTCGATGGTACGGGCTGAGGATTGACCCCATAGACCGATGTGTAGGAGGGTGTCCAAGTGATCCGTAAAGTTATGCCTGTCCTTGGCTTAGGGTCTAGAAGGATTGGGAAGGAGTCGTGAAACGAATATATATATTAAAGAGTATAACTACTTACATTGTTGGGCACCGCAAAGCTCATTTCCATTCAACTCGATGCTAGTAATCTTCGGAGGAACTGTGGGAATCGGGAAATCGACCCGGTATCGAATAGGCAATCCTTGGCGAAGATTTTGCTGGGTCGTCTCATCGTCATCAACCAGAGCAATGCTGCCCACATAGTTCTGAAAGAAGAAGGCAAAATTTAAATATATTTCGACACTATTAAAACTATAATCTATGATATTTTTTTTAACAACTATTTATAGTATTATAAAATATTTCAATAACGAAACAAATAGCTCATTCTTTCAGAGGCTTGTTTACAGCGATTTTTATTGATTTTATTTTTGCTTTTGCAAATACATTTGCCATTGCCGCATGGGAAAAATCACAACCGCAAACTAGCAAAGTGATAAGACTCTCTGATGTAATTTAATAGTCTTAAAAGCTGGCTTTTCTCACCGTGAATTCATGATATCCTGGCTGGGAGAATTGAACGATAAGTGTCTGGTTGTCACCAATAGGATGGCGCACTTTCACCAGACCGATGAACTGCCCTTGATAGCCCTGGTACTGGAATAGCTTAGAACACCCATTGAAGGGCAACTGGCCAAGAGCCGATCCAATTAGCAAAACTACGAGCGGTACGGTTAACAGCTGTAGCGGACTCATTGCAACTGCGTAGAGCTGAGCTTTTCCAATGTGTTTTATTGAGAAAATAATAAACTCACACTAACGCTCAAGAACTCACTCAATGAGCAAATGATTTACCCGTTCTATGTCTCTCATTAATCTACAGTTTATTCAGAGCGTCAGTGGCTCTCCCCGTCTTGTGGGTTTTTACTATAAGTTTTTGGAGTTCTTCTCTAACGTAAATAGCATTTCCACATGTTGAGATTAATTATGCAAAATATCTTATTTCTCTCGCGTCTAGAATTTCAGTTTTAACTTTAGCTTAATAGATCATTTGCATTTTAATCAATCGAAGAGTGCAACGAATAACTACTCAAAATCATCTTAATCGTTTCTGCTATTTGTTAATAAAAACTGAAGAAAAATAATCTAAATAGACCTCTGAATGAATTATTTATATGAATTATATAAATATAAAAGCTGATAACAAACAAGCAAGTTAACTGCATTAAAATATAATATTTATTTTGCCCTTCTTAGACTGATTGGTTCCACAGATGTTCTGTTTATGTGCTGTAAGTACTACATGTTCGTCATTGACTTCTAATATTAATATGATAAATATACATTTCGTCTCCTACTACTTGCCAGCTGGTTCACTCTCAAGATACTCATTAATGACTTCCTCCAACTGGCTTTCCACTTCCATTCGCTCTTCAGCATATTCCTTCAGGGTTTTCTCCAAGCACTGATTGCTTTGCTTTTGGGTATCCTCTAAACTTTTGGATTCAATCCATAGATTATGCAGATCTTGTGGTGCATTCTGTAGGCCTTCGTTAGCTTTTCTTATAGCCTTACGGCACTTTTTGGCCTTGAGGTCGGGGCAATTTTCAGTGGCTACGATAACCAGCCTTGTAGAGTCTTGCAGGCCATCTAGGGATGTACTCAAATCCAGATTTAGTCGGATCTGTGCCCAGAGGAAGTCACTCACACAATTGCGCATTTGAAGGCCATAACGATTGTTAAACTCTTCGGTGATAGAAACGGCTTCGGGTGTCCTGTGACCTTTAGTGAACTCTCCCACTCGTTGAACTTTAGCTGCTGCCCAGAAGTTCCATTCCTCTTGGTGTTTAAGTTTTGAAATCAATTCCGCCTGCTGCTCCTTGATGCTCCCAAGACTTTCTCCCAAAGGAGAAACGCCCAATCTCACACCAGTTAGAACTTGAAGTGCTTCCATCAGGGCTTGTCTCCTTTTCTTTTTCCGAGTATTGGGTAAATCCGAAATTATTTTCTCTGCCGAACTGTCAATATAATCCGTGAATCGATTAATCGCTTCTTCATTTCCATTTTGCAGGCTGTTGGTCGGATTTAGTACTAAAATTCCATTATCGTCTAGATATTCGGGCGAATTGGGAGGCGTTCCCTTGTAAGTTGTTCCGGAATCATCTCTTGCCAGGACTCCGCCAACGCAGGTTAACAGCCCCACTAGGAAGAGCAGCCGAATGGTGGGCTGCATCTTTCCACCAGCCTTCTTAGAGGCTTCAAGTCGTTCTGTCCCTTTAGATATAACACATTGGGTATTTAAATATGTAGCTCACTTTGACAAACATTTGTTCAGCTGAGGCCAATCAAAGAGCAGCCAGCACGTGGTCATATATATCGATACCTGACGTTATATACCTTTCAGATGCCCTGAAAAAAGCCAATTACATTCCAGATGCACTTCAATTTGCAAAGAGGACTATTTAAATATTGTTTCTTTTTTAATCATAGCTTAATTTATCTTAGTTAGTAATATTTCTGGTCAATGTAAATTCAAAATTCTAACGCTTATGATGATTGATATTTAATTTGAATATTTTGATTTTATCAAAAATATTTTGTACACAAACATTTTAATTGATCACCATATTAGGCATCAATCAAAACAGCTTTCAGTGATTCTCATGAAATAAATTTAGCTTTTTACCATTTAGGCAACTTCGTACTTTTTTGCCAGCGAAGCGAAATAGCTTGTCATATAGTTTTTTACTGGCAAAATAATCTAACGTTGCCTGCCTTAAACTCGTTATGCCAAAAATCACAAAACAAAAACAATTGCTTTGGCTTAAACTGTTTAATCTAATCGTATAGAAAAGCAATTCCCGGAATTCATTGGATATTACTGCTAATCCAGTTGATGTGTTTGGACAGGTCGCAGTACAGTACATAATGATTCAGCGCACAGGAGTTGTCAGCTGCACGTTCTCCCGTTGATACAATGCCCCGGAGTAGCCATTTGTTGCCCTGCTTGACCATTAGTCCACCGCCCGAGTCACCGACACAGGGCCCAGATCCATCGAGGTTTCCCGCGCACATACCTCGCTCCGGTACCTTCTGTCCCCGCCAGCTGCTGGCACAGACCGTGGGACTGACGATCTCTGCCTCGACAACTCTGGGATATTGGGTCGGAGAACTATTCCTTCCATCTACACCCCATCCCGCAACGAATCCAACGGTTGACACCGTGGTGCTTGCCTCTACTGTCCACATGCAAATCGGGGCGATTATGTCGTTGAATCTGAAAAATTCACGAATTATATCAATAGAATAAAATTCTTAAGATTCCGGGTTTTTCTGCTTACGTCACAGGTCTCTCAATTGTGATCAGGGCAATATCCGCATCGGAATACATCCGTGTATTGTAATCCGGATGCTTGACCATTCGCAACACATTTCTTGTCTCAGCCCCATCCTCGCCATAGTTATCCAGATCATAACGTCCCAGTCCGATGACCACCTGTTCCTTCGTCACTTGATCCACACAGTGGGCGGCAGTGATGACGATGCTGGCGGAGATCAGGGAACCTCCGCACTTGAAGGTCAGAGATCGATACGCCTTGTGAAAGATTGCCGATAGCCAGGGATACATGCCGCGTGGGAAATTCAGTTCCCTTTACGATAAATGGAACGAAGCTACCCTCTATCCCGCAAACTACTTCTGACGAGGGAGATCGTGGATTAAAGATTTGAGTTGGCGGAGGATTTGCCACAGTCCGTGGTGACTGTGTTGGTAGCGGAGGTGGTGGTGTATTCTGTGATGTGGTAAAGGATGGCCTAAGAGTCACAGGAATGCTTGGTACTGGTGACTCAAAGAATATATCGGTTGGCGTTTGCGCTGGAGTTATCAACTGAGGTCTCACGAAGGGCTCTCTGTTGGACGACGTCTGCCAGGTTTGTGTGAAACTATTCCTCCGGGTAGAGGGAAAGTATACAGTTTGTACATCGACATCCAAGTTATTTCTCGGAGAGGGAGTGGCAACTAGAGAAGGTAAAGGCGCCACCGGACCACTAATGTGAAGCTCATAGAAACGATTGTAGTAGCTGTTGGGTGGATCGTCTGGAAGAGCAGCAGACGATAATAATTTATTAAACTTTGAAAGAAGATACTCACATTCCCTGTCGGAGCACAACACTTGATCATTGTAGGAGAGCCACGTCAGTTTGGGCAATCTATCGGTTTGCCTGAGAGCAAATCCGAAACCTAGAGGGTTCCGTTCTTGATCTAAGCGCAGTCTCATCCGGATACGGATTAACGGGGCCCACGGTTGAGCCCTGTGAAAAGCAAAGCGGATAAAAATGATCAGAATTTAGTGATTAGATCGATGAAACGCTCTTACACTATGTTCACCCTGCTGTGAGAAACTTAAATCGATGCGGTTGCGACCCTGCTTCAGAGGGGGTAGAGTAATCTCGCCCTGGAGACCCTCAAAGGCATCGTTAACAAAACGAAAGTATCCCGGACACGAGTTCGTCGGCAAAAACTGTCCCCCGGCCAAGGCGATTAGTCCAACTAAAACTACGGCCAACTCCAGAGCCATACCTTCCCGAAATCTATGATTATAAAAATAAAATATATCTTGGTTCCGTACACAACAACCAGCGTTGGGCAAACACAACTGATTGCAGGTATCGGATATCGCTTACAGTTCCAGCTCCCATCGAAACTCGACGGGTTATTGAGTCATTGAGCGGCGGCACTGAGCAAACTGGAAATTCCGCATCGTGCTGAGCCAATAAGGCCGGGCTTCTGGCAGAGCATTGAAGAACAAATCTGTCGACATCTTTTTACTTTTTATTTAATAAATTTATATTATTACACCGACTTATAATGATGAATAGTGCGCTGTTTTTTAAACGAATACAAATTTAAATGTCTTATTGATTTTGCTATCAGAAAGTACAAAACATATTAAAAAAGGTTAACATTTTTACATTTTTAAGTTGAAATAAAAGTTTAATAAACAGTATACCCCACCTAATATCCTATGAAAGCACAGTAGCAGGCCAGACTTTGTTGTCTAGAAACAATCTTCTCATCTCGGTTTTGAGTGAAACCCCCTCTCATAATAAACGTGGGAGATTCTGTGTAAACAAAACAAATCTAGTTAATTGTGATATCCAACTCGAAGAGATTATATCTTAATCATCAATTCCAGTTTTATCTGGGATTCACTCTTTAAATTTTATGGTATTACAATTGATAAGAAAATAAACATTTAGGTTTCCTTTCATTGATAAGCACATAAAGGGTGTTACAAAAACCAGAAATAACTACAATTAAAAAATCTTACAAACGATAGAGCTGTTCCTATATCAAATCTTGTTTATCATTTTTAGAAAATGAAAAACATACCCGATTCTCTTACGCATCACTCTCTTCCCAGCAAAAGTATTTGGCATTCCTTAAAGACATTTAATCAGTGATCATAAACATCACGGGCTTAAGGCTAAGTAATATATTAGACAACTGGTATTCACTATATACTCGTACTTATTCGATCGATATTGTAAGCAATTGTGAAGTAGATGGTTACCGCAAGGAGTTAAACACTTTTTGTACTTTTATTAACTATTAAATATTAAAATCCGGGTATGGCTATTCAACTTGTTAACTTGTCACTTTGAACACTTTTAACTACTTTTAACACAAAAGTTGTCTTCTCACATCACCATATTTTGACGAACCCAGTCCAGATGCTTGGCTACATCACAATAAATGACGTATTTGCTAAGGTCACATATGTCTCCCTGACGAGGTGATAACGATACCACTCCACGAATGTACCATCGATTATTCCGCAGGACTATCAGGGCAGATCCCGAGTCTCCAAAGCAGGGACCCATGAGATTCCGAATTTCCAGCACAAACAGTACGGCGTGTGATGAAGTCCTCCGCTCGTTTCATCTCCTTGAGGCACTGATCCCTGGGCACCAAACGCACACTCACTGTCTTCGGGAATCTTGTCTTCTGGGCACTTCGATCATAGCCCCATCCGGCCACTGCCCCAGTATCACCCTCATTCGGTGGCAGACCCATATTGGATGTCCATAGGCATAGTGGTTGAATGTACTTGGTATATACCATCGCCTCGTTCAGCACCAGAAGGCCCACATCCGAGTCCGGTACTGGACTGCCCTCGTACGCCGAAGGTGTAAGCACGCTGGACACACTGACCAAAGAAGCTCCATTTTCCGGATTCTCATAGCGATCGTGTCTGCCCAGATAGACCCACAGTTGGCTGGCACTCTTGCCATAAATGCAGTGGGCCGCCGTGATAACAGTCCTTTTAGATATCACTGAGACAACGCATTTGTATGTAGCCGTGGCGCCACCTTCATAGAGGGCTGCCAGCCAGGGATACTGACCACGGGTCACAAGGTCGCCACCGATTTGAAGAGGCGCAAAACCCTCAACACCACACTGCTCAAAATCAGACTCTATTTTTGGCTTATTTTGGGGTAGGAAAGGATTGGGTTTTGGATTGGGTTTGGGATTGGGAAGAGACTGGGGCACAGGTTTGATTTGGTACGAAATTTTGTCGAATGGGTGTTGACGTAGACATGGACTGCCGTCGGGTCATTGTGCTCGAAGGAGCATCATCTGAAAAAAGTAAACATAGGGCGTTAGTGAGCTTTCTTAGAAATATTTTCTTTCTTATTTGAAAACTACTAACATTCATCGTTTCGACACAAAAGTTCGTCATTGAATTCCGCTCGAGTTAGCTTGGGCAGTTCATTGCCAAAGTTCTGGAAGCGCAGATACACCTGTCCACGCTCACCATTGTGTATATTCTCGAAGGCTTTTTCCTTGGTGGGATAAGGGTGCAAGGAACTGACAGTGTTAGCCTGCAGATGAAAATATAATAAAATATAAAACCAAACAACCATACAACCGAAGTTCTATTACCTGTCCAGTTCCGTGAGCAGTGAATACTACTTCCCATGATAAGCTACTGATTCCCGAACGCGGGGCCGTGAAAACCCCAATATAATCTCCACCGTGCTCTTGGTAGTAGGAGAAATACCTTTCGCAATTGTGCTGCGGAACCTGCAACGCTGAGCCGAGATTCAGATTTAGACAAAGGCCGAGGAAGGTTAGCCACGAGATTATCATTGCGACGGGAACAACCAATGCCGAATCGAGCTGAACGAGAACTGGGACCCATAGTCACAATCCACAAGCGACTTGCGAACTGCATTCCCGCTCGATGGAACAGCTGATCTCTCCTCAGATTGTGGAACACCCCCATTGACTGAACGTGGGCATTGCCCACAGCTATATCAAGTCTTTATTTTAGTACTGAGCTGAAGTCGGACAACTAACAAGTATTACAGAACTTGATTCTGGTAAGAATCATTAAGTAAGTGAACTGCTCTTTGGAGAAAATCCCCTCGGCATCGTAAACATGGGTCTGGTTTTACAGATAGGAAATGTTCTCTTCTTTTTAGCATCTTTACTCTCTGACGACCTCTCAACCTATCTCTCTTTTCCCGATCTTGCTCAATTCCTAAAGCAAAGAGATAGTCAGTTGTAATTACAAATTGATTTAAGTCACAACAGTTTATTATTATTATAGACTTTTAATATCTGGAATTTATAAACAAATCATTTGGTGACTTCATTATTAATTAACAAAATAACCCCTGATAACACTGGGAGCTTACTGACGAAGCTAACTGGAGGAATCTGTTCTACAAATCTGCAAATCTATTCCATTCATTAGCCTAGGAAATTGTTATCGTATATTCTAATTTCAGACATATAGCAAGGCCAATTCCATGTTCCATTTAATATTCAAAATTTTTACAAGTCTGCAGACTCTTTACTTTTCCCAAATCTGCGGCTGCCTCTCTTTGGAATCCGAATATTAGTCAGATTTAAATTTCGCATTTGCAAAGAAAGTTTCTTTGTAGAGCCGCTATCAGGCGAGAAGGCATGGGCAACTTTTAATAATATAATGCAAGGTTGTTTATGTGAATGTCTATTGAAAATGATGTTTGTGGGGCGACAACACATTTGGCAAAAACAAACTTTTGCCAACAAAACAAAAAGCAGCCAGGGGATAGAGGGGAGAAGTGCTCCTAACTTCGCGACACCCGCATCCCAATTTTTGCTGCATTGTGGCCGCTGATTCCCCAATTTCCTCCAACTGCCTTTTGGCAACTTTTATAATCAGTTCCAAGTTTGTTAAGCTTTGTAATAATTTGTTGAGATTTGGCGCGAAATTTTCGCTTCTTTCCAATTTCTTTTTTTCTTTTTGGCCCGCAAACAAAATTGTTGTGAATTTTCCCAAGTAGGGGCGGATGAAATTTTTGCCAACTTAACGGAGGCACTTTGACACCACATCGGAAAACGGTGGTGCAGGCTTCCGACTGTGCGTCAATAATCGGCTGGCAAGTGGAAGGTAACAGTGCGTCTGACTGCACTCGAAGGCAGCGCCAATTGAGCGGCCTAATTGGAGCGGTTCTTGCTCGGACGCCACTTCAACGTGATGGGTTCGCCAGGCCAGGGCAGGCCAGGCCAAGCAATTCTAGTCGAATCAAATTAGGCTTCATGGAAGGGAACTTGAGTATGAGGGCTAAACTAGGTTAAAACTTGTGGCACAATGTTGAACAGGAAATGTTGGTTTATTTCTTATAAAAATGATTTTAAATTTCGTTAGCATAGCATTTGGAACAAAGTTTTTCTTATAATTTTGTTAACATACTTAAGTGCCTTAGGATTTTATTAGAATTTTAGATATTTTTACACATTTGCATCAACTTATGATTTTTTTCATAATTTACAATTTTTTTTTTTCAAATGATAAATAAATTATTTAAGAAACTTCTATTTGAAGTAGTAATTTTTAAAATTTCAAAGATATTTTCCTTGCTCTAAGTATCCAACACTTGAAAAATCTCACTCTAGATGCGACGGATTATCTTATAAGTATCGCAGGTGCAGATGCCGCGGAACCGGCTAAACACAAAGACAAATGGCTCACCGCAGGTCTTAAGGAGCTGAATTTTCTGGGCGTGCAAAAAGCCAGCTTGAACGGAGCACTGCAACTCAGCATCCCACGAATTATCAGCTGACTCTTCCACAAGAAGAGTGTGGAAGACATTGAGCAGATGCAAAGAGCGTTGCATTCGCGGTGTGCGAACTATAGCTAATAACTGAATATAAGGTCGGAACTTGATCCAGCGTTGACAGTCCTCGATGTCCACATCAGTGCCCAGATCGAGAATCATTAGCTTGCATTCGTGGTCATGAATGGCTTTCAACATTTCCAGCTCCTTGGGTACCTTAAAGCACTTCTGCAGCTCTTCGGTGAGGTGGAAGCCCAGCTCGTGACTGGGTGTCTGCATGGTCCAAGGATAACAACGATTGGCAAAGGCATAGGCCAGCCTCTGGCGGCGTTCCTGCTCCATTCTCAAGTGAATCACCTTCTTATCAATGGATTCTATGGCCTGAGAACCACGACGTAGAAAATCACCCTGAGCCGGCCCCTTTCGCTCCTCCACCTCCTTATTGATGGCCTTCTCCGCCTCCTCCTCCTCGGCCTCCGCCCGTCGAGCACCCTCGCAACAGCGCAACTCCAACGGCGGTATGTAGAGGGGATAACCCACTTGGGCCAAGTAGGTATGCCACTCAAGCTTATTAAACGGTTCCTTTGGCACAAAGTTATCATCAGTCTGGCTCTCAATGCGACAGAGATCCTCGTCCAGGATCAACGGCCATAGCACATCGAAGAAGGACCCACCTAGGGCTATCTTGACTTGAGAGATATTCTTGGAGGTAACCATTTTGGCTACTTGGAATTTCTATTCATATAATTTGGCCTGCCTTTCGAATATAAGTCTATGAGAGAATTCCCATTGCCTCGCTATTGAATGCTTTTTAGATTGACACAAATCTGCCAGCCTATAGTCAGCTTACACCTAGAGAAATTCTGCATCTATACACTTTTTTATTGTATTTGACTCCATTGACATATTAGTAATTATGATTCTTGATAATGTAACTAAATAGTTAACTTTAACGAAACTTTCAACTAAAAATCGAAACTTTAAAGAAATTCCTAACAGTGCATGGGCTTCCATTTTGTTATCGGCAAATAAATCAGCCACTGCCACGCCCTCTAATAACAAAGTCCTCCTCTTTTTTCTACACACAAACGTTGTTTGTTTGTATTTGTTGCCCAATTTATGCGCACTCACAGGCAATAACGGTAAGCAAGAGTATTCCCATCGAGAATCGGGAATCGGCAACAACAATTTGCGTAAATTTTATGACATTCCACGTCGGATATATATTACGTACTACTGTGTACGGACGATCGCCATCATTTTATGAGCCAAAACAGTGAGGTGGAATTTCGATTTTATGAAGGAATGCAGGCGCAACAAGATGGCCACGATTTTCATTATGCTCCTGGTCGTATATTAGTTTTAGTGGGCGGGGCAAATCCGTGGGGCTGTGACAACGGCGACGAGTTTTCGGGCTCATTAGCTTTTATGGCTTTGATTTTATTGCCGTCGGCGTGTGGCAGCTTTAATTTCGAACACAAAATGTTGCCTATCGTAGGGCGTTGTGATTTTTGCTTTGCTCTTTTTTTTTTTTTTGGTTTTCCACATGTGAGCAATAAATTTTCATAAATCAATTGTGCGTGCCACGTTGAACACAATCAGACGGCTAAGCAATCTAGAAAATCAAAACCACAAAAGGTTTGTATTTAGGTTTATGTGAGTGACGAATGCTTGTTTTACGCTTCGATGTTCGGCAACCTATTGAAAATTTTGACTTAGCCCAATTTTCAGGGTGAAAATTTGATTTGAGAGCAAGATTTTAATTTCAGCTGAAAGATTTATGGCAACTGACTTGCCAGCTGCTCTCTGAAGTGAAATTTTAAGATGCCTTCGCCGGAAAAATAAGAACTTTAAGTGACCCAAAGCTCAAGGCGCGATGTTTGCTTTTCTTGTTTCATTTTTTTTTTTTTTTTCATCTATAAAACGCGACAACTTTTTGCAGCTCGCAGGCCACAAAACAAGTTGTTTTATAAATATATTTATACGCGATGTATATAAAAATTTATGTGTATATTTATTGTATTTTATTGGGGCACTTAAGCGACAGACTGTAAGAGAATACCGCGAGAGCAAAAAAGAACTGGAAGAAAAAGCAGAGAAAGCTGTATAAAAATAAGTCAAGGAAAAAGCCGGGCCAAAAGAAAAACTGAAGCAAGTAAGGACAACTGAGACGCTTATTGACATAAAAGCCAATCATTTTCAAATGGCTTTAAGCATTCGACAAATGGAGAAGCAGCCCGGCAACATCAAACGGAAAAAATAAACAAAACTCGAGCGTAAAACTAGAGTCGTATTTTCCTGTTTTTTTTTGTTATGCATTTGAGTTGGCACACCGCAGCGTACCAAAAAAAAAAGAATGAATGGTATGTAAGCTATAACGACTTTAAGGTACCCATTATTTAACTTTAAAGAATCGGAGTCTATGTAACTCTTTTCACACTTTTGGCCATATAACCTTAAATTCTTCAAAACTTAAACTTTAAACTTAAAAATTCCATGATCTGAGAAATCCTAATCCAATCGACTCTGCTATTAAATCTAATCAAGAATCTATATACTCTAAGAATCGAAAACTCTCTCTACCTGTTACATACTTTTTGTAGAACATATAACACCCTTTTACTTTACGATTAATGGGTACAAAAAGACACACCAACTTCCAGTGGATGCACTTTGAATCCGTTCGCGGTTAGAGGTTTTTTTGCATAAATAATCACATTACCGAATTTTTGCAAGGAAAAAGCGGGAAAGAGCACCGCGGAATTTGGTTTTTCCCAAGCAGAATGTTTAAATAACTGGCAGAGTTAAAGGACTTTTTGAAGTTTCTAGCGTCAGACTATAGAAGATCAATCATATTTTCAGCGGAGCGAAACAAATTTGATTGATGTGGCGTTTCACAGCCATCAATCTTCGAAAGATTTTTGGGTGCAATGTTCTATGCGTTGCTCTTCTTAATGCAAGTTGATAAATTATGGTACCTAAAAGACAGAACCCTTTAAATATCACTAAAATTTATTGCTATTTTTGTAACCCAAATTTTAAATTTACTGACAAACATATTAAATGTTAATGCACAAAAATGGTTTGAATTTTTCGGAATTTTCTGACGAACTCATCTTTTAATACAAATTATCTGCCAGCATGTGAAGGAAATTTGCCGTCTGAAATCCCTACAACATGGGCATTGATAAATAGAGACTTCAATGCATCAAATTAAATATTCAATTCCTGATATTTCAGGCCCAGAAATGGACATCAGTACGGAAGACATAAATCCATTTTTGCTTGGGTTCCGAAGGCCAAAGTTGTACACGCATGGAAAGGTCCCATTGAAATATTCCTAAAACCCGCCTACATTCATAATATGAGAGTAGAGTGGAAGTTGGCGACAGCTTCTTTATCTCAGTTCAAGGCCAGAAATTCATAAGGAAAACAAAACCAACTAACAAAGCGGTGGCTCAAGGCACCTCAAGAGATTCCCTCGGTCAGAGAAGCTGGACTGGCTTACAAATGAGTCTGCCACCTTAAATAACAAAGCGAGTGCGGCACGCACTAGAACACAGAGAGAAAAGGTTGTCGGTGAAACAAAAAAAAATATAATATATATATATATATATATCATTATTAATAAAATAGAAAATATGCAAGAAAATTAAAACTAAAATATGAAAATAACCTTTTTTGGGTTGATATTTCATAAATATTCATGAAATATATTTAAGTTTCTTTAAACTTTTATGATATAAATTTCTTGTAGTGCAAAAACCGCAGCAATATATAGTGGGTGTGATGAATTTCTGGCTGGCCTGGCATTAATTCCATTTAATTATTATGACACTGGAGGGCATCGCAAACAGGCCGCAATAATAATGGAGGCCGACAAAGAGATTACCAACACCTTGAGTGCCGAGTAGAGGATACCAGGTTCGCCTTAAGTCCCCAGCTGCTCTAATCTATTCTAATGGCTGATGTCGGAGCCAAAGCGATTTGCGAATGAGCAGAGGGAACATTTGTCATATGCCATGTGGACGCATCGGCGTACGCGGCGAATGCGCAACGTGTTGGACGCAAAAAGTTTGCCTCGCAACTTGGGCCAAGTTTCTCAAGCTCAACTCGAGCGAGAAAAGCGTCGAGCAGTGACTAGGACAACATCGTTTTCACGCTTGCCCTGCCAAGTGAAACCAATTTGCGCATTTTGTCTGCATCGCATGGCATCGCCTTGGTCCTGTTCCTGTTCTTGTTCTTGTTGCTGGCTGCAGGCAGTCATGGAGTGGCAGTCATTTTGAATTTCCCTTTTCGCCTTGCACTTGACATTCAATTTTCCCTTACAGCCTTAGCTCCTCTAATGAATGCAATGGCAAATTTGGCCCACTACTGATTACGATTTCTGGCCAGTTGGGACAATCTGTTGGCAGGACGATCCTTAAGACGCTGTATATGAGATGGGGAAGACGTGCCTAATGGGAACCGAAAACCTGCAATTGACTCTTCTAATAGGCTCACTCTTTGGGATTTCGGTAGGTAAATGCCACTTCGATTTCGGATTGGTTTGGAAGCAGACATCCTGGTCATGATTTTGGAGGTGAACTTCAGGGCGTAAGCTTAAACAGTTAATATTAAAAATCAGTAAATTTTTAGATTATGAGACAATAACTTAAAATAGGAATATATTAAACAACTTTTTGTTAACCTATGCTTGTCATCCCATCCTTATTATACCCATTTTTCCATCCTTTAATTTTATAACAGGTCTAATCTATGATATATCATTTTTAAGTCAGAAGAAGTTAAGAAGAAATAAAGTCCTTTAACCATTAAATTTAGCATGTAAATATTTCATTCTTTATTTATATTATTTAAAACTCTCAAAGCAATTTTAAAACATGATAAACGAATTCCTTGTTATTTGTCCTCATAAAACTCCTCCTTGCTGTTCTGGGAAATTACAGATTTCCTAGTTAAATAGAAATTCTCGCCTGGTCATAATTTAAAAACGAATTCCAGCTGCCTGCATTGTTTTGCGGTGGTCCAGTGTAGGTCCATCTCTTTCATGCAGCCAATAGCCATTTCTTTCTACATCGAATGTGTGTGTTTCAGAGATATATATGTGGTCGTAAATCAATATTTAAACTGGGGTATAGTACGCTCGTTTAGTCTTTGCCGGATGGTGTGGAGGCTTCCAGCTAGCGTTTAAAAATAAAAAAGCAAACCCAAACTCATTCAACTCGTTCAACGACTCAATAAATGTTGCAAATGCGCTTCTCTCTCTCTCTCTCTCGCTCTGCGTATTTATTTATACGCCAGCGAAAAACGGAAAATAGGGAGACATTTTCCGTAGAAAGAGTCTGGAGATAGATTCTCCCAAGAGCTTCGTTTCGGTCGAAAGTCCAACGATTTTCGTTTCATCTGCAGGAGCAACATGAAAACATTTCCAAACACTATTTATCTTTATTTGCTTCTCTTTCTGGCCATCTCTCCTTGTCTCTCACTCTCTTTCTATGTCGCATTTTCAGGATGGGGCAGTGATATTTGTTATTTGCTAAACGAAATGATATATACTGGCGTGTACATGGCTATGGCTCTGGCCAAAGTTGTCATTAGTCATGCTTTGCTGCACAAACAAACACGCACTCTTGAGCTGTCCAACGTTGCGTATACTCGATGCGCCACGGCTGGCTCTGCTGCCACTCGACCTCCCCAAATGCCCATTCACAACTCAACTTATCGATTATGGCATAACTTCCCCATGCCTTGAAACTTTATTCATAATGTTGCCCTAACCCTGCACCTTCAATTTGCCCCCTGATGTTTCACTTTCGTTTCATTTTTGGTTTGCACAAAACTTAACGCACAATTTATGTAAAGTCTATTAAAATGCAAACGTTTCAGTTAATTACGGCGAATTTCAGTTTCCAAAGTCCTTAAGCGAAATTAGCAAGCAACTTTTCAAATATCGACAGCAACAATAACAACAAAGTTTGCTCTTTTCCGACCTCCTCAGCCCGCCCACTGTGCGGCAAGTTAACAGCGTTAAACGTTTTATTACCACCAGCGCAGCGCGGAAAACTCTCGGCCACTTTGGTGGAAAGCCCGGGAAAACCTTTGCTGCGGTTGCCTTCAGCATGAACTGCACTTGACGTACCACGAAATTGTTACTCTTTTTTTCTCCCATTTTTAAAGAATTTTTTGGGAAAGGGGTTTCAGTTCAATATTAATAGATCTACAATTCATTAATTTATATAATAATATAATATAATAAATTAACAAGTTTTCATAATAATGCTTTATACTCCGATATTTTAAAAATCTCTCAAGATTTTCTCATAATTTTCAAATAATTGGTTATATTGCTCAATCAAATATTAGTCCTCAGTTTCAGCGAGAGAGATAGATTAACCCGACTTGCGTGATATTGTTAATTGAAGTACCAACAGATAATTCCCTTGAGCACATACACCGATTCCATCGGGTAATCCTGAGAGGCTGCTTCACTGTGCGGCTCTTGAGAGGCTTTTGGGACCATCAATGTCGAATCGCAATTGACACAAACAGGAATATGCCGCCATTTTGGCCATATTTACGCACCTAATCAATATGGCCGAAGGGCGGAAATGGAACGGACCAACTGTTTGCCCTTCGTTGTTTGCGCCCAGCTTGCTTGCGAAATGCCTCGAAGCCAATTGCTGCCATAAATAATTAGGCAACTTAATTAGCTGCGATTTAATGTCAAGCCTGACTCCCTTTCTCTACTCCAAATAGACCTTGAAGTTTATTAAGCTTTAAGAGTGAATAAAGCTTGGATAGAAGCCAGTAAAACCACGAAACCAAAACCATTAAACAAAGAAAAAAAAACATAACAACGCAAGAAAATCCAAAAAATATAGGCAGCATGCAGACACGGCACTCAAAGCAAATGCAAATAAATCGGATTTCCACAAGAACAACAATAACAGGAGAGGAGGTAGTGGGAGCCAAAGCAGCTTCTAAAAAGCAAAATAAAAACAAATAAAGCTGAAAAACTAACCAGAGGCGAAGGCTGAACAAAAATCCGTGACCTATTCGAAGAACACTACCAGGAACAGGACCCACAATCAAAACTTGCCCACGGGCAGAGCCTTGATTTGTGTCTGCCAAATGCGACATGAAAAAAAATACCGCCTGGGAAATAGTTTTTACATATTTTTAATTAATTTTTTATAAATATTTTAATTTCATCACAAAATGTTTCATATTTCCCTGATTGAGCGTCATTTGTTCAAAGTTTTTGTTTAAAAATACAAAATTTATTTTACAAGTTATAAATCTAAAAATATGGATGTTCTCCGTAAAGAATCTTTTAAACCCACTAAATAGTTTTTATGAGAAAAGATAATTAATAATAAAAATTATTATTTTCAAAATTGTATCCTGACAAAACGAGTTTGTGTTACTCAAAAACAATTATGTGTTGATTTTCATTTCTGTAAGTGTAGACTAGTCTCGGGGCTACTTCAGCCATGACTGGGTCCTCTCCAGACCCTGGGGTTGCCTTAACAGATTGAAACAATAAACTCAAATTGCCCCAGCGGACGAGGGGCACGATGTGCAGAATGAAGTGGTCGAGGGGATGAGTGGATGAGGAGGGGTACGGGTTGAGTTATCTGCTGTAAGTTGAGCCGATAACTTTATGCGCACAATTCCATTTGATTGATGAGATTTATGCTCGCAACGCCCACCGTATTCACGTATTTTGATTTTATTTTTTATTTAGTCGTCTTATTTTATCGCCTGTTTTCCCTGCCCCTCCCAAACAAAATGCCTGGCTGTTGCTTCTTTTATTTCATTTCCTGCCAAAGTGGGCAACACAAAAATAAAAATAAAAAAAAATCACAGACAAACAAAAACAGAAGAAAGAAATATAAAACATTTAAAGCCGCTCAGCAGGAGCAAGATGTTGGCAGTTCAGACGAAATTCCTTTATTCCAAAGCCATCTTCTGACCCAATTGAGATACTTTTTGGCTCCATCATATGGCAAATAAGGCAAGTGGATTTATTGTCACAGAAATGTAATCCTCATCTTCGTTTGTTCCATTTTTAATTGGCTTCTTCGGTGGAAAACACTGAGCTGCTTTCATTAGCGACCGTTGCATGGAAAGGCCATCAGCCTTGATAATGATTTCACTGATTGAGTGCAATGCTCCCGAAGGGGATTATGCCATATGTTGGAAACGATAAATCCTGGGAATGTACACTGATAAAAAAGGGTCAGAAGTACACATCAAACTGCCATATCTTTCTCAGATAAATACATTTGTTAGACTACAATTGAGAGATAAAAAAGTGAGATAACATTCAGATTAAGAATAATTTTTGGTTTACTAATATAAACTTCTTTAAAACCTTGCAAAAGTATTTAATTTTAAAAGACCGAACCAAATATTTAACTAATTTCATTAAAAAATGATGTAACTCTTTCTTTCCTATTACCTACAATCATAAATTCATGACACCTTCGGAAACTTAAGTTATTTGAGGCGACATCTTCCAGACTCCTTTCGAGTGCTCCATTTATTGCGGCCCCTTGGCTCTTTGAGTGCTTTCTGGGTAAGCTCTTCCATCCGCTGACGTTGTCATCGTCATTCAGCTCCATCTCCAGATCCAGATTCATTTCCAACATTCCTCCGACGCACTTGCATAAAGAGTCGACACGGAAATTGCAAGTATCGTTGATTCATTTGATCGCTTTGCAAGGCAAATGGTAGAACGGACTGCGAGTTCACCGGCACCGGCACCGGACTCTCAGGGTCATTAATATGCATGTTTATTGGGTGCAGCAAAGGAGGAGCCATGGAGAAGAAAAGCCCAAGGCACCGTTGCCATCCTTCTGTGCAAATTACAAGCGGCTTACTCTTTCAAGGATGCCCTCCATCATTCCTCTTCCTTCTCCAGTCGAGAGCACCGATTATATTGGGGGACGGCAGGGAAAATTAGCAACGCTCCGCCGGCAACGGAAAAGTTCCACGGCGACGCCATTTAGCTTGGCTGTCAAATATTCGCATGCAACGTCAAGAAAATAGTCAAAGAAGGGATACACCCGTGTTCTCATTTTAGGAAAATTTTCTTAAATATCTGGAAATGGTTTATTCTGTTTAATACTTTTAATCGCGTTTTATAAATATTTTATATTATGAGTAATCTTTATGCCTCGAAAAGTCTAAGCTCTGAATAGTTATATAAAAAGCTGATAAACAAAGCATTATATACAATAGAAAAACCACTTGTTGTAGGCTTTATGATCAGCCAAGACTATTTCAGATTCATTAAATTCTTCATTTATGATCGTTTCATCTGCTCTCGGGTCTTGTCCATTCTGTATTGGACACTAAGTCTAGTCGCAGGACTTCCAACTAAAAGATAAATTATACACATTAAATTATGAATTAACTTAAAATATTAATATTTATTACTCACATCCCACATCACTGCAAAGTATCCAATCATTTAGAGTTAAACTCGTCAGCCTCGGCAGATCGTTACTCAGGAACTTTACATAAACCTGGTTTGGTTTGCCTTGTAGGGTGTTATAGGCAGAAATATCTTCATTGGGATACGGCATCAGGGAGCTTAGAAATATCTTTTTAAAATATATTATTAGTATAATATATAAGAATACAAATTAAACGAACAGCAGACTAACCGGTCGGTATCCAGGAAGTTCAAAAGTTACGTCCCATTCGAAAAGTAATCTGCTCCTTTTGGGCGCCGTAAAAATGCCTATATACGAACCTTCATCGTGTGCCCAAACGCATTGAAAGTGTTCGTCGCATTTGTCACTGGTATAATTAACATACTGAGCAGAGCTTAGAAAACTAAGCACCGAAAATAAAATCAACCAACGGACAAGCATTTTCGGGAAGCGTTCTTGATTAAGTCCGAATAAGTACTGATAGCCCAACGCAAAGTGCTGAATACTTGCTCTCCATAATTTATTTTTTTCCATTTTCTAATCTCTTGAAATATATTTATTTTGTATGTTAGTATAAATGGTTGCATTGTTGGTAGAATAAGCTAATAGTTTCTCTGCCAATTGTTTTGGGGTTGCTGTTGATAGGAGTATTGCGGTTTTTCCGTGATAGGATTCCGGGTTTTTTTTTAGTTTTATGAACATATGATGCCCTACAGTTGCCTTGGTCTTGGGATAGGCATCTGTTACAAAGAGATATGATAAACACTGGTCAGTTCATTAAGTTTATATTACTCACATCCTGGATTGGAGCACAGCTCTTCGCCGTTGAGTATTAATGAGGTCAGCTTGGGCAGCTCAGTGGTTATATCGACGAACCTCACAAAAACCTCAACCGGTTCTCCGTTTAAAAGATTGACGGCGGCCTCTTTCTTATTGGGATACGTTTGCATCGAGCTCACAAAAGTCTATAAAAAAAACATATTATTATTAAATCTATAATACCTATATAGAGCACCGCTTACATCGCGTCTTCCTTGAATTTCGAATGTCGCCACCCAGTTGAAATTTAAATTTCTCGGTAGTGTCGTTGGTTTCGAGAAAATACCTATGTAAGTAATTCCACCGTCCTCTGTGGCATATCTGAAGTTCTTATCGCAATAGTGTTGCGGTATGAGTAGGCCCAGGGCTGAGCTCAGACAAAGGCACAATAAACCCAGTACTGCGATCGACATTTTAAGACCGTTTCTGCCAGTATCTGAAAAATGACTGAATGCTGCAAATGCTTTTAAAACATTATAATCCCGAACAACCTTATCATCTAAGGAGCAAGAACAAGAGAAAAAACATTGCATACACTAGCAAAAATGATGAGATGAAGTCAAGTGAGTTTACAACCAAAACGTTTAAAATGAAATTTTGTGAGTTGGCGATTTGACCTGTGACTTAAGCTTATAAATAAAAAATTATATGAAATAACCAAAAAAACCCTAATCTCTTTTTAATTTATATATATAATATTTAAACCAAATTCTGAAAACAAGAAATTCAAAGCGATTTGATGGAGGAAATTTTGTGAAACTAAAATTGAGAACGGGGCTAATAGAGGGAAAAACCCCGAGCCAGCCGAGCGCAAGTATTTCTCGAAGGTGAATTTAATTTTCTTGCTCTCATTTGTTGTCTGTCGACGCCTTTGTCTTCGTTGATATTACATTTTTCCTTTAGCCCTTTTGTTTTTCATAAATCTAGCAATGTCTTGCAAAAGTGCAGATAATTAATTTGTCTTACTTATCAACTGCATTTCCAAAGGGAAAGTTTTCCTTAAAAATAAAAGATTTTCCTTTTGAATTTTGTATTTGGAATGTTCTAAGAAAAGCTTTAAAACTCAGCATGCTGCTCTGGTCAATTTGAGTGGCCTCTTTCCAGGTCATAAAACCAAACGAACGACAAAGCTCGACTACTGGCAAGGATAACGATCCTTGGCCATTGACTGTGATGCAAAATCCATTCGAAGCGCATTCGGTTGTTGACATCCCCAATATAAGTTATCAACATGAGACCCAAACACTTACGCTCAACGACCGAACGACCGACCGACAACACTAAGCCACTTTTAATGTTTAGACACAAACACAAGGACGAGACACAAACAAACTAACAAACACATACAAACACACAGTTGCATGTGAGGAAGAGGGTTTTCGGGGCATGAAGTTAATAAAAGTTCTACGACATTTTGACCTGGAAAATATTGCAAAAATAAAATGGCTGCCGGGCTGTTGCTTCGGCATCACCATTTTCCTTCGCCTTCGCCAGCTCGCCGCAGGTTTTCCAGCTGTGGTTTTCCAGCTGTGCCGACAGCCGCCAGAAAGTATGCTTTAAATAGTGGCATAGTAAAATATTTACTTTGGCGCAAAAAGGTTGCTGAAAAACTGAAGAGGGAGGAGGGTCGGTGGATAGGGGTGGTACGGGTTGAGCTAAGGGAAAATAAACTTTGTTGCCCAGTAAAATGAAAAGCAAAGGCCGAGCGGGTCTAGCAAAAAATTCATTAAAAGGGATAACGACTCGCATACTTTCTGGGCACTGTATGTGTGTACGGTCCCAGGATTAAGGATTCGCTTGGAATTTTTTAGTGCAATTTAATTACAGATTATGTGAAGTAGCAAAAATCTATGCTTAGTTTGTCGCATCTGTGCCCATGCGATGGCTACTTAACCAACTGTGTTGTCATTTAAATATATACATTTAGCATAAATCTGCTCTTAATTAGATGCTCGATTTAATTTCCACATTTAATTGGAGATTTACAGCAATAATGTTTTTAGTTGGCGGCCTTTACGAACGTTTTATTAAACACTTTCGAGTTGGCTTAATGAATTAGTTAAGCGGCCTTTGCACACTGGCCATCATTATTGCATTTATCGGATGACAGCCATTGTGGAATTTGCATATTCGAAAGTTAAAGGGTTCTCGATTGTGCATAACAATCGGAAAATCCAATTAGCCAGCTTCGATGTGTTCCCTGATCAGATTTGGTTTTTGGTAATCATCGGCCAACTAACTTGGATTTATGCTGTGCGATTTGTGATTTATTATTAGAAATAATTTAAACAATTTTAGGTATTTTATCATAATTTTTAATTATTTTATTTTTATTTTGAAAGATAACCTATCTTTAAAGAAATTTTATTTATATTTTTAAATACATTTTTATATGGGGCAATATATTTTAATGAAAAAAACATTTGATTATATTTCAATACACGTCTATCTGAAATTCTAAAGTCGGAATTCTCTGAAAACCCCACAGATTGGCTTATCAGTAAAGCTTTAAGACCCCCTGACATCATTTTGGAAGAACGGCTTGTTGCCTAAGAACAAACATTTTTTAAGAAAAATATATTTAATGTAGTTTCTATTATATTATTTTTATTATTATTTTTGAATATATTTCAAATTTTTAAATATAAATTTATAATTCAACAACAAGTTGTATAGAAAATGGGTGTTAATTTGGGAAAGGTTAATCTTTTACTTTAAACACATCTTTAAAATACTATTTTTAATTTGAAAAATCTTTAAAAGTAAATGCTCAATTATGTTCACATTTTAATATAGAACCAAAAAAAATTCCCGGTGTATTTGGTATGTGGAAAATGCTTCATTTTGGCCTCCAATATGGCAACCAGGGGCAAATCAATTTCGTTGTCTTTGAGCGCTGGCTGGCTGGCTGTGGCTCATTGAAACTGTGCTTAAGCTACAACAAGTGGAAACTTGGAGGGCGCTGGCTAATTCATTTACAATATTGCGCATACGCCACGTGGCTGGCAGGCAAATTAAATTATGCATTTGCCAGAGCGGAGAGTGTTGTGGCCAGCAGACGGCGGCAATCTCAACAAAGCAACTTTGTAATTAATCAAAGTGCAACAGAGGGGGTTCTGCGTTCGAGTTTAAGAAGCATTTAAAGTGAATCATTAACCTTATTACCTGACTTTACCATCCCAGTCTGCATAATTTCATTTTAAATGCAAACTTAACAACTTTTTACAAGTCAAGCATGTTAATGCGCTTGTTTATGCTGCCCTGCGCTGTGCTGAGCTGTTCTGTTCTGTACTTTTCTCTTCGCCCACTGCTGTCTTATTAACGTCAACTTAATTTGCTTGCACTATAAATTTCATTTCGCCCGGTTGGATATTAAATTATAAACGGCAGATCGAAGGGCCTGTGTTCCCTGTGGGAAAGTTGGTGAAATAAAAACTTAACTTGTCTTATGATGTGGCTTGCAAACTATTAATTCAGTTTATGTTGGTTTTATTGATTTTCTAGGTCAACAGATTGCAAGTCACTCTTTGTTGTCCTGCATAAATTGGACTTTGTTTAACGAGTTAAAAGTTATTAATCTTAAAAATCAACTAAAACTTCGCTTTTATTTCTTAAATAGATTACTTATTCAATAAAGCTGTAAATATTTCTGATTCATTATTAAATTATATTTTTACGCAAAAACTTTAGATGTTGATTCCATGATATAAGAACTAACAATAGAAACTCCAATTACATTCGTATCAATCTTTTGCTCCCTATACAATTAAAAGCCCATTTTAATGAATTCAAAGGAAACCCAACAATGCAGCAACCCTTTCACTAATTGCTCAATCTGTCTGCTTTTCCCATGTGCTAGCTTTTCAGGCCAACAGCAAACTGTCTGCATCAACGTGTACATCCGCATCACCATCATCACCATCACCATCACCAGCATCAGCATCAGCATCTTCTCAGCTTTAGAGCTGCTCTGCAAATTGCAAGTTAACTGGGCCCAAAAGCCCGCACATTTTGGCGCCCTAATTGCCAAGCTGGGAGATGGTTAAGCGGTGGTCTACGGCAAAATGGAGTTAAATCGTTGTTTACGTGCACCTGATAGCGGCGGTAATGTCTGCAATTCACCAGCAATTAACAAGAAACCAGTGATGGGAAAGGTGATGGATTTTTTAAAACAAGAAAGGCTACTATACTTCATAGTATAAATATGATTTAGAAATCCTAATAACTAATTAGTTTTAAAATCGTTAAAAATATTTTGCAAAATATATTGAAAAGACTTAAACTTAAAGAACCTCAACAGGTGTACTTACCCAATTTCTTCCCATCATCACCTGCAACACACTAGAGGAAAGCCGGGAAAACAAATACCAAAGAAAACTGCAAAAAGTCTTGGCCATTGATTTTCGACTTCTGGGCTTGAGACTTGATTGATGCCGCGTGCGGACTTCGTGGGGGAATCTTAATTAAACTATTTCCCCTTTAGCGGATCTGGAATTGGCTGGCGAGTAATGTAATCAGCTTTGTCTATTCCTCTGGGCCAACGCAGCAATTGACTCTAATGGTTGCACTTGACTTGGCCCTCAGCCATTCTCCATTCTCCACTCCCATATGCACTCCTCCTAGAATTGAAAGCCACATTGCCATTTATTTTGATTACCCGAGCTCGTGGAGTACTTTTTATGTTGTTCTTTTCGGTTTTATTTTTGGGTCTGGTCTGTGGAAATTAAAATAAATTAACAAATAAAGGCCTGGCCTCAAGTTCGGCTTGGTGGCTTGGCCTCAACCTGTTTGCCAATTGAAGGCCATAAATAACGCCCCATCCTTGCCACCTGATGCTGACTTCAATTACGCGTAATAAATTACAAAGGAATATGAGACAGCGATGCTGCTGACGGCACTGCTTTTTCCTTCCTGCACATAATTAAGTGGATTTTAATGAGACTTTGGAGTGAGAGTCAGAGGCCCAGAGTTAGCCGAGTTGTTTGCCCTGCGTTTTTGATTGCCTGCACTAGTATACAAGGGCTTTTAGCCAAAATGAATTCCCAATCGATTTGCTAAGCTCGAAAATTATATAAAGAATATACAGAATATCAATGATTTTGGCTAATCATCTAGGATTATAGCTTGAAAATTAAGTTAGTGGTAGAAAAATGGATAAAAAAAAGGGACTCTTGTTGCTCAGTGTTATTAAGCCCTCGTAATGAATAAATGTCGACGGTGGCTTGGCTTTGAAATCAGTTTATTACAGCCACTTCAGGATATTGTTTCGTGGCGCTCCTTCTTCTTCGATTTACTCCGCTTGGCTGGCTGCGGCTTCGGCTCCTCCTTCAACTTTCCGCCATTCTCCTCGAGAATCCGCTGGAACAGCAGAGCACTGGTTTGTCCGTCCAATTGATGGCTCCCTTCTTGACTGGCTGGCGTGGTGGCAAAACTCTTGGCCAAGTAATTCCAGCCACGTTGCGCGGTCGGTACGCTTAGCTTATCGAGCAGCCGCGTGGCCAGCTGGGGAATTATGGGCTGCAGCACAATGCCACAGAGCCGCAACGCGTCCATTGTCATGGCGATTATGGTCTCCAAACGAGGCTGGTTGCCTTCCGGTGCGCCCGCCTTCAGCGTCCAGGGCTTGGAGCTCTCGAAGAAGTTGTTGGCCGCATGCAGAGCCGCCATCACACTGTCGGCCACCAAGTGGAAGTGATTGCACTCGTAATGCGACTCGCATCGTTCTGCAAAATACGAAACATTCACGGCACTTGAAGAGAAATTATAAAAAAATCAAACAAATCAAGGTAAAAAAAACCTGCCGTTTTTCCAATTCCATTAAGATGTAAAAATCAGATTTTAGAACTGATTCAAAGGTAAAGGTTTTCCAAATGCTGGCTAGTTTCTAGTGGTTCAAAGTCCAAATTCAAATTTCTTATATAGATTCCTTTAAAATCACTTAAAGTATTAATTTAACTCAAAGTTTTCTTCAAGTGCATAAAATACAATATAGAAAATGATGGCTTCACTTGGCGCACTTAAAGCTATAAGCTCGCTGGCTTGGCCACACTCTCTAGTGCACTTGCCGCTCGGAGATTGGCCGGAAGTGCTTCGGGCAGATGCGGATGCGGATGCAAACGCAAATGCAGATTATAAACCATCTCGAGATGGCGCCTCTTCAGCTCAAGCCTGGCTGCTTAAATATTAAAATGACAATGCAGCGCTCCCATCTACTCCATCTCCTTTCCTTAACCATTCCAATCCACTCACCTGACAGCTGCAGAAGTGCATCCTGCAGGCGTTTGGCCGCATCCAAACTCTGGAGCAGATCCGCCAAGTGCTCGACGTTGGCTGATGGATAGATTTGGCCGGGATTCAGCGACTTGGCACAAGCACGCGATAGCAGATTGCCCAGGGTGTCGGCCAGTTCTGAGTTAAGGATGCGCTGCGCCTTAACGTGGCTGTAGTCTGCAAAGAAACCAGAGAAGACAACTTGTCAGTTTGCCCCAGGAATGTGAGTTTTTCCAAGGAGGACAGCTGAGACCAAACAATGTGCTTAAGCAACTACAAAAATTAAGTTTACTTAAAAACTTGCTGAAATTCAAAGGATTTCTATAATAAAACGTTGTTATTTAGATTATTATTATTATTATTAGTTCATAATAACTTTCATTTCTACACTATACATATGCTAACATGTAAGAAATTAAGGTTTTTTTAAAATTTACACAGAAGGAATACAAAAGGCAGACTCGACATTGGAAAACGGAGCGTATGAAGGGATATATTTTGATCCTCCATTTAACTTCCATCTGCTGCGGCATTAAGTGCTTACAAATTCGCCGTATGCCCATGGCTGGCCATTAAGGAGATTAGCACGGCGGAAACGTAGTACGAGTAGGAGTCAGGAGTTCTTGTCCTTCGACCAAAGCCGTTTAAGATAAAATCCGAATAACTTAACAACAACAAGCAGGGCAAGGAGTTTTCCAGCATTTTCCTTTTCACCACACACAAAATGATGCTGCAGGTGGATTTTGTGGGTGGAAAGCTGAACACGAAAGGATTTAAGCTGCGCTAATAGTTGCAAAATCTTCGCCAGAAGGGAAATTCAACTGAATGAAGGAGGAGTATATACAAGATAAAAGAGTGTCTCGGCAAGGACTAGATTCCAGTATAATATGTATAATGATGTGCTTGCCAAAGGGGAAACTTGAGAAAATTAAGTCGAGAAGAGGTGCATTAATTTAATGCACTCCTGTAAGGAGCTCTATAGAACAAATCACGTATCTTTGATTTAATTAACATTATTTAATGCCACTTATTAAATGTCTCTTATTATATGAAAGTAAAAATCATATTTAAAACCAACGATGACATCAAAGGGAATCAATTTGAAGGACAGCAATGTCAACTTTTTATTCAAGAACCCTTAAAAATGTCCACGCAATTAATAAATAGAAACCCTTTAAAATGGCCTTGCCCTTTAAAAATGCTGCACAAAGTGCCACAATCCATGCCATCCGGGCAACCCTTAACTGCAACTGCAACTCATATCTAACCAGATTCAGTCAAACTGCCAGCTAAGACAATAATCGACTCATTACTAATAGCCAGTAATTAATATTAGTCAAATTTCAGGCATTTTGATTATCGACTTTCGGCTTGGAAATAAAACCAGAACGAAGAATAATTTCCCACATTTCTTTGGTGCACTTTCAACTTTTTCCATTCAGCTCTTGTTTCACCTGTGTTGCGTCAAATGAGGTTTTCACATGCTTACTCTCTGGGGAAATACAACTGCCAAAAAGTGTTGCCTGAAACATTAATTTGTTGCGCAACTAGAAGAAATACACCAGAAAGTTTCATCTGGCCAAAAAAAGGCAAAAACGGAAAAAGTCTGCTTGTCAACCGAATTCAAAGAGTGTCGAGTTGAGTTGCGTTGCGTTGAGTTCACCTGCATGGACGTTAGTTTCCCAAAATCAAATTCATGTCAAGCCACTGGGTGTGCGGAAAATAGGAATTTTTATGGAAAGTGATGTTACCTCGTAGTTAGGAAATCTAATTAACACAAGTTTTTAATTTAAACAAATTATAATACTTTTGTATAACACAAAGAAAATCTAAAAATCTCTACAAACTAACAATTTTGAAGGCTAACTAATCTATAATACCAATCAAAGGGGTAACCATTCAGTCCTATGGCCTTTCAAGAGTTAACCCAACCGATTGGCAGGCTTTTCATTTTGAATGCATTGAATTTTGATGGCATTGCAAACGTTTGCCTGCCGTTGGCCAGAAATGCAATGTGAATTGCATCGAACTTTATTAGCGGCACCTCCCCAAACCACTCTCCCTTTCCCCCTACCCAGCCAATCGAGTATAGCTTTCTAATGAAATTGTTCGAAGAGGCCCGCAACACGTGTTGTATTTTGTATGTGGCATTACCTGCCGGAACCGAAGTCCGGGGCCAAAGTCCGGGCAACTCTTAACTGCTTACGTGAGCAGCTACAAATTGTGCAAAAAAGCAAAAGTTGCTGACGGCACGAGGAAGCCGTGTACAACACTTGCCACCGACTTTAAGCACACTGCACATGTTGCCACGTGACCAAATGGGAATGAGAAAGTTGAAGGCGGTGGAGTAGCGTGTGGCACCCCCGTTTCTTCACAGACAAATACAGCCGCTCGTTCTTCCTGGCAGTAATATAAATAATACTTTTTTACGTGCCCCAAGTGCAGCACTTCGAATGCGGGCTGTTGCCTGTTTTGCTGCACCTTAAATAACTTGAATAACTTGTCGCTGTTCCAGTTTTGCCATTGCTATTGCCTGCAGAAAAGTTTGACACAATTTTATGCAGTGCCCCTCTGCTCCATACGTATTTTTCAACGGCATAAAACTTGGCTTTAAGTGCAGAGGTGGTAGTGCCATCAAATATTTAACAAGCCTCTCTGCAATCGGAGACAGCCGGTCGGAGGTGACAGGCAAATTTGCCTCGGCCAACACGGGGCGTATGGGTTATGTGCCAAACACTAATTTCTTGTCTGCCCTTTAACACAATCACTAGCCGGATCAGATAGGCAGTTATGGGAAAAGGTTGCCAACTATATAGGTTTAAATTAACATTCAAAGGTCGGAAATGTTAGGTAACAGGAAAAAGAACTTCATTGTGAGAGAATTTTACAGGAATTTTAAAGAAAAAAAAAAACAAATAATTATTACATAAAATATTACTTTTTGGTACTAAATATATATATTTGAAGAAAAACGAATACAAACAAAAAAAAAATTGAAAAGAACAAATTTTTTTCTAAGTCTTTATTCTTTATTATTCACCGGAAAAACCGGAATCTGAACAAACTAGAATTTTATTGTTTTTTTTATTTTTGTCGTTTTCTGATAAGACGTTTGTTTCTTTTTGTTTCGTGATAAGCTTCTACATTTTTCGTTTCATTTTAGTTGCCAACATCTGCGAGATCAGTCTTATTTGGGTTCTGCGTCAATAAGTTCTATAAAATGTGGATCACTTCCTTACTTAGTTTGTTTGTGGTTTTCAACTGCGCCCTAGCCCTAAACATACCGCATCCGAACTGCGATAAATACTTTAGGTACCAATCGTTAGATAATGGTAATTTTATAGGCATTTTCACGGCAAACACGGAAAATGTAAGGGAACTTTACTGGGAGGCAAAGTTTTCGTCCATCGGCAGTACCCCGGTAATAATGGGATTAACGACTCAATGTGTGGATATAGCTAAAACTTTCTCTTTGCAGGACCAAATCGGGGATATCAATCCATATCCCTCCACAGAAGGTTACCTTGATAGTGTGCGAAATGGAAAAGACGTACAGGTGTACGTAACATTCAATAAAATCAAAAATGAGCTACCCCTGTTGATTCACTTTTCGCTCAATGGAGAGACTCTGTGCAGCAACCACAGATGTGAGTGAAAAAAAATCAAAATAATCTATGTTTTTAATAACTATTTAATCTTTTCCATAGATGCAGCACCCTCAACTACCGTGCGCGTAGCTCGAAGGATATCCGTCTTATTGGAAGAGAGGGTCATGCCCCCGGATTCAGCTTATAACCATCGCTATCCAGAGTCCGATCCTAATTATTATTATGTTTGAGATAAAATATCACAAACATATTTTCGAAATACAAAAAAAACTTATCTAATATTCTTTTTAGCTCCAAAATAAAAAAGGGAGAAAGTAAACGTAAAAACAAAACTAAATATTTTTTACAAACAATCGGGTTCGATCTAATGATCATCAAGATTAAAATTGATCTCAGGGCCATTTCCTATTGATTTAGATTATTATTAGACGATCTACAATGTACAACAAGATTCCCTAAGATAACCCTTATGTACTATTGAAAAGTGACCTTAATATTTAATTCTCGCTATTTGTTGGTTTACAGCGTTAGTTCGGATTTAGTCTCCATCCACATCGGCTTGTTCGGGCGATATGTCAATCCTTTACTTAATTTACTTTTGCCAAATCCTTCACTTTGTGAAAAGTAACTGGATTTATCCCATTGTCAATTGCTCAATGTTCAGCTATCACTTTGATGACAACGACAACCCCATTGGTATTTTAACGGCACCAAGAATCGGTATAGCCAACTTTAATTGGACAATACAGTTTTTGTATGCCGGCTTTGCAGAGAATATCATTGACTTGTTTAGGCCATATCCCAATGAAAGTGTAGTTGCCACCGAAATCGAGAATGGATCGCCGGCACAAATGTTTGTTAGCTTCAGGAAAAGCATATATCCATACCTTCCCAAACTGACACTTTTAGAGCTAAACAGACAAATGCTGTGCAGCTCTGAGATAAAAAGTAAGTACAAAATAAATGTTACTAAAAACTCAAAAAATTAAAAACAATAAGTTGATTAAAGACATATATATATCACTCTATCTGTTAGCCAGATAAGTAATTTTATTTGTTTACTACAAATAAAAAGCTATTACTCTTTTGATATCATGTTTTTACCCATAGATCTTGGATGGGGTTCCCTATATAACTTAACTCAAAGATGTAATCTTCGCCGAAAGAAACCTAGAATCATAAATTCCCTTCCAAATAATGCTAAGGTTTTTAAATGCAATCATTTGTATAGCATAAATTTAAAAACCAATAAACCTAATAAAATAGATTTTGTATAATATTCCAATAAATTATTTATTTAATGGGAATGATAAGTTATTACGATAATGGGATGATAAGAAATTATTCGAAAAATCAGTAAACAGTTCATAGAATTGAATGTTTACCTGCAAACAAGAAATACATACAGCATATTATTTGGGATGGGAATTTCCCAAGAAAATGATTCAGTATTAACGTAGCTTATCAACATTTCTTTATCACCATTAAGAGGAAATCATTAATTAATATGGCACTCTAATCTCAACAACACTGACAGCAAAGAAAACCAAAAATGTGACTCACAGAATCCTAAAATATTGAATATTTTTCTTTAAGAAACTTACAACCCATTTTCCAATTAACATGTTATTTGATATAAGAAAAAAATATTTATGAAAACAATTTAATATATGTGTTACTCGCCTTAAATATTGCTTTTTGAAATATTTTTTCTCAGTGCCTTTTAAGAAATGTTTTATATAAATTTGTTGCTCTGAACTGCCCTTTTGCTAGTCTTCAGTCAACGTTTGACAGCAGCGCAATGTACATCGCATATGGGATTTGCTTTTGCACATTTCTGATGCTGGCATCAGCTGTACATGAACCAGAAAACAATTGCGAGCAATATTTTTCATATAGTACTCAGAACAGGGGTCAAACATACATAGGAATTTTTACGGCGCATAAAAACTATATTAGGGAATTTTACTGGGAGGCAGTATTCTCAGCTCGCGGTAGTATCGTATGTACTTTTAAAGACTTTATGTTCTCCAGTTATGATGTATTTTCTTTTGTAGAATCAAGTCGGCGACCTTTATCTGTTTCCCAATAATGAAGTGTTCGAAAGAAACATTAGAAATGGACAACCCGCCCAGGTGTACGTAATCTTTCGGGATATTACAACAGAGCTGCCTAAACTGATCAGTTTGAAACTCAATGGATTGACCCTGTGCACAAACGAGAAATGTGAGTAAAAAAAACTGAAAAGAATCAATGATCAGTATTATATATTATGATCACCGCAGATCCACCTTTTTCTATTACGACTCGTGTTGCCCGGAGAATAAACATTAAGGAGACTCAATAATCTATCAAAAATGCTAATTCTAAGTAAAAGCAATTAAAAATATTGAGTATACAGATCAACATGTGTTATCATTGTCACAAACATCAAATATATATAATAAGGGATAACTTCTATTAAATAATTTGAACATTCCTTTTAATATTTGTTCCATATAAATCTGAAATGTTTTCAGTTTAATGTGAATTTGAGTTTCAAACATAAAAACATAAATTGGAAACATTAAAAACCTTGCCACAAAGATGTCCAAAGAGAGCAATATAATTCCATGAAAGCACTTGCTATTGCCACCAAAACTTACCCAAGCCCCCTGGCCAGTCCCCAGTGACAAGTTTATGTATTCAAATTTGAAAATTGAGCGACGCCCCAAGGAAGTTGATTGCATCAACGCACCTCCCCTATTTGCATTTCCTGGACAACTTTCTTTTCTTTTTTTTTTAACATAACCGCAGATGCGAATGGTCCTTGCACCATTTCTCCTCCTTTAACCAAGGAGCAGCTGTTATGTACTCAAATACGAAATGCAATTTCTGTGTTGCGGAAGTTTGGCCTGTAATGAAAACTTGAGCAATTTAATAATGATGTTGTCGCAACAGCTTTATGAAAACCGGATGTCACCTTGGGCCACAATATCGAATTTGTTTGGATGGAAAAGAACTTTTTTGCCGCCTAATGGATGGCAGTCGGCTCAAATTAAAGTAAAATTTATCTACCGCGTGGCATAAATCATTCATGGACCGAAAAATATGCAAAATGTGCGGAGATGTCGAACTTTTGTAATTTAATTATGCGACGCCGACGCACTGCAGCAGTTTGCACATTTTTTTGTTTTTTTGGTTTCAATTTGCTGGCCAAATGCAATAAAAATGCAATTAAATTAGCCGCAAGGCAGCGGGCCATAAAAAAAGGAGAAAAAATTAAAAAGAGAAAACATCAACAAGCGCAAATTGAATAAAGGCAAACGTGAAAAGCAGCCGACTGTCTGGAAAATCCGTCGGAAAAGCAAAGTCAGCAATAATTGAAAATTAAATTTGAAGTGGTAGTGGGAGTTGGGAGGTGGAGGGCTGGTCGTAACGCCAGCAATTTATGCAAATGGAAAACCCGAAAAAGGTTGGCGAATCAATCAAAACGCATCCCGTGACACTCAGCGAAGTGTGTTAATTGCTTTCGATGATAACCCCCAAACCAATGACAAACGTAATCATATCTGTTGGACAATTGATGAATTCCTGGGCGGAAACTTTCGACTCCCATTTCCAACGGTTTTCCCCTACTATCCCTATGCAAATGCTGCAAGTTTGGGATATGAAAACTTTCGAGGCAAATAAACAAAAGTCAGCACACCGCCTTCTTCTTCTTCTTCTTCTTGTCCTAGTAGACCAAAAACTTTTGGCCAACTCTCTCGACTTTAGTTCCCTTTTTCGGTTTGGCAATTCGGGCATAAAATTGAAATGCAAATTAAAGCAGAAGGTAACCATTGCCGTAAAACTAACGACGACAGATGGCCACTAACATACGAACACTTCAAGGCAACCTCAACAGTTTCGGTTGATAATTTGATGGAAAAACTATTTGAATAACCGCAGGCAGGTCATCCCTACCCACACAATCCCTAGCCCCAAACCTCCCACCCCTCATCCGATTTTCATCGTGAACCACATGGCATTGCAGCCGCAAAGTGAACAAGCCACAGACATCAAAGGGATTTCGCGGTTTCGATTCTCACTCACTGCCATCACTGTGGGCAACGCCCTCCCGGAGTAGAAAGTATCTTAGGCCCTCCATGGTGTACTGCTGGGCTGCCTGGACGGGATCCACCACGTTGTGCTTGCTTTTCGACATCTTCTGTCCATCAACGGTCCAATGGGAGTGCACATAAAGCTGCCCGGGAGGCTCCAATCCAGCGGCAAGAAGGAAAGCGGGCCAGTAAATGCCATGGAACTTTAGGATGTCCTTACCGATCACCTGCTGTGCCGGTGGCCAGTGGCTGGAGAACTAAAATAATGAAAAAAAAATACAATTTTTACTTTATGAAAGTATGTTAGCTCATAGTTTTAACTAATTTGGTAAGCCTTAGATAAATAAATAAATAAATAAACTTTTTGAAAGCTGAAAGGATGCTACGAGAAATATCCATAAAACTTACCTCCTTATTAGGATATCCTAAAGAGCTCAGATAGTTAACCAGAGCATCCAGCCAGACATAAACTGTTTGTGAATCATCATCCGGTACAGGAATAGCCCAGTGAACGCGATTGGAAGGACGCGATACCGAAACATCCGGCAGTGGTTCGCTAAGAGTGTCCAGTAAAATCTTTTCGAACTTGGCCGGACGGATGCGAGCCTCTTGTTTTACCCAATGACGCACATCATCTTGGAATTGTGCCAGTCGGAACATGTAGTTGGTTTCCTCAGTCCACTCGACAGGATGCCCTGACTCGAGAGAGTAACGTGTGCCCGTGGACTCATCTAGTCTCAGCTGGGAATCGGTAAGAAAGGTTTCATCGGACACGCAATACCAACCGCTGTAGGCAGCTGAATAGATGTGACCTCGTGTGTGAAGTGTCCTCTACGGATTAAAGATACAGTAAGTTTAAATGACAAGAGATAAAGATGTTTACTCCAATAGTACCCAGAAATCCGCCACTGCCCGCTTGTGTCGGTCCTCTGTTGTGCGAATGAAGTCGTCGTACTGTATATTAGCACTTCGGAACACTTTTCGATATCTCTCCGATATGTCATCACAATATTTGGCCACTGGAACTCCGTTAAGTGCCGCCGCCTGTTGGATCTTGGTACCGTGCTCATCCGTTCCGGTGCAGAGTCGTACACTTTTTTCCGGATTCCTTAGAATCTGATAACGACAGTGGGCATCAGCTATAACCGCCGAGTAAAGGTGTCCAATGTGGGGGGCTTTCCATAAGAAAAGATGTATTTTATTACAAAGAACTAAGGATTTTGCATTTCACCGAAAGACTCACCTGCATTTACATAGAAAATCGGAGTTGTCACATAGTGCGAACTGTTGTAGCGGGTTCCCAGATACTGCAGGCACTTAATTCTTCTTATAAGCATCACTTTTAAAGGGGTTTTAATATAAAATTCAATAAAAAAATATCTTAAACAATTTGCCGGTTGATTTTATAACATTGAACAGCTGATCTGTCAGTGCTGCCCATCATAATTTTAACAGTGTGCTGTACATTTAGCCCAAATAACATTATGTTAATTTAACAGAGTCCAACCAAGTGATTAGACAGCTCTGTAAACAGTTCTCTCAACTGTTTTTCCCCTTAACAGTATGTTAATGAAACGCAAAGTAACGGCTTTTCAATACAAAACATTAAAAAACCAAAAACTATTTTTCATTTGAAGAAAATAGAAACAGAAAAATATAATAGAAAAACTAATTAAAATAAAAGCCAACCATAACAAAATATACAAAAGAACGACTTATCCCAAAGTTTGATGCTACATCTTAGCTGCCCCGCCGGAGAACTTTCCAGCCAATTTCCTGGGACCCCAACGCATCTGCTGGTGGTTGATCATACGCCGACTTCTTTGAGCTTTCTGTTTGGCTTCCACTGCTGCGCAAGCAGCCTTGTAGGCCGCTTGTTTGGTCTTCTCGAAGTCCGCCTTGGCTTCGGACATCTGGCGGACGAGATTCTCCACACGATATCTAGCGGCCTCCAAAAGCTGCGTCTTCTCCGCCAGTTCCAGCTGGGCCCCACTGGCCACATTCTCGATATTTGCCAGATTTGAAGTGGCAGCGGAAACTAGATTCTTGAGTTGATTCAACTGAGCCTGGGCCTCGTGGGCAGCCGATGCAGCAGCATTGGCATTCGCCTGAGTGTTCTGCAGCGAGGAGGTCACCTCATTAACCACCGCTTCCGCCTCGGTCATCTCCTGTTGTAGCTGTTCCACAATCTGTTGTTTTCCAGCCAGTGCTGCCTCCGCCGCCCGTGCAGATTGGGCTGCCTTGGCGGCCAGTTCGGATTTGACCTGCGATGCAGCCGCTTCAGCAGCTGCCATCTGAGAATCGCTGGCAGCCTTTGCCTCCTGGGCAGCTTTCTGGGCAATGTTCGATGCCTTGGCCTTGGGATCGCCGCGACCCAACCCTCCAGTGCAACTGTTTTTCTTTGCATCCGAACAGCCTTCAGATCCTGATCCGACTCCAGCACCGCCAGTCCCTGCAGCCGCATCGATGCTGGCATCCCCGTACAAACTCGACAGACAGTGCTTGGCATTCGGTTGGGCCGATCGGTAGTGGTAGCTATTCAGTCGAGGGAACGCATGCAGCAAAAGCAGGATGATGAGCAGCGCTTTCGTGCCAGGCATATTCCGATAGAATATTTGGAAACATCCGACTCTGACTCCATTCGTAAAGCCTAATCTGACCGAGAATACATAACCTATCCATAGAATATATGTATAGCTTTTGACATTAAAAAATTTGATTTTCCCAAAAAAATCAATCAAATTTCATTATGTTTTGCTAAAGAACTGGCGTTTTTCAGACTTTTAATTAATTTAAATGTATTTTTAATAACATAAAATATATATCTCTATATAATGGCAACTAAAAACGAACTCAAATTAGGATCAGAAAACTTAATGTCTCCTTCTCTCTTGAGGACCGTACAAAACATGGTTTATTATACAAATATCGCTCCTAGCTCTTAGGTGTTTTAGAACCGATTTCACGTTGTAGTCTTTAAGCCTTTTGCTTGGCCTCCACTGCTGCACAGGCTACCTTATTGGCCGCCTTCTTGGTTTTGTCGTAGTTCTGTCTAGGGGAACACACTTGCCTTCCGAGGCCTTCCAGCCTATGCTTGGCCGCCTCCAACAGGTGAGATTTCTCTTCCAACTCCAACTGGGAACCAGTTGCAAAAGTTTCGATATTACCCAGCTGAGCGGTGGCTTCATTTACCACCTCTTTAAGCTTTTTTAGCTCGGTTTTTCCATCGATAACTGCTATCATGGCGGCATCTACGTTTGCCTGGGTATTTTGGAGTGAGTTAACAACCTCGGCCACCACTGCCTGAGCCTCCCTTTGCTCCTGCTCCAGTTGTCCCATGATCTGCTCTTTGCCTGCTAAAGCAGCCTCCGCCGCTCTAGCCTCTCGAACGGCCTTATTGGCAAGTTCCATTTTGACTTGGAGTGAGGCAGCCTCGGCGGCAGCGACCTGGGCATCATTAGCTGCTTTTGCATCCTGGGCGGCCATTTGTGCAATATTGTAGGCCTTGTTTTTCGCATCTTTCTGGTTAATGTCACAAGAGTTATGAGCGGCAGGTGCTGAATCACAGTTTGCTTTGTCGGGTAATCCATCACCGACTGATTCGCCATATCCAGTCTCCCTTCGCTTAATGGTTGATCCATAAAGCCAAGCTAAGTGAGGATCTTTGTTGGGTACCTACAGGGAAACCCCAATTAAAGTTTTTGAATTTAGCTATAGAAATTTGGGTTCAGACTCACCTTTTCAATTGGACTAATTGAAACCGGGAAACGCAAGCAATGTTGATCAGGATTAAGCACATTGCCTGGCAATAGAACATAATCTCTAATTCCGGACTTGACAGGCATTTCCAACTAACTGACTGACAGTCGGAAAAATGCCCGAGACTACGGAAAATGCGGATAGACGCTCAGATTATGTGGCTAATCATCGTGTTGTTCTCGCTTCTGGCATCCGCAACTGGCAGTCACTATCGAACCCGACGGAAGCAGAGGCAGGCGTTGGATTCAAGATTAATAAAACGATACGCTGGTGCCGGAGAAGGGCGATCTACTTGCGACATGAACGATCAGGACAATTTATCGCCGATAAAGCCAATGTCAAATCCCGGCAATGCTAAGCAACGTGCCTCCGGAATTGCCATGCAGGCTGCCAGTGAGGCGAAAAAGGCCAACGAGGATATGGCCGCGGCCGTAAAGGTGGCCGCTGATAAAATAAAAAACGAATATGCCGAAAAAGCAACCGCTGCTGCCAAAGCAGCCGAAGCAGTGCTCTCTGGGAAGAGTCAAGTGCTGGAGCAATTGGAAGCTGAGGTCAGGGAGGCCGAAATGGTAGTTCAAGAGGAGAATCAAGAACTGACCACCGCCGAGGCGAATGCACAACTTGCCACTAAGGCTCTCAATTTGGGGCATCAGGAGCTTAAGACGCTAACCGTAAGCCTGAAATTTGCCAAAGACAACCGGGAGATCTCGGAACAAGTACACGCAGTGTGGCAACAATCGCTGTGCGACAAAACAGCTCTCCTCGAAGCTGCCCAGCGAAGGGTTAGTGTGCTGATGCGACAGCTAAGCGAAGCTCGAATAGATTTTGAAAAGACCAAGAAGTCAGCACTCAATGCAGCCAGAGCCGCCCAAGAAGCCAAGCAACGAATAGAGCACCCAGAAAGTTGTAATGAATCCGGACGCGGAAGAATTTGTCGAGATTGGCGGCAGTACAACGAAAACCACTGATTTACCATTATATTTTAGTTAAAAAAAAACAATAAGAAATTAGTTTGAATTTTAATCTGTAGTTTATTAAACTTTTTTCTTTAGGGAATAAAAATATAAAATTCCTCGACAGCGTGCAAAAAGTGCGCGCGTCTTGAATGGCTGCCAAAAAATGCTATGGAACTTTGCCTGTACAAGTCCGACCGATCGCCCCGATAGGAATATACATACATATCTGCCTGCTGTGTTTTTTGTGTGTGTACAATTTTGGACAAATACCAGAGCGGACTTATGCTAGTCTTAAGCGAAACAATCGTTAAACTATTAGAATACAAGGGAGCTGAACTAAAATTAGGCGTTACAAATTATGATTATGCTTGGACTCCAAATCAAGGCAAACAAATGGTCACAAAAATGTACATGTTTTAAAACTTAAATTTAAAATAATAAATATACAATCAATGGATTTCATACAATTAGAATTTGTTGGTGTTGTTGTTGTTGTGTTTGCGTTTGCCTGGTTCACAATACAATAATTTCAAGGGTGATGCTTCGTTTCTTTCTCTATATAGATATTTAAGCATTTCTGGTTTGCGGATATTATTCTTAGTTCAATCAATTAATCGTTTTGGTTAATTGTTAACAAACATAAATACGCAGAGCTCTACATAAAATAGTTTTTTCTTACACAATTCTGGTAACTTAAGGTTAGTTAATTTCTCATTACAGTAGTTATATATAATATAGATATTTATAATTCATATGCAATATATATATATATGTACAATCTAACACAAGCCCCTGTAAGTAATTGTTTTTAATGTCTCCCATCGTTTATCTGTCATTCGACTAAGCCCAACAAGTGTTATATATATATTTATCAGCTTAGCTTAGTTATAAGTATGTTGTTTATAGAATCTGTGGAGCCTTAGTCTAGTTAGCTAACGGATTAGCCGTATATGATAGGTAGCTAATGCGTAACATATTTAATATACAATTAATTCTCCTCCCCCCCTGAATACTGACATCGTCGAGTTTCTGTTCATGCAATCCGATTGCTCGGATTTTACTTGCTTCGTTGCCTAATATGTGCCGTGTATGTTCTTTAGATATAAGATATATAATAATATCAACTGTTTAACTTTTACATATAAACTACTTAAGACGTATGGGGGTTGTAAAACGAAAAGTATCACGATTGACCAAACATAGATCGATATAACCGTTAACTACAAGTGTTTCAATTCTCATTCCAGGTGTGTGGTTTTTTTTTCTGTGTACAATTGGGTTCTTTGATATTTGCATTAAACATAGGGAAAGAAAATAATTTTTGCACAAGAGCCTGTTCTACTTTCCTAATATCATTTTCCCACTTGCCTTTTTTATGTTTCTCTTAGTTGGTCTAAGACAATATTTGATCGGTCATTATATTTTTAAGAAAATAAGATATAATAATAAAAATCGTTTACTTTAGTCCAATTAGAACAAGTTAATATGTAGAATAACATCGAAGTGATGTAGCATATGCACTATAACTGTAAGGGTAGTTTATTTAATTGGACTATGGCTTTACTTTATACGTACATTTAATTGATTTTCTTTTGGCAAACGGTAAACAATGATATTGAAAACATAAATATCCAGGTCAATTTTGCATTCATGTGCCTCTAATCACTTTCCACCCTTAATGATCTGCAAGATCTTTTGAAGAAACCCACCCTAATTATTGAGTATACGGATTAATTTAGACGCCCAGCGTCTTTCCTGGTTCTTATCCCTATCAATGACCTTTCCCCTTTCTAATTTAAGTACTTCCGACACCTTTTTAGAACCGCACGAGCAGGGTATCTTCTCCTCCTCGAAAGGGAATTTATAGTCGTAGGTCAGCTCCTCACCCTGCACGATTCGTCGCAGCGCAAAGATGATGATGTGTTTGTGTCCCAAAATGTCAACCACTTTCGAGTAGCAATTCGGCTGCAAGGACATAAGATGTAAGCATCTGCCGAGGCATTTAACCCTTAATCTTGTACTTACCTCACAAGAGTGATTAATGAAGCGGGCCGCATTGCCCCTCATTGTGGCATCTACCACGAGATTATCATCGATCTTGAACATATAGCAACCGATACCTCGGCTGTCGTAGTAACGCTCCCTTTTGTCTGTCAGCGTAGAGCGAATCAATTCTCCAGCATATTCAATAACCATTTCACCTGGAAAAGATAAATTTAGAAGATTAGTAAATTAGATAACTTTTGTTTAGATTGAGGTTTACTATATGTAAATGAATATCTTACCAGCTTCAATATCCTTAGTGCAGTAGAGGCCGCGTCCGTGGATGTGTGATCTAAATACTCCGACATAATCCTTGTAGGTCTCCTTCAGCGTGCGGTACTTCATGGCCATGGGTAGATTGCTACCAGTTCCTCTCCTAAAGAATTTAAAGATATTCGCCCATTAAAAAGGTTTCACACTTAACAAAAACAGAAAGCACTTACCTAGGAACCAGTTCGTTATCTGATGGCTGGACAAACACCTGGATAGGCTGCTTGCGATGTCTGGAGGCCAACCAACTAAACATGTCATACTCGCTGCGATTGGCATATGGCTCACAACGGGCACAATCGAAGGCATTCTCCTGCAGTTCATCCTGATCCGAACCATAGTCGAGCAGACCTTGTGAATCGGCACCAGAAACTGCAAGGGCTGCGGAGGCATTGCTACCGCCTGTGTTCCCTCCATGTCCTCCACTTGCCGCTGTGGACACGTTGCCATTTCGCTTGTGATACTTGGGAGTATACTTCGAGCACTTTTCCACGCCTGGTAACTGTTCAATTAGATACTTCAGAGCATTCGTTTTAAGACCAATCATCTGGATGCCACCCATATCGGCTAGAGGACCCTCTGGCAGAGGAGTGAGTCCATGAGCTCTTCTGGCAACCTGTACCGCCTCAAAGACCTTCTCCCAGATCTCCGATATTGAACTCGATTTGTACGTGAAGCCATCTTCGCTCTGAATTTCATACAGCAAATGGGGGCCACTGATTTTTTTGGGCTCCTGACTGGGTGGTGGTGGTTCTGGAGCAGCAGCTGTTGGCACGATAGCAGTCTTTGATTCCTGTTCCTGTGGCACAGTCCGTTGCTCTTCCTTTCTTCTCCTGAGCTCCAATTCCACTCCATTTTGCAACTGTTTGAGCTCCAGTACATGGGCATCGGCCATTTCATTGATGTAGGTGGCAGCCGCTTCTACGGCTGCCGTTTCCAGAGTGCCTTCGAACTCCTCCGGGGGAGCAGATGCCGCTGCGGTGGTGGCCAGAACATCTTCCACCATTTGCTGGTAGCCAGCGCTGGCTTCCACTTCCATTGTCGTCGCCGTGGCTATGGAATCCGCACAATCGTCGTTGGTTAGGTTGTCCAAAATCTTACTGATCTTATCCTTAACCGCCGGCTCTTCGCTGTCGGACATCTCGTGATCATTACACGCCGATGTTGCCATCTTTAGACTGAAATCATCATCCTCGTCCTCTTCATCTTCAAGATCGTCCTCTCCTGTAAGGGTCAGTATCCATGGGTTCCACTTGGAAGGCATGCTTTTCGAGGAGATAACCGTTGTTGGCCAACTGCTGACTCAGTTGCTCACGTTGCTGCTGCTGGAGTATGAGCTGCTCGGTCTTTGCCTCTGCCGGCGAGTGCTTTTCGTACAGTCCCTCCGTGTAGATTGACTCCGTGGCCGGCTGTTCCTCCATGATTTCCTCCATCGTGACAGCAGGTACAATGCTCTCCAAAACCGAACTAGTCTTAAGTTCCGCCTCGTAAATGGGAGATGGCAATGCTGTCTTATGGGCGTAACACTTCGAGACGCTCGCGCTGGTAATTTGCTGCATTATCGGCTGTTCAACAGGTTTCGGAGGCGTGGGTGACGGAACCACTGGGCACTCGTTGGGCATGGGAGCAGGCTCCTGCCGCTGCTGCATTGGTAGCACTCGATTTGTTGGCCTCGTTGTGGAGCTGCTGGTGGTTGGTGGAGCTTGTTGTTGCATCGGATTTACCACATTGGTGGGCAGCGAGCAGTTGCTACTACTGCTGCTACTCGTGGAGAAATGCTGTACTCGATTCGCCATCTCCTGCTGTTCCAACACTTGAGGTTCCATAACAAACTGAGGTTGGAGTACAGGCGTTTCGGCCAGGGTTAAAATGGGCATCGAAGGCTGCACCTGCACCTGTTGCTGCTGCAGTTGCGGTTGTTGCTGCTGTGGCTGAGGAATATGGACCAACTGCGTCTGCTGAAGTTGCTGTTGCTGCGGCTGCGCTGGGATTCGCTGTTGTGAGATCGTAACCTTCGGTACTTGACTGACCACCACGGCTGGAATTTGCTGCTGTAACTGTGGCTGCGTCTGTTGTTGATGCTGCAATATGGTTTGATTTTGATGTTGCACCTTTGGCGTAGGCTTCATTACTTTGGGCTTCACTTCCAGCTTGTGAATGGGTCGAATCATATTTGTTTTCTTCTGAAAAGGCTTCGAAGCAATACTAGGTGGTGCTCCACAATTCGTTCCTGTTCCCGATGCAGCTTTGCCCTTAACCTGAGATTGTTTGAGATTGGCGTTCTTTAGCTGCACTTGAGCCTGCTGACTGACTATGCTGGTGGGCAGTACCTTGTTGACCACCTGCGGTTGAGGTGGCACTTTGCCCACTCCTGATATGCCGGCAGCCTTGGCTTGAGCATTCGTTCTCTTAATCTGAGTAACTGGCGGAATCTTAGCTGTGACCATAACGGGTGTGGCGTACTCCATAGAACTCGAGGGCCCAGAAGATGTCGGCACAGTTTGGAACTGGAAGTTGGCATTCTGCAGTAGCTGCGTGGTCGCGTCATCCTGCGATTGCTGTTGCAGCACACTAGCTGCGTTCAGGAATGTGCCCGTACTAGCTGCATCTCCCGAATTATTGAGCACCACATAGCCAGCGGGAAGATCCACAATCGGTTCGATTTTACTGGCCTGAAAAACCTGTGTTGTAGTGGCAGAGAAGCTGGCATTCTGACTGAGCATTCCGGGCATTGCAGTGGACACGAATTGCTGTGACGACATGACCGTGTTCTGGACAATCGTCTCCAGCCCGTAGTACATCGGTTGGGTTGCCAGGATGACCTGTGGCGTGGTGGTGGCAAACTCCAGACCAGTGGCACCTGCTCCAGTTCCACCCAAAATTAAGGGTTGTTGATTGCTGGCTGCCTGGGTGGCATCTGCTGCTCCTCCCAATTGAATGGTCTGTGGCTGGATGAGCGTTCCTATGACTTGAGGTTGAGCTTGAAGAGATTGCGCCGTGAGCATCTGTAGTCCAGAATTGGTAGGTGCAGTAGTGAGAACTAGATTGCCACTCGCATCCGTTTGCAGATAGGTAGCACCTCCGCCGGGAGCTGTTGTCAGGAACGTTGGTGCCGCCGTAGGCTGTGGCTGCGGCTTATATTCCGATGCTGTGGGTATGGAGATGTACTGTAGTGGCTGTCCTTGACTTCCGTCTCCAGTCACAAACGAAATTATATTCTGGGGCTGGGCCTGTGGCAGGATTAGCTGTGGTGCCTGCGACTGAGCGCTGCTCTGGAACAACAGTTGGGGCTGGAGGAGATTCTGTCCCATGACAGTGATTGGTTGTTGCACCTGAGTTTGTTGCTGCTGCTGGGGATGCGGTTGTAACTTCGCCTGAATGGGCTTCACCTGGTGACCGGATTTCAGCTGCCTCTGCTTGACCGCGGCCTGTTGAGCCGCCTTGGTTGCGACAGTCTTCAAGGGTTTTCCAGCTGTTGTCAACGGAAGCATTATCTTCTTATCCGTATTGGTGGCTTGCAAGGTCTGATAAGTGGCTGTTGGCGTTGTAGTGGCCTGCATCGTCTGGGGGATTTGAATAAACTGCTGAGTGCCATCGGGATTAGTGGAAACAGCTATTAATTGGGGTTGCGCTGGAGCTGTAACCGTAGGTTGAGCTAACGTGAAACCTCCACCCAGATTGGCAGCCAAACTTTGCAGTGAATTCGCATAGATTTGCAAATCATCTGTGTTGGCTTGGGTAGTGGGATTCGGTTGAGATAGGAAGAATCCATTGCCCAGGGACTGTGGCTGCAGTTGAAGTTGCTGCAATCCCTGCAAACCAAACTGCCCAAGGGAGCCCAAACTTTGCACTTGAGGAAACGAAGTTGCTGTTTGAAGGTAATTTAAGCCACCTGCATTCGCCAAAAGTTGCTTTTGCAGCTCATTCAAGCTTTCCGCACTTAGCTGGGCGGGATTACTAGAGCTTCCTGCTGCATTGACATCAGATTCAGTTTCATTGGTGGTTATTGTCGGTCCACAAGATGGTAAATGCCGTTGGAAGGCATCGTAATTCCTGTAAGTGCACTGACACCTATCACATTTAACCTGACCGCTGAACTGAGCTGTTGAGAGATTCCCATCTCCAGCAATTATACGAAATTCGGTGATTGAGTCGTCCACACCGTCCATTTGCATTATTCTCATCTTGCTGGGCTCTTCACGTCCTTCGCTTTTTTCGAAATAACGCTTTGCTGCACTCCATGTGAAACTCTTGCTCCTCACCGATCCAGATGTGGTGGCTACTCCTTCGGCAGATGCTTCACTGATGGATTGCCTTCTGGAAACGCCTGCTACCGTAGCCATTTCCTTCTTGCTTCGTTGCTGACTACTCAAGGTTAATAGCACTCCTTCAGCCAAGTTCTTCGATAGTTTCCGCCTCTTAATAGCCGTCGCCATTGCGCTATTCCCATCTAGCTTTGGCCAGGCTAGAGTTTTGAGCATCTGCACTTGACTGGAGTTTCGGGCTGCGGATAGCATCGCGTCTTCCACAGGATTGCTAGCTGGCCAGCCATTTCCCAAACTTGTATTCGAATTTCGGGTGTCCTCATCACAGATGCTCACAGAAGCAGCTCCTCCTGCTTGTTGATTTTGATTTTGAGTCTGATTGGTAGTCATTGCCTGAGTACCATCTTTGGATTGTTCACTAATGGCAAACAAGTCCGTCTTATCCGCTAAATCCTCATACATGAATATGTCCAGCATGGAGATGCCATCAAGTAGTTCATGCGGAAGATCCTCAAATATGGCATCCTTAAGTTCAGGTGGAAGCAAATCAGCCTGTTGTTGTGGTTCCTCTTCCGTATTTTCATCCGGTGGTACACAAGAGTTTGGATTTGGGAACTCCGCGTTCCAATCTCCTCCACCGTTTTCCAAATAATCACTTCTAGCTAAACTCGTGTGCCATCTGGCGATTTGTGCCATACCCAATTGAACTTCCTTGCTATTTGGATTGGTGTGATCCACTGTATAGTTCCTGCCGACATCCAGGGCTGTTAAGGTAGACAAGCTGTTTTGAATGGTGGTGCGTACTGTGTACTCCACTATTTTCCAGGGCTCTTTCGATGACCAATACAGACGACTGCACAAGAAATTAATGGGTACCACTGCCTCGTATGAATCCGAAAATCTGGGAATAATGGTTCCCAACTGCCGAACCTCCAATGATCCAATATGAAATTGGACACGGGCTGGTTCAATTAGCTTCTTTCGCTTTCTGTCGAGTTCCACGTACACAGGTCGGGATACTTCAAAGTTGGATTCATATGTCACACTTGGAGAGCCATTGGCCTTCAAAGCATTTCCATTCTTGGCATGGGTAGGACAATACATGGATTTATCTGTGAGAAAGGCGCAGTCGATGCTTCTAGCACATGGATAGTGATAGTGCTCACCACAGGAACGCACATTGCATCCAACAGTAGCTCCTCGATTTCCACACACCGTGCACTTGATCATCCTTCCCCTTGCCACCGCACTGTGAACATTTTGCAGCGAACCATCAATCTCCTCAAATACTTCCGCTGACCACATGGCACAGTTGGTGTGAACCCAGCAATCATGACCGCAGTACAGGAGTCGTGCTTCCTCTCCGGACAATCCTTCGCCGCTTTTCCTACAGAAAAGACATACTCTGGTATCTAATCGCATCTTTATGCCACAGCTACCGAAGTCATCCACTTCCTCCAGGGGAATATCCAGAACTCCAGAGCGCGACTCTGCCTGTGAAGTGGAGTGTTCGTTATAAACAGAGGCACTTGCTCCTCCAGCATCTTGCAAATCTTCGTAGTTGGATCCCGCACACGACTCAAACATATCCTCCTCCAAGGCATCCGTACAGGCTTTTGTTTCGTTTTGGAACCAGGGAAACTGCTCACTCAAGAGCTCCTTGTAGGCAATGTCCAGTTCATCGCAATGGCTTTGTTGAATGACCTGGCTCATATCATAATTGAATTCCGCCAGGGAAACATATGAGTTGCCAGCAATCTTCTGCTTAATATCCACCAGGCTAAAGGACTGCGTATGACTGATGTGCTGTTGACAGGAACAGGGCAGGGACTTTACTCGTGACTTATTCATATTAACATTACGTTGTTGTTGTTGTTGCTGGTCCTTGAACTCGTAAACATCGTCGCTGTTTTGGGACTCGCCGTCGCTGCCCAAACCATTATCAGACCCACTAAATTGAAGTGCTTTTGGTTGGAGTTTGCCTTGGTTCGAGGCAGCTCCACAGGTGCACCTAAGTTTCTTGCGGGGACTCAGTTTAAGAAGTGCACAGGCTTGTCGAGATTTGCTGAGAAGCTTTAAAACACTGTAGAGACTTGCTTTGAACTCCTCCATGACCGCCTGCCTCCATTCCTCAGCTTTTATTCTGGAACTTTCGCTCCGTCGCGCACATTTCTTGCAGATAAACTCGATTGATTCCGGTAAGGTGCTAAGCAAATTGTATTGCTCATCGCTTAGACCCTCGCACTTCGAATGTACCCACTGGCTACAATCCCCGCACTCCATCATTTTCAGATCAAAGTCATTGTCATCATAGCATCTCTGGCATATTGGACAAAAGTTGCCCTTCTTACGCAGCTTAAAGCAACCAGTACACATCGGTAAGTTTCCCACAAATTTCGATACTTTTGTGGTAGAGCAGGACTTGCATTTCAAGCAATTGACACATATTAATGGACGATCTGCTCCCAAAAGTCTCTTGCTTGTACCCAAGCAAGTGCTGTGATAGTTCTTTTGACACTTCTGGCACTTGACTTTGGATCCTGATGACATATTGCAGGTGTAGCAAACGGTGCAGCGTGGACACAGCCAATTCAGACGCTGTGTCAGTTGATTTAGGGAAGATGACGATGGTCCAGTAGATGCATTCACCGTTGTTTCCAGTAAGCTTCCCATTAGCGTGGTATCCTCAAAAGAGCCATGTTTCAAGTTGTACTCATCCTGAACACAGTACTGATGATAGGGTTCACAACAGCAGGCGCAGAAGATCAGCGGATCCAAGCCCGTTGAACCGCATAGGAAACACAGTGCCCTCTGAGCTACAGTTTCAGTTACAATCAACCCAAAGCCCGTTTGGCAAACTTCAGCAGGATCATAATTCTCCCAGAAATCAATAGATATAAGCGTACGTTGCTGTCGCTGTTCCTTGGCTTTGCGTCCCAGGGTTTGATTGGAGGACTGAGTGACCAAACTAGAGGTAACGATGTCTCCATTTCGCTGCTTTTTGCTAGCCGCTACTATTAGGTTGGAACTAACCGCTGCGTTTCTAGTTGTGACCTTTGCAGGCGCAGTTACTGAAGTTCCTGATCCTCCAGCTGCAGCTACAGATCCTTCCTTTCCACCAGCTGTTACCTTCTTCACATCTGCTTGAGTACTACCAGAAGACTTACTGGGCTTCGTTTCTTCATCAACAGCAGTCGTTTTACAGCCAGCACAGTTATCATTCTCATCCGTAACAATTTGAGGTGGTTTTTCTGCGCCAGGCTGTGTACTTGCTGGTGACACCGAAGCAGCACTTTCCTGCTGTCCTTCGGTCTCTCCATCGGCTTGCTGGTCCTCACCAAAAGTGGCCAAAGGTTGTCCGAGGACAATGGAAGCACTGCGGCACACATGCTTCACTCGAGGTCCCTTTAGATCAATCCTTTGCCGTTTTAGAGTCTCTCCTGTAGCTGTAGTTTCTCCATTAGATTCTGGTTGAGCAGCTCCTTGAGAAGCTCCATTTGAAGCAGCAGGTGGGGTTGCTGTAGAGGTTTGTGGCGATTCCTCCTTTTGAGCCTGAGCTTCTACAACTGGAGTTTCCACTGCTGCAGCTTTCTTGGTGACTGCCAAAGTAGGACTGAGAGGCTTTTCGCTCTGCTCTTGTTCCTTGACCTTATCCTTTTCCTGCTTACTCGCCTTCCGTAACAGGCTGGGACTTATTGCTTCGGAAGGTGTTAGCTTCTGGTCCGCTGCATTGTTTATCTTCAGGAAGAGGGGTTTCTCCAAAATCGCTGGGCGTAGTAGAGGCGTACTACCAAATGTGACATTGTTCTCCGCCAGTGGATTGGACTTAATAGAGCCCAAAGTAGAAGTGTTATCATTACTGGCTTTCCACTTTACAGACGTAGAAGCAACCACAGATGTGGAATTCGATGATGTAGAGGACGTAAATCTCAGGCTGCCAGTTGGAGAAAGCTGTTCCGTGGATTTATCCTCTCGAAGAGATGCTTCTCCTCGCATTCCCGGTGGCAAAATGGAGCCCAATCTGCTTCTATGTGCTGCCGGCAGCTGAAACGAGATCATGCACTTCTTCAGCCAACAAGCCGTGCATCTATCTTTGTAGAACTTCTTGAAGTTTTTCAACTGGCTTTTCGTCGAATGAATGCTGCAGGTTGATCCTGTGAGGGAAATAATTATTTAAGGTTAATAAGACATACATGGAATTACAAAGGAATTTAATTTGACGTACCTTCGCTTCCCTTGCACTGTAATTGCTGTTGAATGCCGGAGGAAGTAGTGGCATTACTTGAACTGGCCGATATAGATTTCTTGGTCATCTTAGAGATGAACTTCCTGCATACATCGCAGGCTACGACACCATATTTACGGGTCTGGGTTACCTCTTTACTGCTTACCGCCGCGGAGCACACGGAGCAGGCACTGGGAGTAGATGTTCCTGAGGTGAAATCGAGTATGTATAAATATCATTAAGTTATTTAATGTTTTAATTGCGTTACTAACCTATTGTTAAACTGGCGCTGGGAGTGGATAACGTTCCAAAAGTCGAACCCGACAGGGAATTAGCTGGCGTCGGAATGGCACTCGGGCGATGTTGGGCAGGCTTTGACAGCAGTAAACGGTCCCGGCTTGTTGTCCACCTGGAATTGCAGTCGGGGCTGCCTTAGAACAAAGCTTCCACCCGCACTGCTATTTGATTTCACGCTGCCAAAGCTAGAGAAACTCTCCTTGGCGAGCTTCAGACTTGAAGACGCAGAAGAGGTCGATGGAGTGGAAACTGCACTCGAAGAAGCTGTTCCAAAGACGTTCTTGGTTTTGGAATCGCCAAGGCTTGGAAGCTTTTTGGTGCTGATGCCACCCTCCTCGAGCAATCTCTTGTTGGGCTTGATGATTCTTGAGGATCGGGTGCTCCTTTTGGGCAGAACGAAATGGGAATCCATAACGAGTTGCCTCTCTTCTGGATCCCGCTCTTCGGCTCCAGCACTTTTCTCTGTATCTGCACTCTTTTCGGAAGCGACTTCATCATTGTCATCCTCATTTTCCTCCTCCTCATCAAGATCTTCGTCTTCATCCTCTTCCATTTCATCATCCTCCTCGTTGTTTTGATGGTCAGGAGAATCATTCCGTCGAAAGGTTACACCTCCCTCGTCCTCTTCATCCATGGGAGCACCAAAAGCGCGCGATAAACCAAATACATTCGGAGTGGATTCAGATTCCTGGTTTGCGGAAGATGAGCTCGCCGACGCCGATCGAAATTTTAGCGAATTGAGCTTATCGATGTTGGAGTTCTTGTTGAGTATCTTTGACAGGATGGAGGGTCGCACAATGCATTCACCTCCTCTGGAGTAGTTCAGTGGTCGGTTGAGGGAATCCTTCTTCATAATCGAGACGATTGGAATGCGGATATCCGGATTATAGAACCGCTTCACCACCGACTTATCATCGCTTGTCTCCAGCACATTCCTAAAAGTCACAGTTTTCTTTTGCTTTGCTGTCGTTGATGTCGTCGATGATCCTGCATCTGATCCAGATTTAGGACTACTGCCCCCCACAGAAGGTGCCACTGCTGGTGCTCCATTGGATGAAGTTCCTTTTCCCGATGCCACTCCATTCGTCGCTGTAATGCAGCTAGATGGAGGGGCTTCAGGGGCAACATCATTGGGCATTTCGCTCAAGACGCGCTTCTGGAAATGTACACAAACAAAAAGGGTTCAGTGGGTTTCGGTTAGGGTTGAGCACCAGAACGTGGGGAAGGGGTCCAGAGCAAATCAATAATTCATGCTACCAACTACACGCTCACAAAATGCGAAGCGGAAAGCAAGCAAGTTAACTAATGCAATCTAAAGTTACACAGCAGAAAATGATTATAAATGGGGTTAATTAACAAAAAAGATTTTAAATTCCAATTAACTAAATTCCTTAAAAAATAATATATAGCTTTGAGTTAATTATAATTTGGTTCATTTAATATTTAATAATTTAACATTTAGTCAAATGTTAAATAGATAAAGTACTCTTAGCTCATCTTTTTACAAATGGGTATTTAAATAAGCAATGTCTTAAAGTAAGATTTTAGATGTTGAGGTTTTTTTAAAGAATTTGTTTGTATCCTTTTCCCAGAGGAAAAGAGGTTTAATATAGTAAGTTCAAATTAATTATTTAATCGAAATTGATTTCGAAATAGCTCGGTCAATCGTAACTTCCAGTGTAATCGTAAAACACAAAGAAGCATGCAAAGAACCAGGAGCAAGTGCAACTTTTCGAAGGGGATCGCTTGGACATGGGAGAAGGGGTAACTGTGGTGGTTGGGATGGGGATATTGGTGCAAAAACAAGTTACTAAGCATAAGTATAAGCTGGGGAACAGACACCATTGCCACTGTGACCGTCAACTGTCTGCGGCAGACACATGTGGAAGAGTTGCAAGCGCTAAAACGTCATAAAAGCCAATTAAGCAGGTAAGCGAGCAGGTAACAATGGCGTCAGAGGCGGGTGGTTGGGTGTAAAGGGGCTACTAACCAGACCAGAACCATGGGTAAACCAACTTGAGGGGGTTCTCTTATTTACATTGGCGGGAATTGGACTGTGGCATTTGCCGAGGATGTATGTGCTGCAAAGGGTGCACACGCAACTCGGAATGAGTTGGATGGATTGCGGGGTTAAGGTGGCGGAAAAAAAGCGGCTTAAACATATTCATAAATAAAAGCAAAAGGGGGCAACACCTGGGAAGAAAACCAGCAACCAAACACCGACAATCTGAAAAATCAACTTACCAGGGCCGCATCTTCACCCGAACTGACCTCACCCCCTTCTCCTGCTATTCCCTCAGTTGAAGGCGAGGAGTCTGATGCATTGAGCGTGGAGGAGGAGAGGTTTTCCACCACCGGAATATTGAGTTGCTTCAGCTTGGATGTTGAGGGCCGCATAACTTCGCCCCTGGCCAAATTCAGATTCTTAAATTTTTTATTGCTATTTTTACGAGCTCTCAGCAAAGCTGCACTTATAGCAAAGGCTCCTCCTGGCGATGATCCTCCTGGGGAGACCAGGACGCAAGCCAATCCCGTTGATGCAACCGGTGTCGCCACGGATAGAGCTTTAAGGGATGCTGCACTGGACAGACCAGAGGTTATTGCCTCAGAAGTTGTCCCAGAAGATGCTTTGGATAGTTTTCCAGCAGAGCATATCCCAGTGGCAGCTGATTTTGCCAATTTACTAGAGGATGTTCCTGTTCCTGCAGAACTTGATATTTCAGAGGACCTTGCTTTTCCACAGGATATTCCGGAAGATGCTCCATCGGAGGATGCTCCAGAATTAACTTCTGGCGATGAGCCAGAAGAGCGTCCTGAGGATGTTCCAGAAAACGCAGATGAGGATGTTCTAGATGACTTTCCAGAAGATTTTCCGAAACCTGCTGCAGATGATTTGACAGAAAATGTCCCCGAGGTTGAAGCCTCAGTGGACAATGCTCCTGACCTTGCGGCATTTCCTCTCGTTTTATCACTGTCAACATTGTGATCCTTTGTCACAACCTCCTTATCCAAATTAGTCGCACTTTTGTGATGGGTGCCACCATTTACACCACCGCCATTGGTGGAGCCTGAACCGGATGATCCCGATCCCGAACCGGAACTGCTGCCATTACCGCTATTTTCGGAACTCGAAGCGCCGGCGGATGAGGATGCCGTATTGCCACTAATTGAGGCACCACCCGGCGCATTATCATCCTCATCGTTATCACAATTGTTGCCCTTTTCCCGGGCAGACGGCGAACCGGATCCGGAACCACTTGGCTGCTGGGATTCCGGCGGCGGCTGCTGCGCGTCGGCCGGATTGGCCGGATTGGCCGCCTCATCCTCCAACTGCAGGACACTGATCCGCTTACGGTTAATCGACTTGGAGGGTTTGCCGGGAAACTTGGAGCGGCCCATAATAGTAGTGTATTTGCTTTTGCCTTTGCATTTGCATTTGCATTTGCCTGCCTTTTGATTGGGTTTTCCTTATTTTTTGTTCGATTCACGTTGGGATTTGCTGATGGTTTTCTTTGATTTCTTCGATTTGTTTGATTTCTTGGACTTGTGGATAGCTCACTGTGGATAAGAGAGAGGCACAAACTTCAAGTAAGAGAGACCGACTTAAAAGACCGGTATTAGTAAAAGGAAAAAATAAACTACTAAAAACAACAACAGCAACAACACAGCTCGGGAAAAAACAATGCTTGTAAGCCGAATCTCGCGTTTGGAATGCGTCAATTTTTCCCCCTTTTTTTGCGAATCTCGTTGTTGTTGCTGTGGCAACTCGTTTATTTTGCACTCCTGCCTCACACCCCCTTCACTGCCCACTCACTCACTCCTTTTTGCACACACTCTTTTTTCTTGGCTATTTATTTATTTATTTATTTTTCGCGCGCGTTTCTCGTTGCGCGCTCCTTGCTTTACGAATTACAACTACAAAGCCGAAGGTGACGTAGCCGCTCGACAGCCTCGGCTTTTATGGCGCTCTTGCGCCCGAACGCGCTCAAATGCTCTCTCAGTCGCTCCTTACACTAACAAAAAAAAATAATAATGCACTTAAGGTTGCTATAGACCCCGTTTATAAAGATTTTACACTTTAATAATAGGTAGTTCCTTTAAAAAAGAATAACATTTTCTTTAAACAAAATAAATGTCAATCAATTTTAAAATCTGCTCAACTTAAAAACTCACATATTTTTAATGTTTATTTATAAATCTTTGAACAATAATTTGTTTTGAGTGCACTCTCTCCGGCACGACTCTCTTCTGCACCTTGGCCCGCTCTCTCCTGCTCCTGGGCAAGGAGCGAGCTAAAGGTGCAATTGCAGCTGCCTTTGTTCCGCTCCTTCTGCCGCTGTCTCACGTCTTGCGTGACCACTAATACACTCACACCAAAACCAGTGCTGACACTATTAACTTTTTATATAAATTAATAGGGATTTATATTCCATTATTACATAGAAGCGCTAACTTTAAATATTATAAAAAAAAATAGTTTAAACAAAGTTAGATTTTTATAAATGACCTGCAAGCTCTATTAAGTATGCAACAGATTTTATTTTAGGACATGAAGTTCCATTATTTCTGGATAAAAATCTAAAAATATTTGTCTAGATCTGAGGAAAAAGCCATCTCGATGTCAACACTGGCTTACCTCCACCCTTGCACGCTTTGCCACCACTAAATGTGTGCAGTTAACGAAAAAACAAAAAAAAATTGAAGCAAAACAACTGCTGCGTTGTGGCTCCTTAAACTCATTCCTTTGGCACGTAGCACGTAGCACGAGCTCTCTCTCTTGCTCTCTCGCAGACTCCTTTTTAAGAAATGCTCTCTCACGCCAACTTCACTCCCGTGCTCTTTCTCACTGCAACTACCTTTCTCCCTCCCTCCCGCGGGTTTGTTGTCATCGACGTTTTAAGTGGTTTTTCTACTTCAGACTTGAACTTTTTCTTTTCTTTTGTTTTTTTTTTCTTTGCAGGATTTTCTCGTTTTGGCTTTTGTTGTTGCTGCCTTTGTTTTTTCTCTCGAATTTTTTTTGTTTGCTGGAAATTGAAATTCTTACAGTTGCTGTTGTTGTTGTTGTTCTTGCTGTTGTGGGCCACTATTAAGTGGTGGGTTTTCCCTGCTGCTGCCTCTTTTTTACGACAGTTTTTCTCTTTGTTCTCGCTTTTATGGCCTGATGAAAATTCTTCTTTTTGCGCGTTTAGTTTTTCTGCGTTGGGAGTTTCTGCTCGACGAATTCACAGTTTTCCACATTGCTGTACTTTCGCGGCAACTTTTCTCATCTGTAACTGCCGCTGTTGTTGTTGTTGATTTGCTTGTTGCTTTTGTAGTTGTTGCTGCTGATGCTGGTTTGTGTTGGCGGCCACATGGTGCTCATTATCATTACCATCATTATCCCCATCATCATCTCTATATATCCTCGGTCTACATCATTGCCATCTTCCCATTCCACCACACTTCCTCTTCACTAACGCACACTGGCTCACAAAAGTCTGCAATCTGCGTGTCTTGAAAATCTGCAAAATACAAAAATGTACCGAGGAGGTGGCAGTGGGTGGTGGGCGGTCGTTGGGAGGCAATCGGAGAGAGAGAAAAAAAATAAAAGTAGAAATTTATTAGTTCGCTTCGTCGCACTTGGGCAAACAAGTTGAAAGTTGACTTTTCGAGTGTTTGAGCGTTTGTGCGAATGTTTGTGTGGGTGACGATGTGCGATGATTATGCATATAAGTGTGTGTGTGTGTGTGTGTGTATCAGTGAGTGAATGTAAGTGTCCACAGAAAGAAATTTCGATATTTTAAGGAAACTTTCCTACTTATTTAAAGGAGTAGTCAAAAATAATTATGCGAATAATGCAATAACCAAATTAACTAGCCTGTTTAACAATATGTCTAAAAGTATGCTGTACCAAATTTAGAATTTATTAAAAATTAATAACATATTGCAGTCTACTTTGAGATGCCTCTATTAGACATTTCAAACCTCCAGAAAGCATATTTAAATATAGATATTGATTTAAATACAATATAAAAATATAAGTAATGGATAATTTTATATTGTTTTATTGACTAATTAAACTCATATTAAAAAATATTTCATAATTTCACATATAAAATAATCTATTTTTTTTTTATATGTGTGCACGTGTGCGCTTAAGTGCTTGGAATGAGGTGAAAATACTGTCGAGATTTTGGGGTGGCAGTTGCCGCCTTTCCATCCCTCTTTCCCAACTCCGTTTCCCACATTTCCCGAAAGCATGACTCAGTACGGCGTAATTGTTTTCCGTTTCGCCTTTGGTTTCCACTCAAAGGTGTTTGGCAGTCAGTTAGTTTACCTGGTTTACCTGCCTCGTTAGTTAGTCAATCTTGTCAACTGTACTGCATACTGCTCCCCAGCAAGTCAATTTTAGTTGCATTCGTACATTCATAATATATATACATATACAGTAGGCAAAAGTGTGGAGAAAGTTAACAAACAGGATTTATTAAAAATAACATTAATATACCCATTTGGGGATTAATGTTTTTATATTTTTTATTAACAATTTAGTTTCTGCCAGCCATATTTTTATATTTTTGAAAGGAGAGGTTAAGAAAAATTAAATATTTTTTTTAATATTTATATTTAAAAAAAGAATAATTTAAAAATGGGCAACAAAATATTACTAACGTTTTAAATATTAGTTATCGCATATATTTATTTCCACATGTTTAGCACAAGTTTAAAAAAAGTTTAGTTTAAAAACCTGATGTTACCCACTGTACTTTAACTTGAGTCTCCTGCCACTGTCTCAGTTGTTTGCGATTTGTGATTTTATTTGTCGATTTTCCTCGTTTTTATTTTATATCGCCTCTGCTTTGGTTTTTGTTTCTACCATTGAGTTGTATCTTTATGGCCCCAGCGGTGGCATGATGTAAGCATGGGATTCGAGAGACAGCAAATGGGACTGGGACTAAACCGGGTTTAATTGGACAACACTCCTCCGTATTTGCACGGCGATTACACTAATTACTGCGGAGTTGCCGTGAATTGAATACCAAATAACCATACTCGATATGCATATGAATAATTTGCATTTTAAATCGTTATATGATGGAGTGTTAAAAATACTTAATAAAGATTTTAATCAGCCCAATGATCCAAGTGATTTTATTGTTAAATTATCATAAAGTGACGAACGAGAGGGATTTTATTGACGGCAAAAAGCAAATAGATACACCCATATCCCAAAGAAAAGTATAAAGCGTTTATGGCAAAAAATAAAAATATACGAGTATAATAGTGAATACTGTTTGCCTAATTATTTAAAGTTGGTCTTCACTCGAAGTTGACAAGGGCAGATTATCGTTATAAAACCTACTGCCTATCTTCTAAGCAATTTCCGTAACAAATTAATTACCTATGTTATGCGAAATATTTTCTGTCAATGACAGATGCGAATGAAACCATTTTCCCTTCCATATGATTGATGACAATCGGGAATCAACTCAATTACCTAACGCAATTATAGAATTCTATTATAAAAAGCATACGTAGATTTCTGAAGCACATCATCTGTGCCAGATATTATCGTTCGTAATGATAAAACACAAAAGCAATGCGTTATTAGTGACCATTTAAAACCGAAAACAAAACACTAGGCACATATCATGACATAACAAACTAAAGGTTAATTCTCTCAAGCTCAAAACAATTGTAAACAATTTAATACCCATGCAGGGGGTAAGAACAGAGAGGCATGGTAGAAGGAGGGGGTTTGGGTCGGCAGACAAGAAACAATCAGAAAACAAAAACTCTCGTCAGACAACAAATTGCACACAAATTGTATCTGAGAAACTCACACAAATGCCGAGGAAATGCGCAGACAGCGGCAGAATGCTAACTACGTTGTGTGTTGACATCAATTAACTAAATCGCTTTAATTATGTGCCACCAACCGAACGGCAGCAACAACATCAAAAGCCCAAGGAGAACTCGGCATGAATATTTCAGCGAATCAATAAAATCCCACAGAATGACTGATGACAAAACGCGTTGATATAGACGACAAAGTGAGCAAATTCAAATAGAAAAGTGTACAGGGGTTGCTCCTTAATTACGGACCATTTATTCATTAAGGGGGAGATGTTTGTACAGAAGGATAACGGGTGGATACCTGTACAGGATGCGCTCGATAATTGCTGGGTACTTTTTATAATTTGAAGAGACCTTTTTTTTAAGGACAGAGGCGGAAACAGTTTCAAATTAATTACTACTTTTTTATACCATTTGCTTAGACATTTTTTAAATTATAGATTATCGGTCTATTTTATATGGGTGTACTGAAATTGTTTATAATTTTATATGAATTCAGCCCAAAATTTCCACAATCCTTTTTTATCTGACGTTATAATACGTTTATTCAACACATTAACTACGCTAATTGTCAAAATTTCATGGATAAAAGACCTCAAAGCTTTAGGCTAACCTTATTTGTGTTGCTAAACCAAGTTGTCAAAATCAAATTATTGGTACTAAAAAGTAAAGATAAATACTTCATCTGAGTCATTACTTAAAAATCCTAGTTTCGTCACATTTCGCAGTTTATATTTAAAGCATTACCAAGGTTAATAATAATATAATTATAGTAGTTTTTCTAATATTAGTATTAACTGATATAAATATATCGTTTAAAAATCAATAGATTTTAATAAATGTAAATATATCTTACAGAAACTTGAGTTCCTCCTCCCCCATTCTTATTTTCCTAAAGAGAAATATCATATTGAATTGCAATTTCTTTGATTATTTTGAATTTGAGGCGCTCAACTGTATCCCGAGACCTAATTATTGGTGTTCAAGTGTCGGCGGCTTCACTGTAACTCGAGAGTGCATAATTCGAGACCCATAAAAACCAGACTCTCGCGGAATGCGTAAAGAGGGGGCAGGAGGCTGTAAAGGGAGAGAGCCACTGGATGCGGGGGTGTGTACAAAGGGGGTGGCTAATACAAAAGGGGCCAAGAGACAATCGGGCCAAAAAAACGAACAATCTACCGCCGAACGTCGAATTACGAGGCAGAGTAAAACTGGCCTGGCCAATTCGAATTTCGAATGCATCGTCATCATCATCATCATCATAGCCATCGTCTCCCTCAAATTCGACAGCCGAACAAACACGAAGCTAAACGAATACATTAAATCAAGCAAAAGAGAGAGAGAGAGGGATCCAACTCACACACCTTCAATTTAATTGCCATCAATTATGGTAAAAAGATTAAGAAATCAAAACAAGCGCAAAATGTACAAGAACTTGAATAAGAGGAATGAGCCACAAAATTGAAACGGAATACGGGCACTGAACGAAATTAATACAGGCTTAAACCCAACTAATTTATATAATTTTGGTTTTATTTCAATCAAACATAGAAATAAGCTAAATTAATAAAAGATAAACAATATATAATTAATAATGATCGCTTCAATTATAGGAATATATTTCTATTAGTAACCTTTTTCCACCACTATCCACTAGATCTATTTTCAATATAAACCTCATATCTAATCTATGAGATGGCAGCATGTTGAAATAATGTCATTTAATTTCACAAAGATACGTCTGGGCTGTTAAGTGATATGAAAACTTGATCATAAATTGCTTAATTGATTAAAATTGACATCTAATTATACATTTTTTGTTGTGTACGAGCACCACACACAATAACCCTTTCTCTTTCACACTTCATGCCAATAACCGCCAAAGGGGCGCGAGCACAAAACTTGCAAATTGCGAGTAATTGAGAAGATTAAAGTCAAGCACACGAGAGTAGAACGAGATGGCAGATGAGTGGGAGTTAGGAGGGGAATAGGAGGGAATGAGAGGGCACCACGAGAGAGGGAAACAGGCAAGCAAAGAGAGCCAGGTAACGAATCGACGGAAAAACGATTAAGAGCCATAAACACGAGCACGACAATCACAACAACTCACACAGCACCCACTCACACATTAACCAAATAGACAACTATCTGCATGCCACAAACACACAGACACACACTGGTGCACAAACTCGATTGACAAGTTGGAAAAAATCGAAGTCAACCTCGCACATAAAATATGTAAATTTGTATGAAATTATGCAAAAATGTCTTAAACACATATGCACTGAAAAAAATGGCTAATCAAATTGATATTTGATAAGTAAAAAGACATTATTTAATTCTAAAAATGTTGATAATGTTGATTTACATTTAGATTAAGTATTTAATATTTATTTATTTACTCGTATTTTTAATATTAAAAAAATCCTTTTTTTTTTTGGTGCAATAATGAGAGAGCTCAGAGAAAGCAGCTGAAGAAGTTGAATCAACAAATGAGAGAGCCCCCATCTCCCAAAAAAAAAAAAAATGAGAGCGAGAGAGCGCACGCGGGGGAGTATAAGAATGTATGTTTGTGTGTTTGCTTGTAAATCAAAACACGCAGCCAAAGGTGAAACATGAAAAATGTGCCCGCCAATAACTGTGCGAAAGGTTTCATGGTGTGGGTGCAGTTCAGTTTAGTATTGGGATTTGGGATATATCTACATATCTCTGGGCCATGAATGAGCATTGAAAATTGAGAGCCGACTTGGCAGCTCGCAATTTGATGTCCAATTTGCCACGAAACATGAACTAAATACTCGTAAGCATATGTATGTGTGGACATCTGGTTTACTGGTGGTGGTGGTGGTAGTGGTTGATGGTTTATGGTTTTCGGTTGGTAAAAGGTAACGAAACGTAAGGTAAAATTATTTAAGCAGAGTTGGCAGCTGCAGCCTCTTAAAACGCAATGTAAATAAAGGTGTAAATATCTAGCTACTGGGAGAAGCAATGCAAATGAATATTTCAACTACCGAAACAAATAGAAATCAGTGGGGCTTGGATAAATAACATCTTATATCTTAAATAAATTTTAAAATTTTTAGAAACAAAACAAACAAAAAACCATTTTAACCCTTTAAAGATATTGCAATATTGTAATATTATTTATCTATTATTTCAAATGTATTTTTTTCTATCAACCCCATGTCCCTTTGGATTTCTTTTGATGTTTTGAGTACTGTATTATAACGTTACAAGACTCTGCGAGGTGTGATCTACAAGATGCGAATGCAGTGAACCGTGAAAATGCATTCATATGATCATCAGACTGTCGCATTCACATTTGTATTCCCATTCAAGATCTTGCATTAGCTTACGGCTCAGTTGGTCGACTTCTTAAAGGCGAATTTTAATATGCGCAATTACTCATTTTGCGATTTTGCGCCTCAATGTTATTTGGCGCGTAGTTTCCCACAAGCACACACAAACACATACAAACTCAGACTAGGCGATTTGGAATTTGCCTTTTTGATGGCAAATAAAAAAAATGGCGTCAACAAATACACAAACAAGCGATGTATAAAAATATACATATATTTATTTTGTAATTATTCAACAGCATCTAGGCAACGAAAAGCAGCGGCAATCGATTTAGCTGCCCCTGCCGAGATCGTTTTTCATTTTATTGTATAATTTATTAAAAGTTTCAACAGCGGCAGCAACAAAAACAAACAACAATTTTAGTTATACAAACACTTTGGCCATGTGAGCACAATAGAGAAAGAGAGAGAGGCAAATATAAGGAGAGCAAGCGAGAGAACGGCTGAATTTGATTTAGAATGAGGCGACAACAAAAGCAATTAACTGGTCACACATTAAGTTTTATTTATCGATGCTGCTTTATTATGGCTCGTTGGTGTATTTGTGTGGGTGTGCCAGCGACTGTCATTTACCGTTCGTTTTACGGGTGGTAAATAATGGAAAACGTCGTAGATGAAAATCTCGGTTGGCCACAAGCTTACAGGGCAACTTTTCTAATACAATTTTTGGGGTTTCAATAAAAGCGGCAAAGGTTTCAAATAAATAGTTCTATGCCAAAAATGATTTTTAAATCATAATTATTTAAAATGGCATTCATTGGTTAAAATTTAACCTTTTATAGAACTATTTGCGTATTAAAAATATTAAACAATATAAAACAAATGTCTTATAGGAATTGTATCTTGTTTAGATACAGTTTCCTATTAGATTTGAGCTGTATTATAAAATTTAAATATAAAGTCTTTTAATAAATTAGGTATATATTAAACTAATTTAAAGACAAAATAAATAAAAAAAAAAATTTATGTTAGTAGAACCTATCGTGGTCCCACTGTAGAAATAAATTGCAGCGTGGGCCATAAACTAACAGTATTTGTTGTGCAGCCTAATTTGCATTATCGAGTGAATAATTGAACGACACTTGCTGGCATTTCTAGCTAAAAACAACAATCTAAAACTACTGACTAGAGGTCTACAAAGGTTAGTGTGTGTTGGATAATGAATATGAAAATGATGATGTGTATGTATGATAATGTGATGTAGTTATAAGTATTATTAGTGTATGTAAAGTATGTCCGGGTGCATTCCAAATCAATATCTGGCATGCTTATATATCAAGAATATTTATATATATAATCACGGCAGACTGACTCATCGGCAGCCGGCGACGCCTTTTATCGCGTCGATCTTTTAATTACCTTTCTGCTGAGCGAATATCCAGATGGGGATTGAGATTCGATTCCGTTTCAGGGGTTGATATTACCATTTGGCATCATCTTTAGTGCACAAATAATCCAAAAATGGGACTTTTCCACAACAAAATCGGCACAGAAACATACACATGCACACGCACAAAACACTAGTAAACACAAAATACAGGGGTGGAGATTGCGATTTTCGTTTTTATTTTCGTTCACTTATTTCTTGGTTTTTGCTTTGACTCTCACATTCGCCGCTCTCTCTCCCTTTTTGTCGCACAAAACAAACGCACACACATACACCAAAACGGACCGCTCTCTTGTTATTTCTCTCTCTCTCTCGCGCCCGCGCGTTTCGTATATACATATATCGTTGGCTGGGTGAACGCGTGTGTGTGCGAGTGTCTGTATGTACGGATTTTACGACGATGAAAAATGCCTGCTTCTTCTTCACAGAAATCAGGTTTTCTGCTCTCAATTTTCACACTTTTTTGGCAATTGCACGATGCAAATTCGATGTTATTTCATTAGCAGACACTGTCCCCGCACATTCGCACACACTTTTTAGCACAGTTTAACAATTATTTTCCACATTTTCTGCGTTTTTTGACGAGCGAAACGATGTTTACGATACTCTAGGTATTTTTTTGCCGAAGTGCGGTCACATAGTGCAATCAAGAGAGTGACCATTAATTGGCGTTATGGTAATAAAAAGCTTATAGTATATTTTGAGACGACTGTTTGGTCACACCAAAAATAGCATAAGTATTGGTATGGCAAGGGAGCGTACTCGCTAAATTAGTGTGTGCATTGGCTAACATTGATTTGTGTATTCGTTAAGGTAGCTGTAGTATCTTTTCCGTTGTGCAACACTTATGTTATCCAAAAAAAGCTGAATACTGCGAGATTTTATTTGAAAATTTCAAACGGATTTTTCTGCAACGTAAATGTTAATTTTAATCTCTTATCCTAATGAAAAAAAGTAAATTATTAACAAATTTAAACCTACAAGACGTAAAACTTGAATACATAACATTCTAAAAAAAGTAAAAAGTTCAAATTTATTGGTTATAATATTTTATTTAATCTTAAACAATTTATTTATTTCTTTTTTGTGGCTTGAGTTAAAAAATAACTTCGTTTATTATAACATGTTTTTTCTAAACATTATTACGTTTTCCAGTGACAATATTTTTCCATGAATTTTGTTTAGTTTTGTCATTGCGACTGACTAAATTATAGGAAATTATCACCAAAACAGGCGATTTTCCTGTTCTGTTTTGTTCCCTGACTAAGTGCCAAATATCAATCACCTCATTTGCGATCCCATTATTCGATATGTGAAGTTCGGATTAGTTGCGATTTCATAATGAAGCCATAATGTCCGGACACACATAAACAACTTGTCAGCTGCGACCACTCGAATTTGGTTCTTTGCCAAAGTTATTAACCAAAATTTTTGGGAAGACACCCAAACGCTTTATACATTCGCAAGGCGCGAAGTAAACAAATAAATTTTGGTCAACGCATCGAACGTGTTGTGTTAATTAGCACATTTACGATTCACAAAGTAAATACAACTGTTGCCGGGCGAGACAGGAAGGGCGGTACTTTGGGTGCTTTTTTGATCAACGTCATTTTCGACGGCGTTTCACTTTTAATTCGCAGGAAATTGAATCACTCGCCGCCTGCAAATCTCTTAACCAGTGACAAAGAATGGTAACCTACATTCAAAGGTTGAAATCTCATCAAAACCATCGAAATTGGCTTTGTTTTCATGGAAAGTTCCTACTGAAGGACGTGTTAATCATTGCGGCCCAAATTTCCATTTATTACTCAATAAAATATTTAGGATGATTAAGGGTGAAATGTTTCTGATACACAAATCAATAAAAAAATGATCATTTCGGGGGGTTTTAGTTATGGTTTTGTTATAATAATATTCTAAAAATATGTACTATTAACAACACTTTTGCCATAAACTGGTTATTTTTTAAAGAAAAAAGGTTCAGCTTGAGTTTAAGTTACTTTGGCTAAATTATTCTTTCAAAGGAAATATTATTATTACATTAAAATAATGGCAATATAATAATATTTAATTTAGTAGATCAAAAAAGTTTTCCATTATTTTTCCCCTTACATTTAAATTAAAATTAGTTTACATAGTTTGTTACTAATATTACATAGTTAATCAACTCTTTATAAGTACAACTATCAGCTATTGGCAACAGGAGTGGAATGGACATTGTTTTTAGCAGCTGTCACCGTTAGTCGGCCTGTTTAGGCCAGCAAATGATAAGGAAGTATCGATAACAATATATCTAACATGGATTACTTTGTACTGTGACAGTCGTTCCCGGCTTATCTATGTCCAAAACAACACAAATTCTCGGCATAATTCATAATGAAACTTTTGTTTTGACAATATGCGGGCGTGTACTCACTATCACCGGATTTCTAAAAATAGTTCCTAAACTTTACCGCAATCTGCAATGCAAAAACGATGACGTCCGTTGCCTGGAAAATTCCCTGCTCATTGCTGAAAAGGGATTCCTCCGGAGATCGTGGCCTTATCATGCTTATATGCATGCTAATTAGCCTGGTGACGAACTGGGCAAAACAAAAAACTGAAAATAATACAAAAAAAAGGCATCATAGAAAAGGCGAGGAGCAAAGCAATGATTATACCTCTAGGCACCTGTCACCGTCATCCAGTTATCATTTAATAATCGCGGAGAGCGCCACAGAGAGAGAGAGCTGCTTAAATGATTATCACTAGTTTGCAGGTACACATGTATGCTTGTTGTTGTACAGTAGTTGCTGTCTGTAATTAACTTTCTTTATTTTTATCACTGTGATTGCTACTGCATATATGCTAAAAATTTACTTTAAACTTTATTATTTGCATTTAAAAGTAAGATGATCATAAAAGCTTGCACAATTATATAAACTTCTTAAGATATTTAGTAGTTATTAATAGTCAAATATATATTCATTTTTAATCTTTTTTATTTTGTTAAAAGACTTACAGAAAATGTTAATTTTAAGGACAACACTGCGTATGAGTAATATTATCAATGACAGTTGACAGTGTCATGAGTAAAATTCACAAGAATCAATTTATCAAAACTTGGCAAATCAAAACAAAATTCATAATAAGGTTTATTGAACTCAATCTTAATGCTTACACAGAACCATAACTTATTTATGGAACTTTTTTACTGATTTTTAGAGCCAAATTAAGATCATTTGCAATTTTTAATGAAAATTCATATTCAATTTACCACATATTTTAACACTCCTAACTAATATATATGGTATATGACCATCCCACCACAGTGCCCCCTGTACCTGTAATGTTCTCTTTCCGCTGACTAGTCCAGCGTGTTTGCTATCACCATTATCACACGAATTAGGCACAATCATTTAACGAACTCATATCGTTTGCCCGGCTAGTAAGTACTTGGAAAAGTAATGACTGGCGGGATGTGAACGGCACACAGCACACAGCACACAGCAGTAAACCCATATATTTACCAATGTGAATTTGTGTGCACTTCCAATAAGTGACTTATTCCATTCTTCAATTCCAGCCGAAGAAACCGAAACCGATACCGCGAACCCATTCAAGCTGAGTGAGAGCGCGGAGAGCTGAGAAGAGAGGCTGCTGGAATGGAAGAGAGTTAGCGCAGCGAACAAAACGAGAGAAGAGAAGCAACTTTTGCGGATCGCTCGTCGGTTGTTCAGCAGTCAGTTCAGTAGTCACTTGTTTTTGAGTGCTGCTTGGAGTTGGTCGCTCGCCTGCTGCGCTCTTAGTTGTTTGGCTTAGTTCAGTTTTAGTTAGTGCCTCCGTTTAGCTGCGAGAAAGCTGAAAATAAAAAATAATCAAATATACCGCGTTGTCGCCGCTATCGTCGTCGTAGTCGTCGCTGTTGTATCTGTGTTTGTGAGTGCCAAAAAGGAAATATATATATATATAATATATAAAAGAAGAGTTGCTATTAAGTGAAATATTTAAACACAACAACTACTGCTAGACTAAAAGTTAGAGAACGGTTACTGTTGTTGCCAGGGGACTAACGGCGAGCATCTGGACGGCATAAAGCCTCAATTGTGTGTATTTACACTCGGTGCTCTGTACTCATTTGCATTGTGACAAACAAAATACAGAAAATACAAAAAACAAAAGCCGCCGTTGTCCCACAGACGCCCAACAACAACAATTAAATTAATAACTTAAGTAACAACAACAACAACTTCAACACGAACGGTCGACAATAGGAATTATACCAGAAGAAAAAAATCCTAAAAGTTAATGGATATTTTTTTTTTGTCTAGATAAAAAATAACACAGAAAAGTCAACTGGCAAAAGATCACGAATGGCGGTACACACACACATTGCCATTTGTCGCAGCCGGAAAACAAATTCATATACAGTCCAACTTCTATAGTTTCCAATTCTATAACAGATTTATTAAATGTTGTCTTAGAAAGAACTTTAAACTTCTATGAAACAGGAAGTCTAAATTTAACTTCCTAAAACTTCCACTAAGCATTTGTACTTTTCCATGATATTTGGTTGCTTCTAATCTGGTTTTAACTTGATTTTAATTTTAGAAGCCAGTAAACAGTGATATTTAACTTAAAATAAAAAATGTAAACAAATTTGTACTTATTCATTTTTTTCGTAAACCCTAATTTTTATTACAATTTAACATATTATATATTTTGCCAAGCAAATCACTTTAGAAAGAGAAAACATTTTCAATTACTTTTAAATCAGAACTTCTTACTGTGCCAGTTTTCCGTACAGAAGTTGGACTGTACCCACTCACACACGTCACCGGCACACTCCCACTCTCGCACACACTCACAAACTCGCGCCCACGAGTCTTTGGAGATTTGCACAAGTGCAAAGACACGAAAAAACAAACGCCAAAAGAAACGAAAGAGGAAAAACAAGAGATTTTATTGTTGTTGTTGTTGTTGTTGTTGTTGCCAGCCTTGACTAGAGCGAAAAAAGCCCAAACTAAAGTAAAGTCAGTTAAATAATTACTCGGAAATTGCACAACGCCGTTTGATTGCAGCCACCGAAAGAGAAAAAACAGATATCAAGACATCAAGTAACAAAAAAAAAAAACCCCACGAACAGCGCTTAATTGTCTCATAATTGTGGAAATATATTCAGCTGATTATGAGAGAGACAAGCCAACAGATACACAAACAGAAACAAAAACCAAATTAATTATCAGTGAGTGGAGTGACCGTACTTAGTATTTTTTATGTTCTTCGATTCAGGCGATCCAGTATAAAAACAGAGAAAAAAAAGCAGACAAAAACTCACGGAAATGGATTACATTGTGAAGGCCTACAAAGATTGGAAACTGCACTCGCAGGTAAGAAATCAAGTTAAGAAAACTGTAATCCCAAGGCTATGTAGGTGTCAGTCTGCTTACAAATTCATAATTATTATAAAGACAAATTACAAATAGGAAGCTGCCAAGCAACAATCTACTTACAATTAAGGCGTAAACGAACTACAAAGTAAAAATGAAATTACAATCGTAAGGTGACAAAGCAGCTTACAAATTAATCTGAACAAAAGAATTAAAAGGTTGGGGCGTTACAAGTAGACAAAACCAAAACATGTCAATCTATATTCGCTAATTTGTTTTATTTATTGTATTTAAAATAATATTTATTTTTATATTTATCGTTTCGTGAAAACGTGCAAATTTTGCTCTGAATTTGAGCGTAAAGTTTGTTTTTAGAAATCAAACAAAATACTTTTAAAAATGTTATAAAATTTGTTTTTGTCAAAGTTAAAATTTATAAAATAAATAATTTGTAAATACTCCAATGATTTTTAAGCGGAAAAAATATCACCCCTCGGAACCTTTTGGAACAGCCAACAATCTCGTCTTAACGGCTTTTGCCCTCTCTAAATGTTTGCCTTTGGCAATCGGTTAAGATGACGACAATATTGCGGCTTTCTTGCAGAAATGAACTCAACTTCTGTTGGCTCTTTGTCTGATCATTAATATCTTTTATTTTTTGCACCTTTTTTACATTTGCCGATTCGTGCGGTTGGTAAGAGAATGCGAAAGGCTGTGGAGTCACGGCAATAAGCGGTCGTTAGCTCTTGGCTTCAAGTTGTGGCTTTAAGCCAAAGTCTAAGCAAAATGCAAGACAGTTGAGGTCAGAAAAATAGATCAGTTTTTGAGAGATCAAATAATAATTTGTACTTAATTATAATTTAAAGAAAAAACAATATAAAATGAGAGGATACATTTCCCAAAAACTTTAGCTTTAATGATTTCTTAGCCACAGCCCCATTATGTTGCCCTCTATTATACCCCCAGACAGACACCACGATCTCACCGGTAAGAACTTGGCTTATAGGGAAGGCTAGAAGGGAAGTGCTCGAGAAGCCGGAGTGCTTAACCGCATTTAAGAAAGACCTGGCCAAAAGACACTCGGCAACAGCCCAAACAAAATAATAAATTATTCTGTGAAACACGATCATGTCGAAATGGTCTCGCATTACCCAAGAAAAAGCCACTCTGAATAGGCGTTACTCTTTCGATTCCTCGGCTTCTTCTCTGCTCTCTATCTGTTGTCGTTTTATTTTCCTATTTATTTTTTATTTTTTAGTTTTTATTTTGTCTTATACTGCAAGTGTGCGAATATGCTATTGCTATAGAGATTCCGAATCCAAATCCGAATGCCACCAAAGTGTGCTAAGATCGTGGCCAGCGAACCAACGCGATGAGTAAGCCAGCAACGAACACACATCTGGCCAAAAGCAGCAACAGCTACAGCCACCAACTTATGCGGCTCTCCGGTTGAATTGCAAATGGCCAATGAGTGTGCCAGTGTGGAAAAATAGCAGTGCAGCACAACCAAGAGCACTGTGAAAAAAGATCAGGAAAATAGGTTAAAAACTAAAAGAAAAAACAACCTTTATTGCTAACCAGTTTATTATTTTATCATAACTGAACCCTGAAATATTGTTAAAATTTTAATAACTACAAGGAGTGGTTTGATATAAGCAATGCACTGACGTATTTTGAAATATTTAAAATGGAATTCTGGACATTAGATTAGATATTATCACTTAAATTGGTAACCGCTTATTAACTTTCAATAATGAAAAACCAGAAATTATCTGAAATTCAAATCATTAATATGTTTTTAATTTTAATGTATACAATGACGTATTTTGAAATATTTTGGAATGGAATGATGATATTTCAAACTTTAGACTTTCTTCAGGTTATTTTGATTGATATCAAAACCAAAACTGGTTAGCAATTCAGTTTGGCAGACGAACTGTGTTCTATTAACCTGGAAATAAACTTAATTACTTTACAATTAAATATTTTTCTATAATTTAAAAACTATTTTTCGCTGTGTTGAAACTGAGAACAAGTTGAAGCGATCACAAAATGCATTTTATACGCTGACTGCAGCCACTAATTGGGCCAATGCACAATGTACAAAGTATAAAGTTAATTCTTGCTCCGGCGTCGCATTCCATTTGGTCTTCTAAAAATATCCTTAACCTTGGCCAGATCTTCTTCTTTGGCGCGGGTTCAATGGACTTTATCCGGTTTTTGATGTAGCCAGTTTGAAGTTTGGGTTTGGGTTTTTTAGCCATTGCAATCTGCAGAAATGAAAAACACAAAAAACTCGATTAAACTTTTGTCCTTCAGTTCAGACATGCGATAGGCCAAAACATACATAACATTTATAGGCACTCGAGTGGGACATTTACATTTAAATACAGGTGTAAGTCTTCCACTCCTCAACTACCATGTATTGGTTAGCTGTGGTGGGTGGTGGTGGCTTTGGCCTTCGTTAATCAGTTAACTGCTCCGCACCTGCAGCAAAGCCAAAAGACCCTCTGATTTGGTAATTGTTTGCATGCGGGCGGGCCAACGAAACGAGGTTAGTCTATTACTCACGGCTATTTGGCGATAACTTCAGGTATAATTAAGTCCAACATCAATTTAGGTCACGCGCAAAAGTTTAAGTTAGCGTTTGTTACCTATTATATCATATTATTATTGTAGATCACATGGGTGAAAGAAGTGGTTTATTATACTATTTTATGGTTAATTAGTTCTGTATGTTAGATGAAAGTAAATAATAATAATGTTATAAGTAATGTTTAAACAAATTATTTAAAGGTTACAACCTTTCATTTCATTCATATAATGAGTATATATATATTAAATCTGTAAATCATAACATATTTTCCAAATAAAAAAAAGGTAAAATTCATAAATAACAAAGTAGCTCTAGTTTATTACTTTCTGCTCAAACTGTTCTGACTGTTTGTCACACTAATAACCCCTTTTCAAAACGAATTACTTACAACTTTAAAAAAACACATTTAGACTGAAAAAAGCTTCTAAAAAACCTTAGTAAAAACAGAGTTTCCATAAATAGTGCAAGTAAAAAAATCACAAAAACTGTCAGTTAAAAACTTAAGCAAATATAGAGAAAAACTTCTAAAAGATTTATGGCTTTCCAAATGCAGTTTCTGTACAAAAAAAAACAGGAAGCAAGTTTGCATTTCATGTTCCTAAATGATACCTCATGGTACCAACAAAAAAAATCACCTTTTTTCTGCGGTTTATCAAGAGTCTCTCTACAGAGTGTGAAAACCCCAAGATCAGATCGGGGGATGCCAGTGAATCAGTGGCGAAACTCTTTGCCATTCTCGGCGATAATTATCAATCGAAGTTTCGCTTCCTGTTGCACAGTGTGATTTTATTTTAAGACTGGTTTTCGGTGTGGTTTTTTCCCTCCATTTTGGTTATTCTATTTCTTCATTGCGAGCTATTTGCGATTAGTGATTTTCTATATTTAAGTTTGGGTTTCAACCGGTTCGAATTGCTTTGAAAAAAGCGTCAATCTACAGAAATTCAACGATTGATATGCGCTATTGTTTTGATTGTGTCGGCTGGTGGCGAATCGGAGAGGTTTTATAAATAAATAAATAAGAATAATCAGCATGAAAAAGGGAAAACAAATCCAAAGATAAGTAAGCATTTCTAAGGGGATTAGAGGTCTTTGTCTAAAGACTTGTCTCGATTTTTATAAAGAACTAGCCTTGACTTTTACACAGAAGCGCTCTTATCAGAATTTGAACGTGCTGATCGAACAATTTGGTGCACTAAGAAGTCAAATTCCAAAGAACTCTAAAGAATTTCCTTGTATGTGCATTGTTTGGCGTTCCAATATATGTATATATATCTTTGATCGCACCTTATATTGATCATAAACGAAGGCTGCACCCTCTTCTTCGAACAAAGGCGGCAATCTTATCAGCAAATTATTTGTCACCCAAAACAAGGAGAGAAAAAACCATTCATTTTGTGAAAAAACCAAGGCAAACACTACAAAAAATAAGAACTCAAGTAGTCGTAGGCATATAATTAATAGTTGAATAAATCATATTGATAGTCATTTGATGGCTTCTCAGATGTTTTTTAATGACATACAACTGTCTGTAGAACCCATAAGTATTATGAAACCAGGCGGACAATCAATCACAAGGCTAAGTGCAGCGTCATTAAGAAATCAAACAACATTTATAGAGATTGATAATCTGAAGGGTTCCATTTCCCACTTGTCTAACGAACTTGAGAAAGAATTTGATTATTTTGGTTTCCTGTAACTGTTTATTTAAAGAATTTGTAATTGTATTGAAAATGTTGTATCAGAAAATGTCAACCGCAAACCCTAAAACCAATACTGTTAAGAAAAATCTCAACAGGTTGAGTAATCAAAATCCATGGAAATCTCAGATTTCTCATATAAAATCCCAAAAAAAAACGTATACTTAATATAGCCAAAGATTTCTTATTGCTGGGTATACTTTCATTAGTTTCTTTATAAAATATTTGAAATATCATAAAATGTCACGTTGTTAGATTTTGCACGTAGACCAAGTAATTACCTTTAAGGGAAACAACTTTAAGTTCCTCACACTTGCCCTTCAATTGGGCAAATAACAGGTGCTAAAACAACCATATCTCATCAAAATGTACTTACATCAAACGCTATATTAGAAGAACAACAAGAGACAGCAAGCCATCCATTTAATTTATCGCTAAATATAAATAAACTTAAATGAAAAGACCACTTAAGACCCGGACACTTGACTTATGGGGCTCTAGACATTCATATGCGGGTTATACAAGCCCAGCGAACATTGATATCGTCGTGGACAACTTAAGCCCGCTGGTATTAAAAAGTCAATTCTTTGTCGGGTCTTTCCCGGTAATTCCCTGATAAGACAAAAGCCTGAGGTTAGGATGCAAATTTTATGGCATTTAAGTCAAGGTTCGATGGGTTTAGGTCACTTGATTGATCTACTAACAAAGGTAACATTGTTTAGTTTGATTAGAGCTTATTGTGAATCATCTTGACTGTATCATATCTACAATTTTAGGCCAAGGATTGTTTAACTTATAAACTCTTTGTGTCGGCACTTAATTTTAATATAAGTTGGTTACTAGATCGAATTGGACAATAAATCATCTTTCTTGAGTGACTGGAAAACCAACACCATACCTCTATGTTTAGAGAAAGTGAATCATCTTTGGTAGCTTTACCTATCTGCAGGTCAATATTTACTATCAAATGACCAAGAAAATCCACAAGACATCACGTGTTTTACTACCAAGAAAACCTCTTTGTTTGTTATTTTTTGGCCATGGAGGGGAGTATTTCCCATATATCAACATTATAGCCAACTCTACTGCTCCAGATAATAACGCGTAGCTTCTTATTTCTCAGTCACGTACGATACGAGTATATACAAATTGTTTTGGTTGTCGTCTGCTCCCGATTCGTACCGTTTTGCTGTTTATCAATTTGCAATTCCCAATTTTGGTGGCTTTAATTAATACTAAAGATAGTGCCCGGCGGGACTGGCGGTTACTTACTTATGTTCAACCTTCGTTTATAATTTTTGTGCGCTTGCACAATTCCATAATTTTTTTTATTTTTAAACAGAAAAAAACATGCCACACAGCTGCGGCGAGCTAGATTGAAAGGCAACAAATTGAAATAGATTACCAACGATATCGTTAAATTTATGAGTGTGTGAGCCGCATTAGCTGGATAATTTATGGCTCTGATTATGGCCCAATTGGTTAACTGAAAATGGACTTAACGTGGCTCTGACGTCTTGACCTTCAGCACTGGAAATTCTTTGAACGTAGACGATAATTTGCCGTCAAGCGATGAACTCACTGATCTTCAGATTTACTCAAATTAGTGACTCACAAATTGAAGAAGCGCCAGCCGAGCATGTCTGATGTCTCAATATCTCGGCTCTAAACCAATTCGGTTAGAGCCAAAGTGCCAAAAAGCATTTAACATTCATTTCTGCGCCAATATAAACGTGAACAATAACAAAGGCAAATGGCATACTATATAGTGCAATCGAATGCCTCTGAACACCAGTCCGTGTGCTGATCATTGATCAGGTGTTTTGTTTATTGTGCCCTGAATGGACAATTGTGAGAGCTTTCTCCGCAGGTTCCACTTTTCTAGATAAAAATCGTACATATATTTCGATTTGTACACCATGGCGTATGAGTTAGAACGAGTGACGCAGCAGGCAGCTCGTGACTGGTTTGAACAATGGACAATTGTTCACCGGCATGCGCATGTCAATGACCGTTTCGTTACCCCTTTCTTACCCCTTCAGATCGGCTAGATATACATACGTACAATTATATTATATAGTCATAGAAAACTATAGAGAGCGTGAATCGTAGAAGTTCCAGCTGCCATATCAATGTGTGCTTGTTATCTGAGCAGCTTATCTGCAAAATATTTGCCAAACAAAAATAAATGGCGACCAATACAAAGTAAAAGCAAACGGTGGCAATAGTGTCACCAGCTTAAGCAAAATTAATATATGCTAGATCAATAGCAGCTGGGAAATTTAATTATATTATAGGACAATTTTGATGATTTCCCAAAAGAAAATCAGTAAAGTATGCCAGCGTTATGTGGATTATAATTCGTTAGCGATTTGAAAATAAATTTAAAACAAAAGTAATGGCAGGCATATAAATGGCTCAAAAGAATTACAAGACATATTTGAACAAAACAACATGACAAAGTGTATTAACATCTTGTTGTTGACCTTAAACGCGCCCGGTTTCACGTCGATTATGACCAAAGACCATAATGCAAATATGCGGTAGTCAGTGTACAGGGGCAATGCAATATGCAGCCAATATTGCGCATACAATGTTCAGTTACCATTAATAAATAAAGTCACATGGTAATTACCAGCCAGTGGCACGTCGTCCACCAGCTCGCTAATTTCAATATTTGCAGCAGATGTTGGTGCTGGGGCAAAACAAAAACAAAATAAAAAACTCAGCGGCGACCTGCTTTGTTCAAACAGGTTCGAAACTCACTAAATATATACAATACATTAAAAGACGTTTACGTAGCCAACGCGGATCACGTGAAAAAATTATCCACCGCCGGCGGAGAAACACTAACAAACTGAAAAAATTAACAATGTCTGGATGTTTGAGACAAAGGAAAAGCAAATAAAAGTGCGCTAACTGCTGTACATTCAAAATGCGCGCCAATTTGTTGATTCAGGCTGGCAGCGCCAAGCACTTTTTTTTAAATATTGAATTCATAGATGTGAATAAAACTAATTATACCTAAGCAATTAACACATCTAAAAATAATAAATAGTAAACCTTTATTACCAAGCTATACATATTTTGGGTTTTTAGATGCCTCATTCAAATTGCATATATATATAATACTTTTCAATATACATGAAATAAATTCAGCTATTCGTTTTTTAAAACTGTCAATAAAAGTTCTGATATTTTAAATATCCCGCCCATTATTAAGGAGGTGTGGCAACGCCACCTTCTCGGGTTCATTTCTTTAAATATATTGAAAAGATAGCGTCGTGTTATCCACTTGCAAATATAATTTTACCACAAATGTAAATTATTTGTACATTTATTTTGAACTTAAGTTTTATCTGTTGAGTAGAAGAACCCACAGGATTTCGATAACGATTCACAAATGGCATCTCCTGGTATCGATTAACGTTAGAAATCGGTGTAATGGCATCTCCTGAAACCGATTGTTTTTCCTTTAGATAAATAATAATAATATTAATACTATATACAACATATAATAATAAAAAACTAAACAGCGTGCAACAAACCGTCTTAAAATTGTAGAGATTGGCAATTATTATGTAGGCCAGGGCTTTGAAGGGTGTCGTGGAAGAAAAGTGTTTTAATTCGTACTGTAACAAAAAGAGAAAGCAATTAGATCGAAAAATCACAAATTTGCAATAAAACTGGGAACTCGCGTGTGCAAATATTAGCGCAATTTGACGACAGCGTGAGAAGTGGGCGGTAAAATCGGTGGGAGGTCGTCGTCGACGCCACCCACTCCCACTCTGTCTCCTTATCGCCATCTCACTTGCTCTGTTTTGAAAGGCCTGTCATGCGTACGTGTGTGTGTGTGATGAGCTGGGAACTGTGTGTACGGTGGAGTAACTGTAACAGTTGCAAGTTGCATTTACCGTTGCAAAGGAGCGGCGTTCGGGTGAGTGCGCCGAATAATTAATAAATGCGGAAATTAGTTGCTTTTTAATTTAGTCGGCCCAACACAGCCTTAAAAATCAGATAATACGATTGTAAATTTACATATTCAGGGTGTGTTTGTGTGCGTTACATATTGACCATGACATCACTAATAATAATAATACTATATTAAAACCAACAATCTCTTTGAAATCTATTGCAGTTTCAAGAGATTGTACCCGACATGGATGACTCGGAATTCATGTTTAACGAGAAGCAATCGATTCGGGACTCCGGGCGCACCTTGAAGCGCTACGGGAGTACCTGCTGCAACAGCCTCCGGAACAATGAAACCCTCATCCGTCACATCGTCGAGAAGACGGACACACTGCAGGGCATCGCCCTCAAGTACGGATGCACGGTAAGTTCGAAGGACTCAATCATCTGGATAAATCATTAATACATCTCGCATAAAGCGTTCCTCATTGTGGCTTTGCCTTCGCCAGAAGCTCCAATAGTGCTCATACGAAATATCACTGCAAGTTGTCATTAAATTTTTTTTTTTAAATTACATTTTCCGTGTGTCTTAAATACATATTTTTTTATTTATGGTTCTTTGTCATAAATTTACAACCTTTCATTGGCAGAAGGCAATGTTTCAAGTTAATATCATTAAATTAAGTGAAAAGTACAAAAGTTATCAAACATATTTTATCTCTTACAATCGGGACAAAGTCTGAGAATAAATTTTAAAAAAAATACATTTCATATTTTTTGATGAATTATGAGCCTCTTGAAAGAGAAGCCCCAACAGTGAGCAAGATTTATTTCAAATGTCAACTCCCCGAGATTTACAAATTACTTTCTTCATTGGTTTCTTGAGCTCCTTATGGAAGCTCCACTAGTGCCCTGGGATTAGCTTGCATTCATTAACAGTTAATGACTTTTCAAATGATGTTTGTTAAAAATGCTTGCCATTTTGGATAGGAAAAAATCTTGCAAGGAACCATGTAACCCAGATATAGATGGAATCTTATTGGGTGAACTTAATTTATTTGCACCTCGAAAAATTCTTAGCTGCAAGTTAGCAACAAAAAAGCATTACTGACACGCTAACCCTTTTACATTCTAAATGTCAGGCCAACTAAATTTGAATTTATTGACTTTTGGGTGCAGTCCTTGAACTTTTGTAATCTGACTTTTTTGTAAAATGTAAAATGTAAGAAAAATGTATTCAAAAAGAATAATTTTGAAGTGTTTGGAGTTTTATAAAAAAAAAAGATTTGGACAAAAACTAAAAATGATTTATACATTTTTAAAAGCCCAGAAACGTATATTGTACTTCATGTGAATTTTAACTTAGAATTGATTTATGCATAGATATCCCTTTTGAGAAATTTCTGTACCCAAACCAATTACAGTCACGCTAAGTTAATAAATGTATAACTTATGAATATCGGTTTAAAAACTTTCCATTTAAAATCATGAGTCTTGACGAAATCATTTCATCATGCCCATTGATTTCTTGCGCTCTTGGGGAAGCTTTACTAGTGCAGCAATCACGCGAGCCTTTGATTTTTAAATGTCAACTCCGAGGGATTTGAATATATCGATTCAATAATAGCAATGTTGCCCCGGGTAACTCCCACTTTCCCCACTAGACTACCCTTCCACCATTCCGGTCACCCATTTCTGTTCATTCTTGGAATTTACGACAGAACCCACACCTTCTTACAATTGCGGGGGATGTGATAAGTCGTGTAGTGACTTGGACAAACAGAAGATAGCGACATGTGAAAAGCGACAGTCAGTCTAAAGACTAATATCTAATATCTAGTCTGGCTGTTTATCAGATTCTCGTTATCGCAATGGGCCTGAGGGACCTGTGGAAAATGCTGCAGCCCCATGTTTAGACACTCTCTCCCGTCTTGACAGATTGCTGCATATGATTTATGTCCACAATGAGAACTCGACTTTTCAGTTAGCACTGGAATAATATTTGCCTAAAGTTAGATTAAGTTTATTGACTCGAAAAATCTGAAATGTCGCTGTAGCCAAATCGTTGCATGCCACTTGACCCGATTGGCCATATACGAGTCTTAGCCGGCTCATCCATCCGTCGATCAATCTCATCCATCAATCATGTGTCAGCATTGCAATTGCCCGTAATTGACGAGCTCCTCCAACTTATATCTATATATACCAATATATTGCATTTCAGACGGAGCAAATAAGACGGGCCAACCGCCTCTTCGCCTCGGACAGTCTGTTCTTGCGTCAGTTTCTGTTGGTTCCCGTGGAGAAGAACTCACCTTACTATCCCCAGGTGTCTGGTGATTCGATAGCCGCCTTCGATGCGGTATTGGCCACACCTCCGGGCACACCGGATGCCAATGGTCAGCGGGAGGCGCACAACAATGCCAATAATCTGAGCCAGAGCAACAACAGTTTTATGAAGAGCAACGATATCAGCAGCAGCAGTAGCAGTAGCAGCAGCAGTGGTAGCAGCAGCAGTTGCAACACAAGTGGCTCCGGCCCAACTTCCGGAGGATCGCGCTCCGGCGGCAACCAACAGCAGCAGCAACAACAGCCCCCACAAAGACCGTACTCGATAGCCGGGGAATTGCTGGTTGTGCAGGCTGGTGACGAGGATCCAGAAATGATGCATGGTCATGGTGGATGCAGTGGCAAGCAGAGTAAGAGCTTAGACTCGGTGGCCGCAATGACGCCCGAGGAGGAGAACCGGAAATGTATGAATGATTTTCTCAATAAAATTGACAACACCATTTCGGAGTCGCGCAAATATGTGGAGCGTTCCAAGGAGTAAGTAGACTGATAAGGCTTTACAATATTGTAAATATATGGCAGGCTTTATGGAAAATTAATATTGATTAATTATGACATCAATCAATTATGACTCAGATCTTTTAGCTGTCGGTTTACGTTAATATCTTTCTCATGAATTCAATCAACTTTAAAGAATAGAAGCTTGTTAATATATTTATTTTATTTAGACTGTTTTAGACTAATTGGTTTCTTTTCCACTTTCCAGCCTGGTCAGCAGTCAGAGTGATGCGGACATCTGCATCAGTGCCACCGCCGATATTTTCCCACAGCGTCGCCATCCGCTAAACAACTCCTATAAGACCAACAACAACGACCGTCCGTCCCAGTATCAGCGGCACAGTTCGACGGGCAGCGGGAACTCCTCGGATACGGCGCACCTGTTAAACACAACGCAGACTCGACGAGTTCAGAATTCACTGAAGCGTCTGGAGAAGCAGCAGGACGACTTCTTTGAGTTGTAGCATCCGTCTGGGAGTCGAAATCTAGCCTAATTACGCAGAGAGTTAATTTTACAATTCGTTTTTAATTGCCGCGCATTGTTGGGGGAGATGACTTATGTATGTCAGCATGTTACATCACACGGAAATGCCGCACTCTAAATGTAATATAAATAATGATATCTATCGACACGTATGAGCGATACCTTACCTATACGATTAAACATAAATGTAACTGAGCTAAAACCTAAACTAAACTATATTACCTAAACTAAGCGCTGCGCTATGTAAACCTGTAGTACGATGACAAGGCAGTTATGTCCTCTCCTTATATATTTTTTGTTGTGATCTTGTGTCAGCCCTGTATAATTGCCGCCAATTTGCTTGCAAGATCCGATCTGATCCGATCCGATCCGGAAACCTTCTGTCTTTTGTCCGGCCCTCCTGCCCCCATTATGTTTACTTTTTGTATGACTCTAGCTTTAATCACACTGTGTATAATTTAGTTATGAGAATTATTAATGTTAATTGTATATAGTCGCCAGAAAACACATCAATCTACTGGACTGCTCTGACCGCTAACACGAAATTGGCCAACTGTTGACGTGTAATTTTAATTTATTCTTTAGCTTTCCAAAGTATTAAACCGCAAAACTGAAAATAAATACTGTTCTATTAAAAACTGTAACCTCAATTGTTAAACAAGCATCCACCACAAAACAAACAATATATATCTATGTATATCCCAGAAACCTCAATATCGAACTGCACTCATATCGAGCCAAGTCATGTTGTACGTGAGAATGTTTTATAAAAATAAAGTGAGAATTGTGTTGGAACAAATGATGTGTATTAATGTAATTATAAAATACAAAAACCAGGCTGAGAGGGTTGCTATTCTTAGGCAATGTTGACTGTAGCGTTGCCAGGACAACGTAGTCGGCACAAACAAATGAAACCCTTATGTGACTTAACCACATTTGAACAATCATCCTTGTGAAAACAAAAAGCAAAAATGTCAGGGGAAGGATTTGGATGCCATTATCCTGGTAACCCAGCAGGTTTTGGGCAAGTACGTTAAGAAGCCTCCACTCACGGAGAAGCTGTTGAAGAAGCCACCATTCCGTTTCCTAATGGATGTTTTTAACAACGTGAGTGATTTAACCTTAACCTCTCCCCTTTGAAAATCACAAATAAAACCTATTTATGTATAGTTTATTAAGCAAACCGGCAAGTTTGAAGGATTATATTCGATGGAGGAGCAGACTTTTGAGAATATAAGCAGTCGGGAGGATAAAGTACGATTCCTGCAAAAGATGATCGACGCAATAAGTGAGTTGTGCTTAAAAGGAGGTAATCTTAAATGTCTAACATAGTGTTTGTTTTTCCTAGAACTAACAACCAAAATGGAACTAAAAGTTCGGACTTCAAAAATAGTTGCTGGGCAGGAGCCAGAGCTCACAAACGAGCTTCTCCAAGCAATGGCTAGTGTGGCGGAAAAGAATTTGGAGTGGGACAGCGTTGTAGACCAGGTGGTAATTGCCCATAGCAAAACACCTCTTGCCATAACGAAACCCACAAAGGAAACTAAAAATTCTAGCAAGAATCCATCGCCAGCTGGCAAGGAGGACGACTTAAAGAAACGCAAGGAGAAACGCATATCACCGCAAGAGCAAAAGCTACGCAAGGAACAGGCATCTCGATCTACACCTCCAACTGAGAAAGATAAGGCATCCCAGAAAAAGTCAAAGGTACCCAAGGAAGAAGGAAAAATAAGTCGACAGAATTCCAAACAAAAGAGTCCTTCGCCAGTTAAACTAAAGTCGAAAACCAAGGTGCAGCTTTCTACAGAAAGCGACAATCCCAGCATGTCAATGTCGCCAGTTCCAGGAGGCGGAGCAGCTCCTGAAAATGTGCCCGCTAAGCCAGAGAAGGAAACTGTGAGAAAATATTTTTAAAAAATGTACATATTAAACAATAACAAGTTTTCCCTTTAACTAAACAGGTTTCTCCCTCAAAAAGAAGTGAAGCATCAATAGAACCTGTCCAGGACTCTCCACCGGCTCCGTTGGCCCCACCAGCTGAGCCAGAGAGTCGAAAATCCTCTGGCAGGAGTCGCCGTTCTAGTGGCAGTAATAGACAACCACAGCCCATCACGGACGATAATCATTCCCAGCCAACAGTGCAATCGTCAGAAACTAAATCTGCGCCGGATACCAACAAAAGTGAGGTGAAGCGGGAGACACCTATCTCCAGGGAGAACTCTAAAGAATCTAATCAACGTCCCAGAACCTCACTAAGACCTCCATCCGCTCGACCCGCCTCTGCACGTCCTGGAGCGCCACGACGTCGCAACGTAGAGATCGTACTTCAACCAAACGACCAAGTTAAGATGTCTGGAATAAATGTTAAACTAGAAACCTTTGGTGACTTAGATGATGATGGAGAGAATCTGGTGATAATAGAAGATGCCCACTCTCATGACATTGTTCAAGGTGGAGGAGGTGCCGAAGAGCCAGCTTCGGAGGGTCAGGTCGATGCTCAGGGACGACTGGTTCAGCAGATCCTGGAAACCCAAAAGGAATTGGTTCATCAAAACGCGGAAGTGGAGCCTCCACAAAGTCAAGCAGCTCGTCAAAGTTCTGCTCGCCAGGTGAACGATCTGCGCGATGCTATCCAAAATCTGACCAAGGCGATTAATCCACTGGGTAAACTTCTTAACTTTATACCCGAAGACATCGATGCTATGCAACTTGAGTTAACTATGTGGCGTGACAGGTACACTCAGGCCTCAACGGAACTGAAAAGGGAGCAAAGTCTTGCTGCCTCCTCCACGGAACCCTTGAAGCACCAGCTGCAGCAACTCGATGCCAGCATTGCTGAGTACGAGGAGCTCATCGACGAAAGCCGCCACAAGATCCTGCAAAACAATGCCCGAATTCTGAAGATGATGATGGAACAGTAAATGTCAAAGAACTCTTTTAAATGATTTAATTTATATATATTTAATAAGAGTTGTATACAAAATAACCATGCTTGGTTCAACTTTTTATTTAAAAATATATAAAAAGTTTATAATAGAATCAAAATATCTTTGATAAGTAATAAGTTGGTTTGCTTTTTTTTGGGTTATCCGTTAACTTGTATCAAATTCTGGGTAAATAAATGGAACAATTTAACAACAGAAGCTAGGTAATTTTCTCCTCTAAGGTCACTTGGTGCTTGATCCGAAACCAATACTCATAAGTCTAGCTATGTAGTACAAATCAAAACGAGCCTTAAAATATTTAGCTCGATCAAAAACCAATCTTCAATGTCCAATTACAATTAAAACTCCATTGGTAAGAAGACTTAAATTTAACAAATTTTGTGCAATAATATCTGGTTCCTAATTTTAGCGTGAGCAATCAAGCCTTCTCCTTTTCAATTTCCGTAGGGATCGCTTTTTTCTTATCTTCTGTTTTTTTATTTTCCTCCGAGATCGTCCTTTTTTCACCTTTCTCTGTGACCGCCTTCTTGTCATCATCATCTCCTGTGATCATCTCCACGTCGTCATCATCTTCAGTTGACTTTTTATCTAAATCCTTGCCCAAGCCTCCTTCTTCCTGATCCTCATCACCCAGAACATATTCAATGACATCGTCGATGGGGAAATTGTTGAGCAGCGACTTGATGGAGTCGTTGTGAATGACCACGGTGAAGAGTAGTTTGCAATATTCCCGCATACGGCTAGCGTAGTCAAGTTCTGCGTAATTCTCGCCTGATTTCGACAAATCGTGGCCACAATTTTCAATCACTTTACAGAGTACAGTCTCCTCGGGAGCATTTGGCCAACCGTATTTCTTTAGGATCGGTGGATCCACCAACATGTCAATAAGTTTACCGACATTCTCTTTCAGCTTAAGATCCTCCTCTGTAAGAATATCTCCGCTAAAGTCATCATCGCTCGAGGCTTCTTCCAGATTATCCGCAATGGCAGCCGCCAAGCTGGCGGCCAGGGATTTTCGTTGCTCTTTCTTGACCACCGGTGAAACTTGTGTTTCCTCCTTCTTGCTTTCGGGCTTCACTGCAGCTTCTTCTGGTAGCTGCTCACCCTCGATAGCCCCGTCTAAGGGCAAAATCGTGTATGTTTCATTTTCCAGCGTAATGGTTTGGGCAGTACCATCGCCCTCGTCCACCAGGAATTCTCGCACCACAACGCCATTGCCATCCGTCTGGCTGGAAATCAGAGAACCCGCCGATGTGTTTAGCGCCACCGGTACAACCTCGTCCTCTTCGATTTCACTTAGCTTGGCCTTCTTTGCAGCGCTTTGAGGGCTGAGGCTCAACACCGAAAATGTCATCTGGATCGCATTCATGTACAGTGCGAATGTGCCTGCGTAGGGTTTCGCTGCTGTCGAAGTTCTTATCGCATATAGCGCAATCTGTTCGCTCCATAATTTTGATGGCAGGACGCTTGGCGACTCTCTGTTGTTTTGCTATATATAACAGGAAGTTATTAGTGATTAGTGATATGATATGCTAAGCTATGCTGATATAATAAGCTTAAGCTGATATGATAAGCTTAACTTACGGCTGTGATTGCCTTCGTCCATGTGCTCCTTGAGCAATGCTGTGGTACGGAAAGTACGCTTGCATTCGGTGCAGGAGAATACAGGCCGTTTAGTGCGAGAATGACTCTTTACATGGCGTTCTAGTCTGCAGAGAAATATTGAGTTAGATTAACAAAAGCTAACAGAAACTGAAGGGACACTTACTGTTTCTCTGTTTTAAACTTTTCCTCGCACTGTTCGCAAGCAAAGGGTCGAATATGGGTCTTGGAATGGGTACGCAACTGGGTGGCCTGGATGAAACTCTTCCCACACTCATCACATTTGTGCGGTCGTTCTCCAGTGTGACGTTTCATATGTCTATTGAGCACTTCCTTGACGGCAAAGGCTTGATTGCACTAAAAACAAAAAACCAGTCGAATACGATTAGATATCAATTTTTTAAAACAATATAAAAGCTTTGTGACTCACCACTGTGCAACTGTACGGTTTCTCGCCAGTATGATAGCGTCGATGCTTTTTAAGGGCCACCAAAGCGGAGAATTTCTTGTCGCAAAGATCACAATCAAAGGGTTTTTCCCCAGTATGTGTGCGAATGTGGATGCTGAGGGTAAATTTTATACATTAATAAAATACATTTTTTGAAAAATATACAACTCACTTAAGCGTGGAGAGGCTGTAGAAGCAATTTTTGCACGTGTGGCACATGTACTCCGGTTTCTTCACTACTTGTGTGCCCAAATGTTGCTTCAGATGGGATCGCAGATTGTCCAGTCGATAGAAGACACGATCGCACACTTTGCAGCTCATGGTATCGGTCTCATTCGACGAGCACGATGAGTATTTCTGGTGGCGTTTTAAGTGATAGGAGCGTGTAAAATCCTTTCCGCAGATTTTGCAAGCATACGGTTTGCCACGCGACTTGTGTTGCTCCTCGTGAAGCGCCAGCAAGGCTTCACTGCGCAGGTTGGCGTTGCAAATGGAGCAAGGGAAATCACTGAATTCAGAGTGGGTGATGAAGATGTGACGCTCATAGCTAGTCTGCGTCTTGAACGACTTGGGGCAGTCCGGACAGTTAATGTGGCCCAGCTAAAAGAGGAAGGTATATTTTAAGTACAAGATATACACTACAATCATATAAACTCACATGAAAAGTGTCATAACTTTCACTGCAGCAGAAGCAAATGTCCTTCTTCTCCATCACCACGGCGTCCTTTTCAATCTTTTCTAGGTTCTTAAGCATGTCAGCCTTGCGCAGATGGTACCCACTGTCGTAGCGACAGAACTCCAGATGTTTTTTGAGACTCTGAACTCGGCGGAAAGTTTTGTAGCATTTGCCACAGACATGCTCAACGATCTCCTTGATTTTGGTCTGAGTGCTGTTTCCCTTTCCCGACGATTCCTCGCCGTCGTCCTCACCATCTTCCTCTAGGTCCTCTTCACCTTCGGTGACTACGATCTCCTGTCCATTGGTGTTGTCAATTCTGCCTGGCACCACTTCCTCATCGTCTGCTAGAATAAAAGCAATGGTATCATCATCTTCCTCGGCTACCGCGGTAACAGTTGTGTCTGCTTTGCTATTTTCAGTTTTTACAGCCTGGAGTACATAGTGTTCCATTTTCTTTCTTTTACTGGGTGAGGTCTTAATCTTGACGTCTTCCACCGCTGTAACGGTGGCGCTAGGCGTCCTCTTCTCATTAAGAATCTTTACAGTGGAGGTTGAAGTATTTGTTGTCTTGATGACGCTTCTCTTCTCAGCCTTTGGCGTGGCCAAGATTTCTTCATTGAGTATTTTTATACGGGATCCTCCCAGACTTCCCCGTTTTTCCGGCTTATTTCCGACAGCCTTTGATGGACTAGTACTAGCCTCAGGGTCTACATTCGCTGCTACGTCATTTAAGAGCTTCATCCTGGTAGCAGGACGCTTATCCTTGGGCGGTGAAATGTTTTCCATGCCCAATATCTTGATCTTCTTTTCCTTGCCCTCCTTCGAGGCGCTCATTTTGGTTATGACAGCCTGAACGTGAAAATAGTTTCAAAATTGAAAATAAGGATCAGGATCAGAAATTTATGATTTAGCCTACTTTTAGGCACGTGATTTATTGAAAAATCACATTTTGCCAGCGTCACCAACACAAGCCCAAAAGCAGCAAAGAAAAAATGGCGTCACCAATTTCGATCTTTTACGATCGATCAGCGCGAGTGCGAGCGAGACAAAGATACGGCGCCTGACGCACAGAAAACGCAACAAGTTTTCTTCTTAAATAAAATTGTATTTCAAGGGGTTGAATTTAAATTCTAATACACTCAGATTTTCATTGCATACTTTTAAAATTTTAAGGGTTTTTATGTTTGACAGCCAAAGGACGCTCCGTTTTCATCTGATTCATTCGCTGATTAGGCATGCAGTTTTTTCACAGCAACACAACGAAAGAAAGCGGCGGTGATCGTGACAAAGAATGTGGCTTTGCAAAGGCATAGGGTGTGTTCTCACTTTCACAATATCACTTATTGACAACAAATATCTTGTTATTTACAAATTTCTCAGCACGATGCCGCTAAAATAATCAGAATTTACCTAATTTTATGCTTTAAATTCCAACACGACAAGATTTGTTAGAGCAGTGTGGCCGTTAATCGATAGATTGAATATACCAATTGATCTGTAAAATCTACTAAGCGATAAAAAAACTGAGTTGATGGGAAATCTAAATAAACGCTTTAACAAAAACAACAAGGCGATCTTTTTTAAAAAAATAATATACAATATTTATAATAAACTACGCCTACAGATACATTTAAATAAAACTTTAAAAAAATTATAAATGTATATTTGATCTACATTTTCCCGCCAAAACAACATTGAAATTGGGTGTTAAGGGGTTAAACCATATACCAAAGACTTTTGTCAATGACCATAAATACTGCATATTTGCAAGGTATATTTTAGGAGGCGTGCCGCGGTCACACTTTAGATTATTTCCGCGGAAAAAGGTAAATAAAAGCCGGAATATTGGTTTAAATGCAGTAAACTACCAATAAATTAATGCTAACAGAGATCATGACGACTGCCTTTGATGCTGCTCATACGGAGGGCCCAGGATTCGTGGGTATTCGGTTCTGCCAAGAGTGCAACAACATGTTGTACCCAAAGGAGGACAAGGAGAATAAGATCCTGCTGTACGCCTGCCGGAACTGCGATTACAAACAGGAAGCGGACTCCAATTGCATCTATGTGAACAAGATTATGCACGAAATCGACGAACTGACGCACATTGTGCCCGATGTAATTTCCGACCCCACGCTGCCGCGTACTGAGGACCATGCCTGTCCCAAGTGTTCCCATCGGGAAGCGGTCTTCTTCCAGGCCCAAACACGTCGCGCCGAAGAGGAGATGAGACTTTACTATGTGTGCACCAATCAGAATTGCACTCACCGATGGACAGAATAGATGCCTGTAATTTTAGCTCTAAGTAATCAAAACCAATATAAAGACCCTTTGCAATTTGTACATCTTGTATTCCCACATGATTACACCGCAAAAACATCTCACTAATAGTTTTGTACTCGATTGTCGCTCAATGAAATAGCAAGAGCATAGGAAAATCATTTGAATGAGAGGCGTAGATCAGATATCCGATAATCTCTTTGATCTCTCAGTACAGTAGTTTCTAACAGATTATTTTTCTATTCAAAACAAATATATTAAAACTTCATTGATTGTTATGATTAAAATTCATAGAAGTAAAATGATTTAGATTAGGAATTATTTGCGTATCGTTATCAGTTTCGATTTGATGACAATCTGATTTTTTTCTCTGCAGAACAGCAATAGCTGGGAACAAGAGACAGTATATATTCTTTCGGACAAACGCTAGCCTGCAAGCAAAAGGCAGGTTTTTAAACCAAATTAAATGACTGAAAAGTTTGCATTTTTTCGAATGCGGAAATAGTTATATAGTTATAAAAAAAGAAAAAGAAGTTTTATAGAATTTTGATCAGGTTTTGGAATATACAAACTTATGCATCATAAACTCGGAAACCAGATTTCGTAGTTATGACGTTAATCAAGTAGATGCACATGGGGACCCATGATTTGAAATAATCATAATAGAAATATCTACTGTAGTTGTAATTGAGCAAGAAATAAATCTCATAGTTCGCGGCCCGGTGACAATTCTTGATATTTATCATTGTTCTGCTCTAATCGAAGCTGACAACAAACAAACAGACACAAAAATAAAAAGAGCCCGAAAGCAACGAAGAAATGATTGAACAAGTTTCTTGTGCGTATCAAACGGCAGGCCATTCGAGTGTGGACTTGGCTCGATCCCCGGAGTCGTCGCTAAGTTTAGTCTGAGCTTAGAACTTGGCGCGACGTGTTGATCAAATCGCTGAAATGTGCTAAAGCAACCATCAAACCAGCCGAATCGAATATAAAAAAATTAAGTGTTAAGAGAGAAATTCAGCAAGTGTAAAAAAAAACAAAAAATGGCAAAGCCAAGGTCGTCGGGGGATTCGACTGTAAATGGAGGAGCAGATCCGGAGCCCAAGCTTAACTATTTCCAGAAACTATGGCGTTATCGGCATTATCTAGTCATCGAGCCCTTCTTCTTTTTCTACTTCATGGCTTCCGTTTTCAACGCGGTGGCCATGCAGAATTTCCCCTTGGACAAAGCCTGCCGTGTAAATTTGGGATACAACAAAGTGGTCTGTGACACGATGTTGGATAAATCGGAACTGGGTATCGAGTGCGATGATTTCGACTTTGAGAATACCACTCAGGGCGCCACTCCGGATCTAGCTGGCCTGGTGATCGGAGCAACTGGTTTCAACTATACGGTCTGCAAGGCGGAACTGGAGGCACAGATCCTAGCGGCAGATGTGTCCGGCAAACGTGCTCCGATGGGTAAAAAGAGATACTCACATATATCATATACATAACACGAGTCGTTCATTAAGTATACGCCGTTTTGGTTCTGGGTTTGGTTTTGACATTAGCATTGCTTAAATTTCAGGTTTGTGTTTAAATTAAACTCGAATTCTTTGCACATCTCGACTCCTCTGCATATTAAATCTCGCCTACCCCTTGGGATTTATATCCATAGGTGAGGTACACGGAAAGAAATTCTTATTATATTATGATATTATAAGGAATTTTATTAAGGAGATTAAAATTTATATAGATTTGGATGTAATTAATGAAGCTATGCGATTTTACTAGAATATTTGAATATTTATACTTTGTATGAATGAAAAAGTTTTTAAATTTTCGGACTTAAGAACTTAGGAAATTAAAATCTAAGCCCCATTACCTAAAAGGAATTATTTTTCAAAGTGTAAATTCTTTTTGGAATCCATGTCTTTTGATGGATGTCGTCGGAAATTAGCAGTTATCCGAAACATCTAATTACCTTATTTAATTGATTCGCTCATGAGTAGTCTTTCGCCTGCTGATGGTTCTAACAAAAATTCCCCCATTCTATTGTTGGTGATTAATTTAGAGCCGCTTCTAAAGGCCTTAGCCTAGTGTCTCGCAACGTAATCGTAATCGCTCCAAACCTGTTCTTTACATCGATGTTATTCGAGTGACTTTCATGGGTTCACTGCCATTGTCATTGGCATTTCATTTCTAGCCAACCATAGATAATATTTTATATTCCCAATTTAGCGATAAACGCCATCCGAAAATGTCATTTGCATAGAGCTACGCGGAATTCCGGTTCTCAGCGGCCGAGAACGTCTTCTTGTTTAATAATCTTTGCAAATGCGAGAATCATTAAAATGCATTGCATCAGAGATCGATAATTGAGGCTTTAAATGATTAAAATGTCGTGTCATAGATTCCATGGTGAAATTTTTATTGTATACATATTAGAGGTTTTTTTTTGTACAAATGCAAGTTTTGATTTGGTTTTGTTTGATAACAAGTTTGAAAAAGAAAGCAATATATAATCGCCAAATATTCAAATAATCTTAAAGAAGAAAAAAATGTTGAATAATTAGGAATACAAACAATAGTATTTAAAAATTTTTTTATAAAAATGAACAATAAATAAATAAAATTTGCTTGGCTAAGAATAAAGGAAGATTAGCTTTATGTTCTTGAGAAATTTAGACTCATTCTAATTTGATGTTAAAGTGTAAAGACTAAATTTCAAAATCATTTTGGTTATAATTTAATTAGTATTGCTTAGCTTAAATAAAACTATATTATTAATAATTAAGCTTTAAAATAAAATAAAGCTTTCAAAAGCTATAACACCCTATAGTTAATTACAAGTGGGAATTATATTAATAAACAAAATCTTACCTTGCTTATGCTAAGCAGATTTCGAAAACGAGTTATTTTTGTGGAATTGCAATTCCTGTTTTAGACTTGCCAAAATTCTGTATTTCGCTTATTGACTACATATTTAGTACATATTATACTTAAAAAAAAAACAATACTTATATAATATATTCACTTTCACAGCTGCCATTTTCCCCCTGATTGTACTGCTTTTCGCTGGAGGATGGGCGGATCGATACAACAAACGCAAGCCCTGTATGATAATGCCAATTATCGGAGAAGCCTTATCTTTTACATGTAAGTGGATATGTTCAATGATATTATATCATATTTTTTAATTATTTAATAATATTCCAGGTCAGATTATATCTTCAATTTTCTTTGATTCGCTGCCCATGGAGTTCGGTGCTTACTGTGAAGCCATCGTTCCGGCACTTTTTGGAGGATTGACTTTCTGTCTGATGGCAATCTACAGTTACATCACCATAGCCACGCCAGAGGAGGATCGTGTCTTCCGTTTTGGTATCTTTGCTATGTTTGTCACAGGAGTTCCGTTTATAGGACAACCCATTAGTGGACTACTTTTCACAACTTTGGGTTATACATGTAAGTTCTTAAAGTCTAAGCTCTATCTTTATAGTAACATATTTTATAAATTTCTTTACAGGGTCCTTTGCCTCAGCTATTGTTTTCCAATTAATAGCTATATTCTACATTATCTTCTTTATAAAAGAGGTAAAAAGCACGCCCGCTGATGAAACGAATGGCACACCAACGAATGAGCCACCTCCACTGCCCACCACTCTGCCTCCAAAACAGCAGGGTGCCGATAATATGGCTTACGAGACGACCAATGTGGATGAACTGCAGGGAAATAAGAATGTTAATTTCCAGCTGACTCCTCAAATGGAGCCCAAAGTGGAGGTTGTGCCTCCAAAACGTTCTCTCTTAAAAGAACTCTTCGACCCCACTTTGGTGCTGGACTGCATCCGATTCCCGCTGATTAAAAGACCCAACAATGGAAGGTAAGGAACCAGATTATAATTATTAATTAATTATTATAAGACGCTTCAACAACTACTTTATCATAGGATGCTGTTGATTCTCCTGCTGTGTGCCTACTTCCTGACCGTGGGTCCCACATCCGGTGAGAACGACTATTGGTATCGGTTCACCCTGAAGAAGCTCGCCTGGAACGGCAACGACTTCAGTATCTACCTGACCTTGTCCAGTGGCGCTGCACTGGTGGGCACCTTTATTGGCACTGCTATTCTGAGCAAGCTCCTCAAGGTTTCCGACTCGATGATTGGAATGCTGTCTGCCTTGTCCATTGTCTGCTCTCGAGTTCTTTTTGTAAGTACTTAAATTGAATATTTATTTTGATTATTGATTTATCATGGTTTTTTATATTTCCAGGCTTTCTCCAATAGCACTACCTCATTTTACGTGGCGGGAGTGGTGGATATGTTTGTCAGTCTGAGAGTGATAGCCATCAAGACTATCGGTTCTAGTATTGTAGCTGGTGATGAGCTGAGTAAGTAAAAAAATGTATAATTAGTAAAAAATTATTTTAATTTATTGTTCTTAAATATAGGTAAAATGTACTCCATCTTTGGCATAAGTGAGCCAATAGCCCAATTCATCTTCCCGCCCATCTTCAGTGAGATTTACAAGAGCACAGTGGATTCATTCCCAGGAGCCATTTGGCTTTTTGGCGAAATCTTCTACATTCCCAATGTCTTGGTGTTTGTGTAAGTGCACTTTATTTTATATAGCCGTAAAAAATATTAAATTAATTTATATTTAACTTACAGTGTGTGCTATTTCCTTTTGCGACGTCGAAAGGCAAGTGAGGAAAAGAATACCGAGGAGTTGGAGGCAAATGGTGCCAATCGTTCCAATGTGCCCGATAGCGAAATAACTAGTCTGTAACGTAATTAATGCCAGTCCATGTTATATATTTTTTATATTTATAATATAAATTGTATATATTTTGTATATTTATAAACAATTTTTATACTTTGTGAACTTATGTGTATTATTTTTTCCATATTTTCCATTTCAAAACTTGGAGAATTTACCCTTTTTTTTGATTTCATTGTTTTATTCAAAACATTTACTAAGTGTTTGGCAATTACAAGACGAAACTCTAAGTAAACACGTTACTGACATAATCTATTTTTGCTTTTGTATATTTTATTTTCTCACATCTATTTTTGGAAAATCCCTGCAAAACCAAATTACCCGAGGCTATGAAAAGGTGAGCCAACTTTGATTTGGACACTTCACTCCCTATGGCAATGCTCACAAATTACTTTTTTCGGGTCGAGTAATTTTAGTTTAAGCCTTTGGCTTCTCCCCTCTGATTTTCCTCCCCCTGGGAAAAGTGGTAGTTTTCCAATCAGCAAATGCATTCAGTTTGAGCAGCCAGCTGCGGCAAAGTGGGGGATGTCAGGGGCAGAGGCGTGGCCATATGTGGGCGCTAACTGGCAAGTTGAAACAATTGGGTGCTAATAATCCCCGGTTAATCTGCGTAAGTGTGTGTTTCTGGAGGCATTGAAGCAAGGATTCTGAAAGGCACATCACGCATCCTTTGGCATCTATCGTGTATGGCCCAACATCGATATAAAAGACCAAACGCGAAGCATCAAAAGCCCAGACGCAGCTGTGCCTCGAAAGCGAAAGGAACCCATCGAGATTTCCGAGTGTCCTGAGACAAGGACTAACTTCTGCAGAACTATGTTGCGCCTCCTGTTACTGCCGCTGTTTCTCTTTACATTGTCTATGGCCTGCATGGGCCAGACTTTTCAGTATTCCCGTGGCTGGACCAATGGCAAGAGATCCTTCAACTCAGCATCTCCCCTGCTGACCAACGGTCATTTCCATCGGGGCAACGATCTGGGATTCACGGAACTCTATGATTTGCAGGATTGGAGCAGCGAACGTAGATTGGAGCGGTAAGTTTAAAATAGTGTTAAATAAAAGTAGTGAACTAAGAAATCTATCTTTCATTTAAATTTACTCTGAAAACTAGTGTTTCAGTATATTGTTCTAACGTTATATTATTTTAAATGTTTTTCTTTTAGTTGCCTTTCCCAGCTCCAACGTTCATTGATTAGTCGTAATTGTGCCCCAGGATCGGACTTTAATGCCAATCGAGGAGATGCAGATTCTGAAAGCAACTCCCATTCCAGAATTAACAACATTAATAACGAGAATGTTTTATATTCAAATGCCAATATCCCGAATAGACATCGCCAGTCGAATGATCTGCTAGATGAGCTGAGTGCCGCTGGAGCCGGAGCTTCTGCTGAGCCCAATGTGTTTGGAAAACATTAGCCATGACATCTACTGTCCATCGAATGCGAAAACTTATGTTAAACTAGCAAAAAATGCTACAAAAATGTAAAAAAAAAAATGTTTAAACCGTTAAATAAACCAGAGGCATTTTATGAATATCTTAAGTGAATTATTCTGCTACCAATTAAATGTTTTTATGGTCTTAAAACAATACAATAAGTATTTAATTATAAATTCTATAAGAAGAGATTAAGAAAAAGTTTAGATAGAAAAGAATTATAAGGAATATAAAACATTTTTAAGTTACTAGCAAAAAGCAGGCCTTTGAAATATAAAGGTGTAAGGTTAATAAATTACGATGTAAAAATATTTTTATTTTGTTACAAATTTACTAAAAGATCAGAGAGTTTTAAGATATAAAGTTTTTAATAAGAAATTTAAAAAAGGAACGTTACCTTAAGTCACTGTCGATATCTTTAATTACCGCTCTGCGCACAAATCTAAAAAATATCGATAGTCCTCGGATAATTTTGATTTTATAATATCGATCAATATATAAAATATCTTGTGCCCTTTTATTTCTATAACCTTTTAGTTCTATGTAATTTATTTCGCTCTTTCATGTGATTTTTAAAGTGAACGAAACAGTGGTGAGTTTTCGATTGCAAAATCAGGGCTGGTCGAATGCATTTGGTGGAATGCAGCAGTTTCTCCGTCTGGTAACACTGAACGACGCAAATCGAGAGAAAGAACCAAAAAAGTTTGCGGAAAAGTGCAACAATTAATTTCCCCCGCCATCGAAATGCTGCCATGCATATAGTCGATCGCATTCGATTGAAAATGCGCTGCTGCGTATGACAACAGTTTTCCAAGCGAGGTGCATTGCGTGGACTTACAATATTTTTCCCTCTTTTTTCTTCTTTTGGTCTTCTTCCTCTTTCGCTCGCTTCGCACAACAACAACAATAACGACGACGTTTTTTCAGTGGCGAAAACTGTACGCAAGAGGGGCGAGAAGAGGAGAAAAAGTGCAAAGTGAGAAAGAGAGACAGCCAAAAAGAAGAAAAAAACACACATGTAATGTGCAAATGTTTTATGAGTTCTACGTTTGTTTTTTCTTTTCTTTCGATTACCCCCAGGTAATTGCAGTCTGGTTTTATCGCGTGTGCGTGTGTGTGGGATAAACGCGTGTCCAGGAAAAACGCGCCAACCAATAACAAAAAACAACCAACTAACTACCGCCCACCCAGCGATCACGCGCCCCCAACCCCATTTAAATGATAATGGTGCGAAGACGACAACGGCCCGCCAAGGAGACCACATCCTCATCCTCTGGTGGAGCCTCCTTGGAGTCTGGAATTCCGGTTGACCAAACGCTGCCACTAAATGTGGCGGGAAATTTGCTGGAGGATCAGTATTTTGCCAGCCCCAAGCGGAAAGACTGCCGATTGATGAAGGTCAGCGAAAATGGTCAACTGCCGGAAGCCACAATGATGGCCCACAAAGGCCATCACAAAGACAACAAAGCGGGTCGCACAATAGGTAAGTGCTTCTGTCTGTTTTTGAGGTTAACTTTAGTGGCTGAAAAACCTCTGGCTTATCACAATTTCAGGGGTTCCCTTGGCCACACGCTCGCAAACTCGCACTATTGAGAACTTCTTTAAAGCCAATGCTGCCGTTAAGGACACCCAAAAGACAATACATACAGAGGAGCACCTGGAGCTGGGTGATCAAGAGCTAAAACTGGAGGATGAGGATCTAAATGTGCAACTAAATATAGGTGATGAAGAGCTAAAGTTAGCAGGCGAACAGATAAATGGGCACGTGCCCTTTGTGGACGAAGAAGATGCCAAGGCCGAACAAAAGCTAATGGACGAGGAGCTGCAGCAAGTGGTGGAGGAACTATTATTCGATGGCAGCTCCAGAGCTTCTTCAAATTCGCCCTGCTATCAGCACGAAATGGAGGCCATTCAGGAGATTCCTGAAATGTCACACATCAAAGAGATCACAGAGCCACAAGAAGGACTGGGCACTCTGGGCGACTTCCAAACTCATCGCTCTGCGTTGCGAGACAGTCATAGCTCCACCCACAGCAGCAGCACCGACAACATCTTCCTGCAAGAACCCGTGCTTACCCTGGACATAGATCGCACACCCACCAAAGCTTCCAGTATAAAAATCAATCGGAGTTTTGAACTCGCAGGAGCCGTATTCTCATCACCTCCATCGGTGCTAAATGCCTGCCTTAATGGGCGCTTTAATCAAATAGTAAGCCTAAATGGACAAAAGGAGCCACTGGCTGGACCAAATTTCGATTTGGATCATCATGACAGCAGTTCTTGTGACAGCGGCGTGGCCTGTGGACTAACTGTCAACACAGAATCGCCAGCGGGGCAAGCTCGCCGCAGAAAGCCAGCTACCCCGCATCGTATTCTGTGTCCCTCGCCCATCAAAACGGCTTTAAAGGCTACAGGAGGGATTTGCAAGGTTGGATCGACGGATTCATTATCACCACGCAAGTCACCAAGAAAATTGCCCGCCACCACGGCAGCGGTGGCCGCCTGTAAGTCGCGCCGAAGACTGAACCAGCCAAAGCCACAAGCGCCTTATCAGCCACAGCCTCAGCTACAAAAACCACCGCCACAACAACAACAGCAGCAGCAGGGGGACGTCGTAGTGGTGCTAGATGACGAAGATGAAGAGGAGGACGATGACGATGTCCATGCCTTGCTCAAGGCCGCCGAAGAGCGGGAAAATCAGAACAAAGCACCAGCCACAACCAACAGTAACAAAGTGGGCATGAAAGCCATGCTGAAGCCAGCACCTGTGAAATCTAAGACCAAAAACAAGGGGCCAGCAAAGGGTCAACCGCCACTGCCTTTGGCTGCCACCAATGGCAACCGTGAGATGACCGACTTCTTCCCGGTCCGAAGAAGTGTACGCAAGACTAAGACAGCCGTCAAAGAAGAATGGATGAGAGGCCTAGAGCAAGCGATACTCGAAGAACGTTGCGAGGGTCTCCAAGTTCGTCACTTCATGGGCAAAGGACGAGGCGTAGTTGCTGAAAGACCTTTCAAACGTAACGAGTTTGTAGTTGAATATGTGGGAGATCTCATCTCCATCACCGAGGCCGCTGAACGGGAGAAACGCTACGCGTTGGATGAGAATGCCGGGTGCTATATGTACTATTTCAAGCACAAGACCCAGCAGTACTGCATCGATGCCACAGTTGACACCGGAAAGCTGGGACGCCTCATCAATCACTCACGTGCTGGCAACCTGATGACCAAAGTGGTACTCATCAAGCAGCGACCTCATCTCGTACTCCTGGCCAAAGACGACATTGAGCCGGGGGAGGAGCTGACCTACGACTACGGAGATCGATCCAAGGAATCCCTGTTGCATCATCCTTGGTTGGCCTTCTGAGGAAGAGCTTTCCAGGAGCTCACAAAAGGGGATGCGGTTCAGCCTTAAAACGAAGACTATTTACCATGTTCGAGGCAGAGAATCTTAATCATAAGACTAGGGCTAAACAGGTTTTTGGCTCGAGGGATTCTTACATAGCTTTTATAGACAGATTGCCGCGCCTTGACACAGCCAAATTGTTTTCCGCCCTGTTCCCATTACGATAAGTTGCCGGAATTGTTTTTTAATTCATAATTTTCGTTAACACAAAATTTACAAAGATCGATACATGTTAATTTTTTTGGTAAGACCAATTCAATCAATCAAAATTCCGGCAACTTAAATCAGAATGGATCGCAGAGCAGGGTATTTGAGACCTGTTCTGGACATCCCCGAGCTTAGATCTTATTTGAGGAAAAGTATGTAAACTGTTAGTTCAAAATATCATAACCGATAGCGAAACACCCACACACCCCTCACCCATGGGACGGAAAGTAATCAGTGTAAATTCTAACACGTTTGCCACAGAAATTGGTCTAATGTCAATTTTGGTCTTTGCCGTTTCCAACATCAAATACATTTAAAGATTTAAAGATTTTCTTTGGTCAGTTAAATAATCGAAATTAATTAATTAAGAATAAACTTATCAAAAAGACCTAGACTATAGAGATTGTAAATTGATATTAGACCCATGATCCCTATAGCAAAATGCCTTAAAATTGTACGATTACGATTCAACCCTAGGACTCTTTATCAAAAGATCAATCCACCCGTGCCCCCCACACACTCATGAGCATATTTTTTGGATTTGTTAGCTTTTCATTATGTTAGAGCAAGGCTAAAATTAAGGAGAGATAATAATATTAATAATTAAACAAAAACAACGCGCTTAAGCATTAAGGCATCTTAAGATAATTGAATGAAAATGAAAAACTGTTGACCATTTAGAGAGAGATGATGATTATCATGAAGATGTTAATGGAGACATACATTCACATTGACATAAATCGATCGTACACTATTTATATAGATATTTATATTAGATACATGTGTAATTTCTAACTATTACGTACTATTTACTGCCATAGAGCTATACACCCCCTCGCACCTGCTCCAAGAAAAACCACCCCCTAGGAACTGACACTAAATCGTTGATTTATATCATAGACACAACACTCATTAATTCACGAGGCTTCTCCAGGAGAGTAGTGGACTGCTGGACACCTAGTGCTTCAATTTACTTATAATCTCTCTACTCACACGCAGGTTTCAATCACACACACTCACTCGAACAACCATATTCTAGATATATATACTTAACGATAGATCACCTCGCCCGCCCTCGTCCCAGAAATCCGGCTTCTATATAGTTCAGCGACTGAGTTCAAATTTATGTTGTAACCCCTCCCCATTAATTTACCATGATTTCTGTATTTCAATGAATGCTCCAATATATTGAAGGATTTTGTTTTTTAAATAGGTTTATTTTAATCTGCGCATATCTTTAATTTTACAATATGTTAAATATATATTTTAATACGTTCTAGTACATAGTTAATTCATTTATTTAAATCAAGCAGCAACCATCTATAATCATATTTTTGTTTTTACCTTCCATTCATTGACTTGGCAAAATAAAATAAAAAACAAATAAAAATCTATTTGTAATTTACATTTAAGTCTATAAAACATATGATTACATTAAACACTTAGTTTTAGTTAATAATTGTTTATAATTTTCAGTCACACACACGCAAAACACACACTGAAACACATTCAAACTTAAAGTGCGTAACATACAGAGTAAAAATAAATAAATGAAAACAAATTAACACGAAAAACAATAATCAAGAACTGGAGCGGATTGGGTTTCGTTTTCCAGCGATTTTTCTGGAGATCATCATGGCAACCAGACACACACACATTCATTTACACTTGGAATGCACGGGAGTTTTTCTCTATCAACTAACAAATCCTATTACATTTACAGCGTTAACTATTTGTTTGCTTGGTTAGTTCGGTTCTTCTTGTTGGTTTAAGTACACAATATAGAAAAATTCGCATCAGGCGGGTTGGGTTTTCATCAATGTGTGGTGGCCCGCAATCGCTTTGGAGTATTTGCTTTCAAGGGAGTTACAAAAAGGGAAGTCTGTCTGTGGAATGCATTCGTAGGCTTTACTGTAGATCAACTGATGATAGTCCTTAGATTGGTGGAGTATTCTAACATTTCTAGACGACGCTGGGTGCAGATTTTGGATTTAGTAAAGCTAAAATTATCATGTAACTACATAGATAGAGCGGATACGTAATATTTTAAGAAATTATTTATGATATTCCTGAAATCCGTATTTTTTCTAATCTTTTGTTTTTGGTCATCTAAGATTAATCTTATGATGGTATATTGATATGACCGAAGTTTAGTATTGCATGCCTGAAGATGCATAAGCTTAAATTTTAAAATCTCGAAAGGTTTCAGGAATATCCTATATAGTTTCGAGAATTTCACTGGGTTTTCAAGTAGTCCTAAGTCAAAGCTTAAAATCTTTTCAATTTATATTCCGCCATCTCTTTAAAAATTAAAATTTTCGATAAATTTAAGACTTTTGTTTTTGTCAAAATTAAGTACAACATAAATTTGGAATCGAAATATTGCACAAACTTTTTTTCTATTTTTGTTTCTTATTATTTTTTTAATCCTGATCTATGACTAACAACAACATGCACGCACAACAACAACAACAATTATGCCAACGATAACGTCAACAATAACGACAACAACATGGAACACAGCTTGCATCAAACTACATGTGTGACGGTTCGGTTTATGGTAAATATCAGACGGATTCATAATACTGACTGGCACGCCCCTCTTCTCTTTTTGCCTACGTGAGAATGGTGGACTCGACGCCTCCCAGTGGACATGGCCCGCCCACATTCTGACGGTGCTGCTGCAGGACCCTGCCACCTGCTACCCTAAGCTTCTTGTGTCATTTCTTGCCACCGAAACTCGGTTTCGGAAGCGCACCCATGAAAGCACCAGCATTAGTGGGCAATGCTGGTGCCACAAAGCTGAGATCGGGAATTAGAGAGATGCGCGGCGCTACCTTGGCATTGCCGATTTGGAATTGCTGACGTTGATGCTGCTGCTGGTAGGTGGCACCCACACCCAATCCTCCAGAAACGGGCGCTGTCGAAAAGTCATGCATAATGTGTATTTGCTGTGGAATGGCTGGCACATTGTTGTTGTTGCTACTGCTGCTGCTAGGTACCAGATTGCTGTGGGGATGTTGCTGTTGCTGCTGCGCTTGGTACAAACTCAAGGGATTGTTGTAGAAATTAGCACTCTGCCAGGCACCCGAATTGAATTGTGGAGCCGGTCGAGCGGGTGGTGTACTGCTCACAAAATCAGACCAATCATCTTCTTTCGGAGCTGCAGGTGGTTTCCTTAGATTGCTATTAACATTATTATTGTTGTTAGCGATAGAGTGTTGCTGCTGTGCCTGCTGATGATGCTGCTGTTGTTGGTTAACCGGAACAGAGACAAAGTCTGACCATTCATCATCCTCTTGAGGCGGCTGAGATTGAACTGGTGCGGGAGGAGTTGGTTTTTTGGCCACCGAAGCGCTAATTGTGAGTGGTTTGGCCTGAGAGGAGAACAATTCCTCTATCCTGGCCATTTCCTCGGCATTTATGCTAGACAAAGCATTGTCGCCCCATTCTATGGAGGCAGTTGGCTTCTTGGCCAACGGAATGGCTTGAGGCAGCAGAATAGCCGGACTGAGGATCATCTGTTCGCCAAAAGTAGGTGTATCGATTCTCGACCGGGTCGCCGGCATCGATTGAAAGTCACTAAAGTCATCGTCTTCTGCCTGGGGTGGCAACTCGAAACTGCTACCAGCTCCATTGCCACTCACTTTGCTGGGGGAATCGAGACCAAATGGTGGTTTGTACTCCACATCGCGATACTCCTTCTTGACCACCGTTTCATCAATGATTATGCCCGTTGCCGCCATCTCGTAGTCGAAATCAATGGGTGCCAGCGTTGTGGTCTTGGCCACCGCCGTATCCGATTTGGAGGGTGTATAGATGTGGGTCTCCTTCAATGGCACCGAATAGCTGGCCATCGAGCTGCCGACGATCTCCTCCTGAGCTGGCGGTGCTGGCGTTGGAGTGGTCCTCAAATCAAACTGCTCCGGCTCCGTACGCTGCTGATGCAACTGCTCACCGCTGTTGAGTTTGTGGGCAGGGCTGTCTGCTGATAAAGCAGTCGATAGCGTCGCTGCTGTTGGAGCAACAACTGTTGTTGATGGCGCTGTTGCGGATTCAATATGGTTCGATTCGGCGCTGGTGACTGAAGTTGGCTGATAGCTTTGGTTTCGTCGGTCTTCACCGTCGGAATTGCTGGCGGAACCAGAACCGGAGCCGGTGGACCCTTCCCCATGAGGCGGGCCAATCCGCGTTTCAGCTTGGCTCGTCGCTGCTGCGGGGGCGTTTTCCATTCCTAAGGAAAGGAATCGAAACAATTACTTTATCGTCAAGTTGATAACTATTAAGTATAATGAAATATTTGATTAAAGCTAAGATTATTATCATCTGTTATGTTACAAAAATGTTTTTATTTCAAAACGCGTTTTTTGTGCATTACGAAAAGGTAAGTTAAATCTTAATATCAGTTAATTTAAAAAAATACTTAGTGCTTTATAAAAGACCGTTATTATTATGTTTAGATTTAGATTTAATCTCCAAGCATTATAAATCTGTAAAATAGCAGCATTACTTTGAAGTTGGAGAAGTTTCAGGAACACATCAGATGATGGATAAGAAGGTTTACAATATATATAGTTAGTTATATAGATATTAGTATGAACTGTATCTAGCTAAGTAAAATGTGAAAATGAGGGGAAATCTTAGGATGGGTATCAACTACTTGTGCTTGAACTGAGCTGGCTGAGATCGGATGCTTTGTGCTAAAGTAACAAGAACCAGGGAACTGTGGATCAGTGGGTTGAGAGTATATAGGTATATAGAGAAATAGAGCTGAGTAGTATATAGAAAGAATCCAAACTGAACAAAACTGAAAAAAGTTTGAGAAGAAACAACTACAACACACGCACAGAGCCAACGAAACTTACTAAAATCCAGCAAGGCGTCGTGAGCAGTGAGATTTGTGTTAATTGTTATTGTCATTGTTGTTGTTGCATGATTGTTGTTAAGATTGTTATTATCGATATTATTATTATTATTGTTGTTGTTGTTGTTGCAGATGGTGGCAAAATGTGTGGTGGAGTGGATTGGTGGAGAGTGGTGCAAATCGATTGTCAAATTGTGATTGTTATAGGTCATCAAATCCATTACAGGTGGTTGTGGTTTATCATCCAGTTGATTGATGTTAGCAGCAACGTCGTTTTCACCATTATCGATGTTGTTATTATTGGTGTGGGAGTTAGAGGTAACAAGATTTATTTTATCAGCATTAGCCACCACCGATAGTTGGTCTAGTTGTTCCAATTGTAATGTCTGTACATGTGATTCTAAATACAATTTATCGTAAGGATAAACTTTTTGATTGTTGTTTGTTGAGATAGTTAGAAGAAATGTGGTTAAAACAAAAACAAGGCAAACGTAAAAGGAAAAGTAATATATACATAAGTATATAGAAAGGAGCAGCCAATCGAACGGCAGGCCAATCCGGGAAGCGTGTGTCAATAGGATCAGGAAATAGGCAACGAAAAGCGTTTGAAAGTAAAGCGAGCGTTAGGCGATATTGGGTGGCAATTTCTCGATTTACGAAACTTGTGTAGCGGTTAATTTGCGGCAACTAAGTGGAGCAATCTCTCAGAGATTTTCGGGAACACTCACCCTGATAGCTGCTGGAATTGACAATTGGATCTAATGTGCTTGTAGTAGTTCCGCTCGATAATGGTTTCATCGGCTTCAAGGGATCGAAGCTCAGGTTGGCGGCAAATCGCGGCATCGATGAGTTCCACTTGTCGCCGAAGAGCTGTAAATAGTACAAAATTAATTTACTGTAGCTATATTCCTATGACTAAGAAAGAAATCTAAATTATTTTCCGACTTACTATATTTCTTGAATCGATGCCCAGCGATCGAACGAGGGCATGCCTCATCTCCGAACTGCTCCATTGATAATCCAGAGCTTGGGCATGCTCGATGGCACCAAAATTAAATCGCTGACACTGCGCCAAAGGCTTGCGATTAGCCATACTGATGCTTTCCAGCTCCTTTGATTTCGGGAACATCAGCTCCAGGACTGGCTTCACCCTTTCATCGATGCTCAGGTGAGGTGCCGCTGGTGGTGGTGGTGGAGGTACAGAAATAACTGCCGCAACGGGCTCTGAGAAGTCACCAAAATCGTCGTCATCATCGTTTTCGCTTTGACCAGGACTTCCATTTGTTGGAGTGGCGAACTCTTGAAAATCATCGAAACCATCGTCTGCTGGCTCTGGAGGAGGTAATGTAAAAGAAGCTTTTAAAGAAGGAGCAGTTGTCTCAGCCTTTGAAGGTTCCGTATCCGTTGTCGAAATGACTTTTAAGGAAGGTGTTTCAAAGACAGACGTAGAAGCTGTCGATGGAGTTTTTTGGTATCTATTTCAGCCACTGAGAAATCCGCAAAGTCACCAAAGTCATCATCCTCTTCGATATCCTGACTTTCTGGGATCGATTCTTTGTAATGTAAGTCGTCTGGCGGCTCTTCAAAGTTTGCAAATTGAAATGTATCACTTTCCGCTGCTTTACCCCACTGGCTAGATGTTTCTTCTAGATTCTGAGGGTCTGATAAGCTTTTTTCTTGGGTTTCCAACGGTGTCGCCAAGTTATTTGAACTCTTATCCAGGCTTTCCAAGCCAGTAAAGCTATTCTTTATGTTTATTCCCTTTCCCGGTTCCTTGTCCCCCTCCGGAAAACCATCGCCATTTGGTAAAGTAGGTGTTGACAGAACCTCGATGGCAAAAAAATCCACGGCTCCTTCGCGTATATATAGTTCTTTGGGTTTTTTTGGCGAGCACTCCTCGTCGCTGTCATCGGAAACATCCTCCAGCGTGACCTGATGGCTGAGGGTATTGGCTTTGGTTGTGTGCATCACGGGCGGAGCAACTATATCCGTTTCCGCAACGGGTGAAAGTGTGGAGGCGGCAGACACGCTTTCCGTGGAGTAGAGACTGAGACTGTCTAGCTTCAAGGAGGGTACCTGCTCTTCCAGTTCCTCTTCTTCCAGCTCCAAGCTCAAGGGAGGCGGCGTGGGCGGTGCTGTTACTCCGAAAACATCGTAATCCATTGTCTGTTTGACTTGGTAATTGAATGCCTCGGCGGTTTGTTTATTTTCCAACAAATCCGGTGGCTTTTCTCGAAATTCCTCAACGGGATCTGGTGGTGTAGTGGGTTCTAAAAAGTATGGTTTACGTGAGTATTAAATATGGGAATATGAAACTATATCTAAGCTTACCTTTCGAGCTGCTGACTAAGCCAAAATTAGAGTATTCGTCACCTTCATCCAAGTGAATTGTGGATTGCAAACCGGAATCGTCGTCTTCCTCACCGAAATCGATGGGCGGCGGTGTGCTGCAGAGCAGCGGCGGAGGTACATTCACCATAATGCCAGCTGCAAAATTTAGCAAAAGGATCCCCTAAAGACCACTTCCTGTTTTAAAAAAAACAACCAAAAAAAAAACAGGGAACGTTTCGATCTTCTATCTCTTTTGCTCCCCTATATCGGTGTGAATGTGTTGTATGTGTGTGACGCAGGTGCGGAGGGGTGTTCGCGCCTTGTGTGTGTGAGAGAGCCACTCAAGGTCTGTGTTGGAATTTTCTTGTTTGCATTTAACACGCGTCAATTTTCATCTGTCCTCGAATATTGCCTAACTGCCGTTTTTTTGGTGGCCCTAAAAATGTATTGGCCAAATTTCCAAAACGCGTTCTAGCTACAATTAGCCATGATTTTCCCTAAAACAATACTTTTTTCCAGGTTTAGTTCTGCCGTCAGTGTTACCGTTTAATCGTAAGGTATTGCAAAAGTGCTGCAAAACGTTGCGCACAATTGATAACAAGAAAAATGTATTTACTATATTGATAAAATGTTTGTGCAACAAAAAATAACAATAAGTCTTAATGCCTATAAGAAATACGTCAATATTAAAAAATCGTTTTAAGACGAATATTCGTTGTCGTAAAGTATATATAAAACATTTATTCGAAATTTATTTTTCATACTTTTGCAACCTGGTGGCAACGCCAAGCTTTTATCTTTAAACTATCGATAGCCGCCTGTCAGTTTTGACAGCTGTTTTAAGGTTATACTGCCGTTGCAATCGCTTCGCCAATTCGGTAATTTTCCTTATTTAACACCAAAAGTTGCATAAAACCCAAATAAAAAGGGAACTATTAAGCGAAGGATGTATAGGGAAACCGTTTAACCGTGTTCGATAACTAAACTACTTTTTTCTCTTGCAGTTCTCGGTTGGACAATTACATAACTTGAAGAAGAAACCATGTCTCAGGCTCCCGTTCGCGTTTCCCCGTTGATCAAGTTCGGAAGATGGTCCTTGCTCCTGGTTGGCATTGCCTATGGTGCCGCCCACCAGAGCCGCCTCTCCAAGAAGGAGGAAAAGGTTCGTGAGATCGAGGCGCAACAGAAGGTTATTCGGGATGCTAAGCTTGCCGAGGAGAAGAAGCGTAGCGCAGAGGCTGAGGCCCGTGCTCTGGCCGAGCTTTCGAAGCCAACTCCCAAGAATTAGGATTCCTAAGGATGCAACATCCTTAGTTTCCTTAGCTTAAAAACAAACAAAAACAACATTTTCACACGAAGTTCGTTGTAATGGCAGAGTCGGAGAAAGATGCACAGCTGCCGGGGAACCGATAGTGGAGCAACCATCTATCGGTCATTACCGATCGTTCTTGTGTTTTTCTTGGAAGCTTGTGCTAAACAGATTATTCGAAATTAAATGATTGAAAAAAAACTACTATGTAAATACGCTCAAGTGTTTGGAGTTTGTGATTAAATGGCCTCTTTTGGATATCAATAAGTATATAGTAGAAAGTGGATTACATGGAGATCTTTATGTCGATACGCAGTACAGAAACTATAACTTAAGAGAACCAAAAGCTCCTAATTCTTTTGTTTCTATTAAACTATTATTCGTATTAGTAGAATATATCGCCCAAAAATTTAACAAGAATTGTTTGATACAAGCAATTATAACAACTTATAAAGATGTATTAGTTTTTTTTTAAGCCCTGAAGGTTTGTTTACAAAAAACAACACAAAACGAAAATAAACATTAAATTGGCAAGGTAGAGCAATCATAAACATAATGGAAATTTGCATAGATAGATAAATTATTTTTATTGGATATTCACTGTAGTTGCCAGCCTGATGACCCACTTAAAAAATGGCGCCAACAGCTGATTTCAGCCGGCTTTTATTTACTTCTTTAATTCGTTTGCAAATCGCCGACGATTTCTCGGCTGTTTGATCAATAATCCCCCGGAATAATTCCAAATGCGGAGGTGTTGAGACACCTTCCGTGTGTAGGGCCATCATATCACGCAATCCCATTGAGGACATGCCATCGCATCGCGATGACAAACTTTCTGGATCAGTTGCCTAAGCATATCAGGGAAATCGCTGAGCAGGGTAAGAGTTTTGGGTTACCACAACTTTTTTCAAGTGCCAACTAATGTCCTACCCTCCAGTTAATGTCCTTGCTCCTGAGGAGGTGCTGACAACTCCGAAGATCCGATTCCTGGACACTAGGCAACAATCGCTATATACACTCGTTCGAAAATGTACTCCAGATGATGTAAGAGTGCTGAAGGATGCGGCGGCTAAGTGGCTGGCAGAGATGCCACAGGCAGGTAGGAAAATTCCCACATTTTATTTAAAATCTATATTTTTAAAGACAGTAATGATAAAGTCCTATAATCACAGCTGATTCACTCTTTAAGCCCCTGGCCAATGTGAGATGGTCTCGGGTGTCTTTTGGATGTTCTGCCCTAGATCGTTGCACGGGTGGAGGAGTGGTAACCCGGGGAATTACGGAACTCTGCGGAGCAGCTGGCGTCGGCAAGTCCCAGCTACTTCTCCAGTTATCCTTGTGCGTCCAGCTGCCCACCGAGCTGGGAGGTTTGGGCAAGGGGGTGGTCTTCATTTGCACGGAGAGCGCCTTTCCTGCGAGAAGGTTGCTGCAAATTAGTAAGGCCCTTGCAAAACGATATCCCCAGGATAAACTGAACTTCCTGGGCAATATCTTTGTGGAACATCATTACGAAACCGTGAGTAGGACTAGTAGTGTAAAATAAAAATTAAACTCGAACTATAAAATCTCAAGAGTAGTTTTTTAATTTTCCAATAAAAATCCCCATTGCTCACAGGAAAAACTCCTACATTGCGTAATAAACCGACTGCCACGACTTATGCAACAACATGGCATTGGCCTGATCATCATCGACTCCGTTGCTGCCGCATTTCGATTCTACACCGATTACTTAGAACGTGCCAGGCAGATGCGTCGGATGGCCGATGCTCTTTTAAGTTACGCTGATAAGTATAACTGTGCCGTGGTCTGTGTCAATCAAGTGGCAGCCAGTGGTGGTCAGGATGAGGTTCCCTGCCTGGGATTACAGTGGGCACACCTAGGACGAACCAGATTGCGCGTTTCACAGGTGCCCAAGCAGCATAAGCTGGTAGATCATTTAATTACCGTGCGCAAACTGGAGATCCTCTATTCGCCAGAGACACCCAATGATTTTGCAGAGTTCCTCATCACTGAGGATGGAGTAGTCGATGTTCCGGAGCCAGCTTACACCCGCCAACCAGCCAAAATGCGTCGTCTGTGATCGATTTAATGTATTCTGTTTATTTTGTTTTCGTTTAATTTGTTGAATTTAAAATGTTTAACGGCAGAGCTTTCAATCAGCCATATTGTTGTTTAATACTATTGTTAAATTCAGCGGATATTTCAGTAATATGTTTTTTAATTAGTTTGAACAAGTTTAAGCTTGTATAACTTTAGATTTCAATGTTGTTTATTTATTTGATTGTGTATAGAAAACAAATAATATTCATTTATTTTTCGATTTAAGAATTCTTACTTGTCTTACGACTCGAAAGTTAGGAAACCAACCATGTTTAATTCAAAAGATCGTGTGTCCCTTGCAATACCGCTAAATTTAATAATAGTTTAAACTATTTTCCAGGCTATATCTTCTCATTTCTTGCCTTAATTCCATTTTTTTGTACAAACACTCAATAAATATGTTTCATTCAATAGCAATTTACAGGGTAGCAGAGCTTACAGGCCTACATATAATATAGTTTATAGTTCAAGTAGTAAAATCAATTTTGTAATCGCCTCGTATACATTATCACATGAAATTCTCGAAAGTTCAGATTACAATTTGCCATGGTTTACGCGGACATTTAAATGCGACATTTACAAAAGCCTAGCCTTAGCGTTTAAGTATATTAAATAAATTAAATACAAGCCTAAAGGTGAACGGAGTACGCGACAATTAAATTACAATTAGGTATTATAATTATGTGGGTTTTCTTTCTGTTTTTTTTTTTCTTTTTATTGTGGATGGTTTATCCTCTTTGTGGATGAGCAATATTCGACTTTTTGGCACAAGTTAATTTGACTGTGTGTTGGGGTTTTCTTATTTTTAGATTTCCCGCATGGCGACATCCTGATCCTGGGAATCGTGGGCTTCCGTGGAATCGCCATGCTCGCTAGAGGACACATCCTCCTCCTCTTCCTCTTCTTCACCCTCGCCCTCACCCTCCGATGAGGAACTTTCGGTCTTGATCAACTTCTCCGGCTGCAATTGCTTATTGGCCATGGCCAAGGCAATGGATATTTTACTGGCCGCCAATTTGCTTTCAAAATCCATTTCCGTTAGCTGCCCGCCATTTTGAATGGCCGCCCTTTGAAGACTTAACTGTAATTCCCGATGTTGCGGCGACTCTTCCCGTTTTATATCCAACTTCTCGGTTTGTTCGAGCGGTGCCGCTGGTTCTACGGTCAAGGGTATAGCATGTTGATGCAAACGCTGATGCAGCAATTGATTTTCATTACTATTATTTATCCTCTTTTCAACAGCAGGTTTTTGATCGGTTGTCTCCAATTCCGCACTTCGATTTGCCTGATTTGCGGTTTTAACTGTCTTTTCCAGCAGTGCATTCAATTGCTTTTTAATCTTGGTGGTGCTCTGTTTGACGGGCATTTTTCCCTCGCTGTTATTAACATTGTTATTTAACGTATTGTTGTTATTATTATTACTGCCACGATTTGGAGATTTTGGTGATTTCTTAGTCTCCCCAGTTGGGGCGGCATTGCCAGCAGTGGGTGAATTCAAATTGGCGGTTTTCTTTTCTCCCGATTCGCCACCTGTTGTTGTTGTTGTTGCTGTTGTGGTTGTTGCTCCTGGCTTGGCATTCGTGGACTTGTGCTCCGCCGCCTCGTTGTTCGTGACGTTATCCTGCTTTTTCCACTTGGTTCGACGGTTTTGGAACCAAATTTTCACCTGGAAGAACAAAGTAAAGGTTTGATAAATTAATTATGAGTTTTTGGAGCTTTTCGAATTTTAAGTTTGAGTTGGCAATGCCTAAAGCTGAAAAATTCGTATAACTAAAATTTTAGTTAAACTTAATTGTCATTAAACAGGTTGTCTTTTTTATTTCGTTAACCTTATTTTATAAAAATATATATTTTTAATATATATTTTATTGCTTTAAAAACTAAAAACATAAGATTAAAGGCCAAGTTGTGTAAATATACACCTGATATTTCCTGATTAAAATTTTTAATGACGCTTAATACCGTACAGCACCGAAATGAATGAGTTAAAAGGCAGTTCATAGCCACATAATTAAGAATGTTTATGCCCCATTTGGCCTTATTAGTGGGCGCACAACAAATAACTCAAGAATTGTGTATCCTCCCGGTTGAAATTATTTGAATATACTCGCAGCAACACTTCCGCCCCGTCAGTCAGTCGCTGCTCATTTTTCCTGAGACTCCAAACGAGAGCAATGATGAAATGACAGGCGCACGTCAAAAGGCAAAAATCGACCCCCTTTTCGGTCGCTATTTTTCCCCCCATTCACTCCCCCGTCATGACTTTTCCACCGAGGCCAATGGCGCAACATAAAACATTTGCCTCTCATTTTCGTTTTCATTTCCATTTCATCCAGAAATGATGGGCCAGCTAAATAAATGAAAAATCTATTTAAATCGCGCACATAATTAGTATTTCAGCGGCATGTCTGCGGATACACACACTTTCGGATTCAGATAGAAAATTCAGAAACGTTAAAGATAGATGCCTGGCTATATGACATGCTCATTTCGCCGGAGTGGCGGAAAAAAACATTTATGAAATTAACATGAAAATGCCGCAGATTTCCCATTCCAACTAAACAAAAAAAAAAAATACAAATTTTCATAGAGGAAATGGCTGAAGCACAAACAAATCGCGTAAATTTCGTATTGAAAATCAATTAATTGATTGCCAAATATCTAAATTTACTCGCACATAGTGCACAAACTATGGCAATTGAAATTGTTATGTAGCCGCCAATGGATTGATGCCCATGGAAATTGTTTATTTTACGGATGAAGATGGATTATGAGTGAGTTTTCCTCATTTTTATTTTTGTAGCCGGACAATTGGCAATTACTCATGCCCCTACTCGTGAAAATTGTTCATTAGATACATTCATACGTTCATAAACAATAAAGCATTTCCCGTGTTTACCTTAGCCGCACTCTTAATGGCCAAACCAAGTGGATTCCTTCCTTTCACCTAAATGGTTTTTATTTTTATGGCCTTTTTCGGATAGGGGCCCCCCCTCCTTTCCCATTCTCCGCCGTATTTAATTGTTGATTATTTTCAAGTGTGCGCTGCCCGGCCATTCAGTGTGTGTTTGCGATGATCTAATTGATTCGTGGATTTCGAATTATTAATGTTTTGGGAGAGAGAACCTCGCGCTCAGCGATTTGGTAAATATTGCATAAATCTTCATTAATAATTTATGTTTTTTTTGGCCTCCCTGTCTTAAATTCTTCCGCTTTTGGCTTGAATGGATTGTGTATCGTCAATAAAGTTGCCTTGTTTGTTATGTTTTGATCTCAGCACTAAACCTCATTAAGGCGAGATGTGGAAATCTTTCTAAAAATATCCCGAAAAACTTGTCAAGCGATTCACACTGCCCCCCCCTTGCTTTTCTTTTTTTTTCGACCCGCTTATGATTTATTGACATTTAAGAGTGTCTGTGTGAGCGTGTGTGGCAAAAACGACAGAAACAGAGCGCATAAATAGCCCAAAAGGCAAAATATAGTCACTTGGAAAAAATCAAGAAGAATTTATTGATATTTCCCAGAAATTTAATTGACTATCTGGGGAGCATTTTTCGTGATTTACTAGAATTTTATTGGGAAAAAAATAAATTGAATTGGAAAGAATTTCGAGTTTAAACGATCATTAAAGTCAAAAACACTTGGACCAAAAATGGTGATATGATTAAACAAAAATCAAATTTATCAAAAAAAAAAAGAAAAAGGGGTAACCCTTATCAAAAATTATCGAAATTTGGTTAGTTTCGAATTTCTCCTCAAAATTTAAGTATTATTGCTAGAACTAAGACAATTTTGTACCGAATATGGGCGGCCTTACTTGCTTGTTTTTAATTCTTAGTAGCTCTCTATTCAAAGTTGAAAATGTAAAATTTTTGAAATTTTTCGCAAAAGATGATCGAAAACTCAAAATATGTTTCCCACGACATTCTCCTCAATATGACAGCATTTTGTCCATAACTAAGCCAATAATGTACCGAATATGGGCGGCCTTACTTGCTTGTTTTTAATTCTTAGTAACTCTCCATTCAAAGTTGAATTGACATTTTTTAAAATTTTTCGCAATAGGTAATGCTACTCCTAATCGAAAACCCAAAATATGTATGTTTCCCACGACATACTCCTCAATATGACAGCATTTTGTCCATAACTAAGCCAATAATGGACCGAATATGGAATGCCTTAAATCGTTGAGCTTGTTTTTTAATTTTTATGAGATCTGCATTTAAAGATAGATCAGCATTTAAAACTCAAAACCTCAAGTTCTTGCCATTTTTTTTTTAGCAAACATAGATGAAATATTCAAAAAAACAAAATGTGGAGTGTCATACCTTGTTGAGCCCGAAATCGGATTATTAATTATTAATTACTTGAAATTAACGATTGTTAGAAAATTATTAAAGTATTATTCACATCAGTTACCAATTAAGTCAAATGACATATTATCTTTTCCAAAACACTCGAAATATCTTCCTAACTTTTCTAACAGTGCAATTGGCATTTGCCATTTAAATAGGTTTATGACAGATGCGTCTCAGCTATTTTGCTGGCCTAACACATGTATTTCAATCAACGCCAGAAGATCAGAGAAGAGTCACAAAAATCCTTAAATAGTCGGCCAGTCAGTCTGTAATTTTCTTTAGCCAGCCCATAACCCATGCTGTTAACCTCCCTGCCATTCATTCCCCTCATTTCATTTTCTTTATTTTTTTCTTGGCCGTCTATGCGTGTGCTTAGTATAATTAATTTTCACATTCGCCGCGCGCACTTTTCGAAAATAAACGAAAGAAATTATGTCTGGCCCAACAATGAGCAGCCAAATTAGGATGGCCAAGTGTTTTTGGGTGTCGGGAAGGAGAGAGAGTGTGGAGAGGGGGTGGTCAGGGGCAAAAAATGCTACTTAGTAATGGCGGCTGCTGTACATAATTCTCTGGCGTGCCAAGAAAAATTCAACAATTTCCCCGAGCTACCCTATTACAAATAATGTTTTAATGTGTAATTTAGCATATTTTCTCTATGTTTGTTTGTGTTTTCTTTGTGGTGTTGAAAAAATTATGATAATTGCCTCTGGGGGCGTGGAATGCGGAATATGGTTGTCGGATGATGATGGAAAAACCAGGAAAGAAAAGCCATAACTCATATCTACGGACTACTGATGAACTAAACTCTCTCTAACGCTCTGTAATCATGCATCCACAAAACCCTAAATCAAATGTAAACAAGTTGAATATATTTATAGGAGTATATCAGGCAAATGTTGCAAGTTACCTTCAATGCAACGACAACCATTCCAGCCACCCACTCGATTCTTGCTGTGTAACGAAACACTTTGCTCTGTGCAAATATACGCAGCATTGCATTGCCATTACTAATTAATAACATAATCACTGGCATTGCCTGTCATTTTGGATTATGTTCACCCACACAAATACCCCTTCCTCCCCTCTCTCACGTAACCATTCAATTTTCCCTCCCAGAAATGCGAAACATTCCGAAATGTTAACAGAACATATTCAGTTGCCAAACAACTTGGAAAGGTTTCAGCTTTCTGCTGTTCTGGCAGTAGTCACTGGGTATGGAGGAAGTCACTGGTGTAATTTGTATAAAAACTAACTCTAAATTATCTTAATTTAAATGTTTAAAACAAATAATATAATGTTTTTAGGGCCTATGCCTTATATTAAACGTTTTAACTTATTTAATTAGCAATTTAAATTTTATATTATTTTAGATATTTTGAGAGTTTCAGTTTTGGGATCTATACTTAAAACTATTTGTGAATGTTCCTAAACTTGAAAATTGATAAAGATTTTTTATATATTTCAGCCTTTTATAATTTTTAAAACCTGTTTAACTTTTTCAAAAAAGTGAAATGATGATTTTAGAACTTAATTGGACTTGAAACTTAATCAAAACTATTAATCAAACTTTCATTTACAGTGATCACCTTTATGCGTTGGCATCTCCTTTAACCAAGGATGCTTTCCTGGGATACAGATATAATATGCATTTTGCCTTAATTCGTTGCTTATTAATTAAGGCACAAATGCAAACTGCAGCCAGGCCATGTGGTGGCAATAACAACTAAACAATGCCATTATCACCGGATATCCAATGATGTCCGATACGTTTCCCCCTTATTTACCCCACTCCATAGCCCTATTATTCTCTGACTTTTGGGGTAACAAATGCATTTAATGTTCCAAGGGAGTCCAAGCTGAAGGTGGAATTTATGCAACATCATTATTACAGATGCTAAATGCAATCGAGAGACGCACATGGAATGCCATAAATCTAAATTCGCAATGCAACTTGGTTATCCGGATAGAAATGCAATGGCAATTAGTTTATCGAAATAATGCAACTTAAATATGAACAAATTTCATTAGGATTAGTGACCCCCAAGCCACCCCCTTCCCCCAAAAGCCAAAGAAAAACTCATTTGAAGCGATGTGTGAAATTAAAAAATTTTGCAATTGCAATGAAAATTGGCATTGCAGAAATTGTCTGGCTCATCAGGGTGGGATCAAAATGTAATTTCGTTGTGGCATATCTAGCAGAATTTCAGCTAAAATAAAATCTCTAATGCCACAAAATTGAAAGCCGAAAAGCGTGTGCATAGAAAACCCAGAATATAAATCAACAAAATGCAGCGGAAAATAAAGCAAA